CAAGCTATGTCTATGAAATGTAACATAATTTTTTATTCAAACTTTATGGTTGTTCCGTAATGTCTTTTAATATGCATTTTAAACGTTTGCTAAAAATTAAGTAAAAAAAAATATTTTTTTATAGTGGATCTCAAGTTAATAATGTTCATGTAAAAAAATTATCGAACTTTAAAGAATTTTTTATAAAGAATAAAAAACATACAAAAACTCAATACTGTATAAAAACGAAATTAATAATTAATTAAAATAACAAAGAACTTTTTTTTTTCATCTCTGAGAGTGTTGGGAAACCTGTGACACTTCTTTGTGAATTTATACGTTTTCTTATTATCTACAGCATTCATTATTATTATAACTGAATTAACCCTCTTTCGTGTTTTTAACGATGGTAACATGCAATTGAAATTTCTACTACTTTCTTATTAGCCTGAGTACTCAAACCTTTACTTGAGCTCCTTGCTTATTGGCGAAAGCTACGCTCGAATACGCCATCTGGGGAGAGATCGGTTTCATGCCTTTGGCCCTTCTCCCTTCCCTCTCCTCTTTTCAGTTGTATAGGAATACACTACGATATTTTCCCTTTTCTTAATATTTGTCCATTTTATTTAATAAAAATATTTTTTAGAGCTATGTTTAATGTAGTTTTCATTTCCATATATCCCCTCCGCAGAGGATCAAAATTGTGATGGCATGTCTTCGGATCATCCTCCGGGATGTTTCCCAGACCGTCGCCAATAGCCCATTGTGCAGCTCTAGTGCAACGTAAATTAACAACAATCATTTCCATATAGTTTTCCAACTTAAAATATTTTAATCTGCATGTAAATCAAGTGAGAAACTAACATACTTCCTTCCTCTATGACTCTCTACATGCTAATGGGGAAAGTATGCGAGTGTTGCCATAGTTCTGCTCTATGCCACCTGCAGCCCATTTCGATCGCCAATTGAGAATGCAAGTCGTTTCCTCACCACAAACAAAGTTTATTTATCATTTCATCGGCAAATAGAACGTAACACAAACCGAAATTTCGATCGATTTCTAAGTAGCCGAAGTGCTCCAAATTCAACCAGTATTCTATTGACAAAGCAAGTTACGATTGTTCCGGAAAACTGAAAGCGTCATTTTATTACTAAAGAGAGTTTTTCGTTAATCAAAACTTCGAATTTTTTTCGCCTTATAAGTACAATCCTCAAATTTCAACTGTGTCTGGAACTGAAATTCTGTGTCCGATGATAATTCAAGTTACATTTGTTTCCTAAAAATTTCGAAACAAAATTTATCGCCATTTTATTCGTAATCAAAATTTCGACCCTGTTCAAACATGGAAAATAGGAATTTTAAAACCTACATTTTTTAGGTGGACTAAAAAGAATTTTATTTTTGTCGCCCCTAAAACGAAAAATATAGGCGTATCACTTTCTAGAGATGGAGAGAGAAATTAATGTTGGTAATAATCCTATCACAACTCCCCCCCCCTCTCCAGAAAGTGGAAAATCGAATTCTTTCTTCTTTTTTTTTCGCTCACTTGAAAAACAACGTTTAAAATTTTATTTTGTATTATAATGCAAAACAAAATTTTTATTACAATCAATTATTAATTACACTCGATTTATTTCTTACAGTCAATCAAAAATATTCGACACATTTAATATGTTGAATATACAACTAAAGTTCTGAATTAATAAGTTAACTTTATAATTGAATCATTATGCGTTACTTCATTTTGAAATCTTTTGTGTGAAAATTAACAACAAAAAGCGAGTTTCGTATTTAAGTCATAGATTGATAGAGCGATTGCTTTATAACGCACAATATGCATTGTATCTATCAGTTTCTATCTTCGTTAAAAAAATCTATCAGTTTCATTTATTTATTTTTGTTTACATAATCTGTTGGCTATAACAGATCGATTGTTGTTTTCCTGTCGGCAGAGCCGTTTTTAAGGATGGGCTCCAGTGGACATTGGCCCAGGACCCCGAGTTCAGGTGGGGCCCCCGAAAAGTCTGAAATCTCATTGCATTAATTGTTTATTTTTTTTTTTTTAAATTCTAACTCATTTATTATTTATAACTAAAGAGGGCCCCCTAATCCCACTGTCTGATGATTTTCAGAATCTAATCGAAGTGTTTACAAACATAAAATAATTGTTACTCTTCACTTTTCTAACCAAAAGAGCAATAAAACGCTCTTTAGATGAAAATATCCCCACTTTCGTAGCTACCACCCACTTTACACTGTGAGAAAATGTTTTTAGCTTCTTTATATTGCCTTGGGGCTCTTTTTTCCTAACTTCGGAAATATCAGATATCCACAGAAACACCCTTATGTCTGATTTCTGGTCATAAATTTCTGGGAAGAAAGCATTTCTATGGCTGTAAATAGGGGGAGGGTCTTGCTAGAATTTCTTTGGGTCACTCTGTCTTGAGATTTCCATAGTGCCTTTAAATTGGGCCTCGTTATCAATTCTAAATTTTCTTTCTTACAAAATCTATATATTTTTTTCTAATTTATTAGAAAAACTTTTTTTCCCTTTACTCTTCCTAAATGTTTCAACTAGCCTAATTGTTTAATTTACTTAATTATTGTAGTTAATTTTATTTTGTTATTTTATTTTTCAAATTAATCGTAAGAGAATCCGTAAACTAGGAATTTCTATACCAAATTTTCATAGGATAATAGGAAGAAATAAATCTTTCACGTTGGAGGTAAGCAAATGTTTTTATTAAATCAATTTTGGTTGTGGTTAGGGAAAACGTGAAAGGTTTGCGCAGTTTGTTATATATACATTGTGATTTTTTTGTTTATTTATTTAAATGGCCGGCCACTAATCAATTCCCTCCTTGACTTGCCTGTCTGCCAAAACTCTTGATTTGGTCTGTTCTGGGTGAAATTGAGATAACAAATGAAATTTTATTTTAATTTTACTTACTGCTAATAGTCAGAAACAACGTACGATTTTGTTTAATAGAGCATTGAAATCAAATGATCATCAGCTAAACAAGAGAAAAAAATTGTTTAAAACTCCTGTATGACCAAATTTTCCATTTTCCCCCTAAATATGAACTATGTTTAATTTGCAATATTATATTTCGCACACAAAATTAATTTATTTAGTTAGCTTGGCATTTTATTGTTTATTGATCACATTTGTTTCTATTTTTAACTCCTTGATTTTTGTTGTTATTGCGGTGTTTAAAATTAATAAGGCTTCTCAATTTTTTAATTAGTAAGGCTTTTAAATTTCCAAATCAAAGTCGAAACAATTTCTTAAAATTGTAAATCGAAACTATATGTGAAATTTTGACAGCTTTGTTTTTATTTTAAACGTATACATTTAATTTAATAAAATAAAAATAAGTAAAAAAATGAAAAAAATATAAGTAAATGACTGAATAAAATAAAAAACTTCGTTTTCATATCATTTTTTAAACAATTCGAGTACTAATAATGATTTAAAAATAAGCAAATTTTTAGTTTAAAAGGTAAAAGAGTTTTTGATTTGTTTAAAAGGTAATTATGCTCCATCATTCGATCATGAGACTATTTAATATCTGTTCCTTCGGAATCTTGATCAGAATTCTTTTTTATTTTACTTTATTGTAAAAATGATATATTTAATACTTTCATGTGATATGCTGCAGTTTAAAATACCTAAAAGATGACCGAAATTGTCAATAAATAAAAAAACAGTTAATACTTTTGAACATGAATTTAAATAACTCCATACGTTTTGTTTGACTATCTCATTTTATATTATCGCAGTATTTAGAGCAGACAGTTGCTTGTAGGTGGGGATGATATAAGTAAAAAAAAAATCTATTGATGCCCTTAATATTATATTTTTAAACTTCTCGCAAAAATGTAGTAAAAAAATAGTTGTCGCAAACAAATTAAGTAAGTACGAAACAAAAATGATATCAAAATATGCTGAATCACTAGTGAGACAGGTGGGATGAAAGACATCGAAGCCAATTTGATTGAATGGATGGAAAAAACTACACATTTTGTAGATTCAGTGCGGAATTGAAGTGAGTATTTTGCATAATTTTAGATCGAATTTATATGTGCGTTGGTTAACAACCACTCTAACCTATAAATTTATTTGTGAAGCTATTTGATTTCATATAAAACTTTTTCAATTGTTTTTATTTAAAATTTCTTATTTGAAATATTAAATAAAAAAAAAGCAAAAAAATAAAATTACGCATTTTTTATCTAAAATTTGGTACAATAAATTTTTTCAGTCCTGTTTCCTAATTAAAATATCATTTTCAATAAATTACTCATATTTTTCATGTACTATTTTACAGTATTTTGTTTTACAAAGAAATGCCACGTCTTCGTGGAAGAGCAAGAAATATTGGTCGACGTACTCGAAACGCACAATTGGTTCATGATCGTCGATTGAATAGAACAGTTGAAGAACACTTGAAGGATAATGTGAATTCAAGAAATCAAGTTGCATCTTCACGTGAAGATGAAAACTCAGAGCAACTCAATCAACGTCTTCGTGCAAATGCATTAAGACAAGAGAGACGCCAACGAGCGACCAACGAAAACAGAGAACGTAACCAACGGCGAATGCAAGATAATCGAGCATTGATACGAGCATCACTTAATCGTCTTGCGTTTGAATATGACCCTGAAATAGACTATTCGTCACATGCATTAATCTTAATCGGTAGTATGGACAACGAGTGTCAATTTTGTCTTGCTTTAAAGTACAAAGGTGAATCAGCTGGTTTATGTTGCGCATCTGGAACCTTTGAAAACGTTATTAGCTGGAACCGCATCTCAATCAAAATTGTTTTTGCGGAAAATTCGTAAATTCCTTTCAAATGACATCATTTGGAGCAACAAAAATTGTTCATAATGAGGATGGTCGTAATTTTGAATCTACATTTAAGATTCAAGGTCAAGTGTACCACCAAATTGGTTCATTAACAACATCGGTACCGCATATATTCTTCCATCATGATACATTGGTAGTCCGCGTCATATGCAAGAATATATTCAAGACGCCATGACTTACGTACGCGCATACGGCCGACCAGATCTTTTTATCACATTTACGTGTAATCCAAGGTGGGAAGAAATTAAAAATTTGCTGTTATCAGGTCAAACATCGATGCATCGCCATGATATCATTGCACGTGTGTTCAAACAAAAATTGAAATCTCTGATGAAATTGATTACACATCACTCGGTATTTGGTGAAACACGATGTTGGCTTTATTCTGTTGAATGGCAAAAACGAGGTTTACCTCATGCGCATATTTTGATTTGGTTGGTGGACAAAGTACGTCCAGAAGAAATTGACAAAATTATTTCAGCGGAAATTCCAAATCCGAATGTTGATCAAGAATTGTTTGACATTGTGACTACTAATATGATCCATGATCCATGTGGTTTTCTCAACATGATGTCACCATGTATGGATAATAAAAAATTTACGAAACGTTTTCCTAAACCATGTCAAACTGACCCTATCACCAATATCGATGGTTATCCATCTTACCGTCGTAGAGATGTAGACAATGGCGGCCAAACATATGAATTGCGTCTATCAAACGGTGTAAGAGTTGACATCGATAATCGCTGGGTGGTTCCATACTCACCATTGCTGTGCAAAACCTATAAAGCACACATAAACGTTGAGTTATGCAGTTCGGTGAAGTTTATCAAGTACATTTGTAAGTACGTTTATAAGGGCAGTGATAAAGCTATATTTTCTGTTCAAAATGTAAATAAGAATGACGAAATAACACATTATCAAATGGGACGATACATAAATAGTAATGAAGCTATTTGGTGAATTTTTACATTTCCGTTCCGATACATGAAAGGGATCCCGCTGTTGTACATTTGGCTGTGCATCTTGAAAATGGACAGCGTGTTTATTTCACAGGACAGAATGCACTACAACAAGCTTTAACAGCTCCAAAAACAACTCTTACTGAATTTTTCAACCTTTGTAATCGACAAGATATTGTTGGTGAACTTGCAAAGACATTAATGTATACTGATTGTCAATTTTTAAGCAAAAACTGAAGAAAACTATTTCTATAAATCAAGGTAAGTTCTACTTACCCCGTTCTCCAGGACTGCCACTGTTGGATGGTAATAAATATCATCCTTGGTATCAGTGCAACCGCCCAGGTGGCAGCCTGACCCTTCAGTGCAGCAGGCGGGATCAGACGGTTATATCAAGATTTCGAAGCGGTCACCTAAGAACTATGTTGTTCAGTAATGGTTCAAGAGTTTTCCCTGTTTGCACTAAGTGTAACGACCAACAAGCTACTCCTGAACATATACTTCAATGCCTAAATATCTCTAAAGTGGACCTCTTTTCAGATCCACTTTTTGTTACAGACTTGCTCAGAGTCTCTGGAGTCATGGACTTGGTTTAGCTCCGCTAACCGTGTGGGCCAGCAACAACACAAAAAAATTAAAAGCATTAAATATTTACTCGAATTATGTGTTTCTAATAATCTTGGCTTCACCGGTCCCCGGTGACCCCCATGGCGTTAACGTGTTAACAATCCAGGAAATTCTAAACTGCCTTACTTTCAGCACGAAAGCTCTGTGTGAAGCCCATATATAATTGCAAAAGCTGGTACTACATGATTAGCCATTTCTTACCAAAAAAGGAAATACTACACAGATATAAATTGCCTTATTTCATCTTTGCTAAGATTAATATTCTTGCTATTGTAGCGTAAAACTATCACTACAATTATTCAATTTTCATTCACTAGTATATAATACATGATGTTAACTCGATGTACCTTTTGATAGATGACGGTCGATACTGTTCGGTAGCCAAAAAAATCCACCACATTGGTGACTTTTGGATGTGATCAGAAAACGCCTACCTCAACTGAAACGCCCACTTCGATATGAACACGCCTACTTTGATGTACGGTACACAATGAAGAGTTGACTTGCTATTTGTGACAGTGAGATTGTCTTCCTCTCGCTGCTGCTATTCAGTCTCGATCACACACAACGGGGGCCTGTACATTTTCGACTGCTAATGGCATCACAGGAGAGACCATGCACACAACCGAGTTCTTAATACAGCTCTTCCTGCGTATCACAAATAGTTATTAATCAACTAGTGATATCCATTTATCAAATTCTATCACAGATAAAATTCTGATGGGGGAGTATTGTAGCACAGCTACCTCTATAATTATTAAATTCTCATTCACTAGTATATAAGGAGGATATATATCTGGAGGTACCTTTTGCTAGAAGAAGCTTGACAATGTGTCGGTAGCCCAACCTCACACTAAAATAAAATCTTCGTTATGGTTTACCTGCAAGTGACGTAGTGTGGGTATTTCGATTCTGATTGGTTGTTGAAACGTAGCATTTGTTTACGTTAGCAATTGTTCTTTCCATTCTATTTTGAGTAAGCCAAGTCCGTCAAGTATCAAATCCCTTAAATGACACATTTTATATTCTTTCACAAAGATTTCAATTCAAAGACACAACGACAGGCACAGAGCCATGTGGAGCATACACTAACTAATTATGCATCAAAGTTGCCAGGAACGCAGAAAATATATCATGGTTACAATAAAATACATGCGCAAATAATAAATCTAATTTATCTAAAAACGTAGACTGTGCAAGAATTCTATTTCAACAAATTTGATGTGCGATACGGTACTCTATGTAATTAACNCTAGGGGGAAAATATTCATGCTGTCTACTCCTGTCCCCCATGTCCACAGTAGCCTCCTTTTCCTTTAAATATAATGCTAATCATAAAATACCAATTTTATAAACCTCTTTAATCCGGTTACTATATCGTTAGGAAGGTCTTTTCAAGACAAAACCATTATAAAAATGAAAATTATTTTTTAGTTTCTAATCTAAAAGTTCTTGATCGCGTTATGAAAACTGAAGGAAATTACAGACTTTTTTTTTCTAACGACACACGTACCCACATTTTAAAAAGTCCTAATTGAAAAAATATTCAGAATTTTTTTCTCTTTATACATCGATTTACAAAAATAAAGTTGCCTTACTCCAATATGGACAGGTCCATAGAAAATCGTTCTTGAATATTTGGCCTATGTATTCATGAGGCCATGTAATCATATGTGACAAAATTATGACAAAGAGTAATAGTTTTTTTTATGAAAGAAAATGAGAAAAAGTCAAAGCATATTTGTTAATTAAAAATAAATTCTTTTTAATGGCTTGTCATGGAAATGAATTTTAATTGCTACGGATTTCTAAGCTGATGTTCATAGCTTTTTTATTAAATTAAATGCGTTCTTTTATTAAATTGAATATGATTTTTTTTTTATATAAAATGAAGATTGCATTTCACTTTTTAGTGAAATCAAAGTTGTTAAAAACCCTAAAAATTTGAAGTTTCAATTTAAAAAATTTAAAGGTCTTAATTTGAAAAATATAAAATAAGAACAAAATCCATGCACACAATAAACAGTAAAATTATCAATTAAAATATTTACTATACAAATTAAATTTTATATACGAACATAAAAAAAGCAATTTTTATGTTGCCATTCTTATAAAAGAATTCGAACAGTATATAAATATAAAATTTAAATGTATTAAATGAGTTAATGCAAACATTTACTTACCTCCTTATAAATAAATTTACATTTGGTTTTCTTATTTTCCAACGAAAATTTTTATTAAGAATGGGAATTATTGATATATCACGATTTATGTATGAAAAAAAGGAAGTTGCAAGCAATTTCAATAACTCTTAATTAAAGTTAAATTTTAATTTCAAAAATTCAATAAAATGAAAGCTAACAGAAAATTCATAGCTGAATTAAAAATGATTGATTTAAATGACGCAATTAAATGAGCTAAAAACTGGAATTTAACTGGAACGTTTTACGTTTGTCTCCGAAAAAATCTCTTGACAAAATGACCTAAGTAAATGTGAACAAGAGTCATCCCCTTGGATCCCTTAAAAGCTTACATCTGTTTTCCTAGAACATCTAGATAATTGCTAGTTTAAGACAACTTAAGGGACATATAGATGGTACTGTAAATATATGACATTTTATAAAAGCACAATAGAGCCCAGGGTCATAAAAATGATTAAGGCAATTTAAAGAAGCAAAAGGTCATTTTTCCATGGTGTAAAAGGAGATGGCTATTTTTTGAGGAGTCAGATAACTGTAGGTCAACTCTGCGGGTGGTATGAAAGTTTTAACACCTCACCTTCATACCACCCACAGTCAAAAGATGCTTTAAAATATATCTATTAGTCTCAGTGTATGATGCATTTTTCAGGATGCAAAACAGTGGTACTTATTTTAGTTTTCTAAACACTTGTTATGTTTTTTTATGATGTGCTCCTCTTCTCTTTTCGTGCTTGAGTTTTAAATTTTTTTAATAAATTAAAAGTTGTAATATGTAAGAAAAATTGAAACAAAACCGAAGTATTTTTCTTGTGGGAGGGGGGGGGGATTTCTACTTCAATTTGGAAAATAGCTAGTAAATTGGAAAAAAAGTAGTTTCTTTTCTAAAATTCTCAATTCTACTTTACTTTATTGTAGCGATATGTCAAATTTTCAGAAGGGGTGGCGCACATTATCTTCCATCTCAATTAAATTTCAGAGGAAAATAAAGTTTTCGATTTGGAAAATAGCTTTAAAGTCGAAAGTAAGAGTTAAATATAAATTTTACTTGACTTTATTCTTGCGAACGTCTGAATTTCAGAAGGGGCGAAGTATATTCTTCGCCCCCTCACTTTAATTTAAGGGGAAAATAAAATTTTCTTTTTAAAAAATAGATTCAAAGTTTTTGTTTCAAAAAAAAAAATTACTAGACTTTATTATTTAAAATGTCTAAATTTCAGAAGATACAAAACACATTTAAGCCCCCCTTACTGTATCTCAGAAGAAAATAAAGTTTCCTATCCCCTTACTATAATTTAAGAGGAAAATTAAGTTTTCTATTTGGAAAATATCGTCGAAGTTATGAAACAAAACAATTTTCTTCCTCTAAAATTTCCTACTTTACTTGATTTCATTCTATTAATGTTAATGTCTAAATTTCAGAAGATGAGAAGCAAATTCCCCCCCCCCTCACTTTTATTTCAGAAGAAAATAAAGTTTTCTATTTGGAAAATAGATTCAAAGATGAAATTTTTTTTAGTTATCAATTTCTATTATTTTTTAGCACTTTGAAATTTCAAAAAGGGCAAAACACTATGTTCGCCCCCTCATTACTATTTCGGAAGAAAATAGAGTGAAAATTGGAATTATAATATTTTTTCCACTTTCGCTTTACTTTTCCAAAAGTCAAAAAACACATTAATCGCCCATAGAAATTTCCTACTTGTTGTATAACTTCAAAGCTGAGAAAGAATAGCTTTTTTTTCTTCTTCTCTAAAATTACCTATTTTAATGGACTTCGTCTTGGCGAATAACTAAATATCAGAAGAGGCAAAGCACATAAATGTTAGTGGAATATAAAGTTTTCTTATTTCAAAAATAGCTTCAAAATTGAATTTTATTTTTAAAATTACCGATTTTACTTTATTCTTGTGAGTGTCTAAATTTAAGGAGGGGCGAAACGCATCGTTTGCCCCATCACTTAAATTTTAGAGGGGCCCTCTGCCTCCCTCTGGTTGCCACGCCACTGGGTCTGACGCTAGATAGCAGAGGAAACAATGTAAACCAGAAGTGCAATGTACAGAAAGTGTTAACAATCAACTACATGCAGCTGTGGCCTTTCCCCTTCTCTGTAAAGCGTGTTTGTTCTTACGAGAAAGGGAAATAATTCGCGAAAAGCTGTTATACCGTTTTTTACCCTTTCCTTTATGTTATAGTAGGTACGTAATTACAAAAAAGAAAATTTTCAGCAACTCTATCTTAACACAATTTCTTTCCTACATATATATAATTAGAGTACTGTATTTTGAAAAAACATGATGTGATCTCTTCATATGGGGCCCCCTTGACCGTCGGGGCCTCGGGGCGGTGCCCTGGCGTAGTTACGGCCCTGAGTTAAAGTCTCTTAGTTGGTTTCAATGATCGTCCATAACGAGAGTATCGAACTTCTTTATTGGCAGGGATTAAATCCTTGTTGTGACAAGGACTCTCATCATGTCTACCAGAATTGTTCACAGATGGAAAGACATTTGCTTTCACTTCCAGCGGAAAAAGTCTTTGTATAGGTCTCAATAGTTTTCCAGATTGGGTTTTAAGTTCAACTAAACGTACTCTACCATCCTTTCCTGGATAAGTCTTTTCAACTTTGGCTAATGGCCAGTGGATTCTTTTATTGTTGGAATCTCCTATTAGCACAAGATCTACTTCTTTGATAGACGACTCTCTTTTAATTTTGGAATTATCTTTAAGCAATCCTAGATATTCAATTCTGAATCGGTTTCGCAGGTCTTGTCGCAATCTTAACCGATAAGAATATCTTTTGTTCAATTTTTTTGGATCAATTATGTCAAGTTCAGGAACACCAATTTCTTTAATTTTCTGAAGAAACATAGATGGCGTGAGCGCTGACAGATCTTTGGGATCTTCTGAAAGATACGTTATAGGACGGGAGTTAAACTTTCCGCGTCGCATAATACTGTAGCTAACTCTTCTTCATTCAAACAAGCTCGTCTTAGAACCTTTCTTAGGATGCCTTTCAAAACTCCTATTAATCTTTCGAAGAAGCCTCCCCACCAAGGGGCAGAGAAGGATTAAATTTAAATGAAATTCGTTTCCTTGAAGCAAAGTCTTCAACTTCCTTCCAATTAATGTTCTTCAAAAGATTTGCCGTTCCCACAAGATTTGTCCCTTTGTCAGAATATACTGTGGACGGGTGCCCTCTGCGAGCAATAAAACGGCGAAGGGCCAAGATGAAACAATCTGTTGACAGGGACGAGACTACTTCGAGGTGTACCGCTCGGTAGATGGAACAAGTGAAGAGTACCACCCAGCATTTTCTATCTCCTTTTAAAAGCAGAGGCCCGCATGGGTCGACGCCTATAATTTCAAAAATAGCTGCGTCTCTGAATCGATCTTCTGGGAGAAGAATGCTTACGGCTTCCAATGGTTTAACCGAGAATCTCTTGCACTTGACGCAATTTTTTACGACGTTTCGAATTGTCTTTCTGGTTTTAATGATCCAAAACGACTCTCTGAGGTGAGACATCAAAGTTTGAACACCGGCATGTTTCAGTTCAATATGTTTGTCCATTATTAATTTTTCCACCAAATCATGCTTGATAGGCAATAATATAGGGAATCTAAAAGTTTCTAAGTCTTTTCTCGATGTTATTTTTGTCTCAACTCGTAAGAGACCATCTCTGTCTTTCACTGTTCGAAAATTTATCTTTCCATTAAAAGATTCTCCTTGAATTTCTTTCAAAACGAACTTCTCGGATGCTTCGATCTCTTCTACCTCCAATTTTCCCTTCTTTCTATCACTATGATTTCTTAGAGTATTTTTATAAAATCTGATGACGTAGGCCATGATTCTCACAATTTTATTAAAGGAAGATCTCTTTTGGAAGATTTCAAAGGCATTAGTTGTTAAATTTGTGGCTGAGGATATAGTTCGTTTTCTTTCTGAAAGAACTACTTCAATATCCGGAGAAAGTACGAAAGTACACTAGTTGGCCAATTCTCGAATGGCAGTTTTAACCATTGGGGGCCCTCCCACCAATGGGATTTCAATAAACCTTTAGAATTGCATCCCCGCGAGGGCAAATCTACGAGATTATACATTATACTTTCCTTGAATATGCCGCCAAGCCTCCGAATCCGTAAGTTTTCGAATTTCATTGACTCTGTTAGCAACAAAAGTGGCTCAGTTATCTTGCTTTTTAATCCAGTATAAAACGTTCATTGAGTCAGTGTAGAAAAAGGTTTGCACATTCTTCATATTCAAATCATCTCTTACAGTTTAAGCGAGCCTGGCTTCAATGGTACACGCAAGAATTTCTAATCTAGGAATTGTTATCGATTTTAGAAGTGCTACCTTGAATCTAGCCTGTAAGAGTTGACAGTTAACTATTCCCCCTTTAACATTTCTAATAAAAATTGAAGCCGCGTAAGCCGATTTGCTCGCGTCTACGAAGACATGCAGAGTAGAATTTTCATCTACACTATCTAGCCATTAATGACCGGACACCCCTTGAACGGCAGGTGGACTCGTCCTGGTGGAATAAATACGGAACCTGTGGTGGGGGAAAGACCACTCGCAAGCAGGCGACGGCCATACGAGCGTTAACAGTGAAAATGAGTGGACGACGAGAGCTGAATGAGGCGGAAAGGGGCATGATCATAGGCGCCCACCGATTTGGCCATTCCATACGTGCCATCTCCGACAAGTTTCAGGTACCACAGTCAACAGTTGGTGATGGTGACGTCGTGTTGAAATGGGAACGAGAGGGAGTGAAAAACCGCAGTCCCGACAAGGCAAGGCCAAAATAATGTCCGACAGGGATCGACGATCTCTTCGACGTGTAGTGAAGGCAAACCGACAAATGTCGTTGGACACTGTTGCTACCAACTTCCGGGCTGCATCTGGCAGTGTTGCCAGTGCACGTACCATTCGTCGGGAGCTGATTGCACAAGGATTCCATAGACGAGCATCAGCACATAAGCCAAACATCTCTCCATCAAACGCCCGCCACCGATTTCAGTGGTGCAGAGCGCGTCGCCAGTGGACAGAAGAGCAATGGAAAAGCGTTATGTGGAGTGATGAGTCACGCTACATGTTGTGACACTCTGATGGACGAGTGTGGACCTGGCGAATGCCCAGAAAATGGTACCTACCGGAGTGCATTGTCCCCATTGTGAAGTTCGGCGGTGGAGGAATTATGGTTTGGTCCTGTTTCTCATGGTTTGGCCTTGGAGCCTTGGTGTTAGTGCGTGGAACCCTGAACGCAGAAGGGTATAGAGACATCCTGGACAATTCGGCGCTTCCCACCCTGTTGCAACAGTTCGGTAATGGCCCGTTTGTGTTTCAACACGATAACGCTGCCATTCATAAAGCACATGCCATCACGGACTGGTTTGATGAAATGGAGGTGCAAGAGCTTGACTGGCCATCCCAAAGTTCCGACATCAATCCAATTGAGCATCTCTGGGATGAGTTGGAGCGCCGGTTGAGGCCCAGACCACAATGCCCCAAAACCACCACTCAACTCTTCGCCATGTTACAGGAGGAATGGCGGGCAATACCTGCCGCCGTATACCAACACCTAGTGGACAGCCTTCCTAGAAGGGTTAAAGTGATTTAGGCGCGTGGTGGCCCTACGCCCTACTAACTTGATACTAGCACCTCATGTATCCGAAATGAGGGGTGTCCGGTCATTAATGGCCAGATAGTGCAGATCAGGTGTTTTTCTTGGGATTTCTATTTCTTTCAGACATTTTAATTCATTAGCCCACTTTAGAGATTTATTCCTCAGATTATCCGGAATTCCTGTAACCCAATTAATTTTTTCCTTCCAACATTCTTGCAAGATTAATTTAGGAACTAGTGTGACTTTATGGGGCTCCTCTAAGCTCTGGTGCCCAACGCACTTGCTTAGTATGTTTATTGGTTGATCCGGCCCTGAATCACGATGAAATCTGTATATGTTGTCAAATAAGTTGCTAAGTAGTATTGCAATATATAAATTAATGGGCCTGCAATTGAATGTTTGAATTGAATATTTTGCAGGAAAATATTTTTTACCAACCAGGTTCGTCCTCTCCTTCGTCGGCGACAGGAAGTGCGTGTCACATTGAAGTAGCTACATCTGCGTTTCAATCTGTTCCCAAGTTTTCTGGCCATTGCGTTTATTTCTATTTTTATGCATTCAGGGCATAAACTTCTCATCTCATATTAATTTTCGCGTTTCTGTTTCTGAATCGTCGACGGACGAAAAGTAGAAGTTAGATGAGGTATTTCTTTCTTTCCTTTTTCTAAATTGAATTGCAAATAATCCCTATATGTTGCTGAAATTTAATAAAATTATAAATTTTTAGAGAATTAAACAAATTCTGCAATTGTTTGCTTCTGACATCGATTGTAAATAATCAGCTGCCCTCTTTCCTTATTATGTTTTTTTTTCCTTATTAATGGGTCTGCATACCTAAGATTTAGACATTAATAATATGAACGGAAGAATTCTAATCATTGTTTTATCGATATTCTAATTATACTATAACTTAATAGATAGTAAAAAAGAGGGATATGCAACTAAAACAAAAACGTATACATATTATCTCATTTTTTAATTGTTTTTGACAATTGAGAGAAATGAAAACATCGTCTATTGAGAAAATTATTTTGCATTTCTTACTATGATTATTTTATTAGTTTTGCATCTGAAACAAAAAATTATGTACTATCAATATGTTAACAAGTCATTTTAATCGATAAAATTGTTTATAGCATACGAGAGAAATAAAAACATTACTTATTGAGATTGTTTTTTTTTGCATATCTGATTACAATTATTTCATTAATCTTGCACCTGAAACTAAAAAGTCTATGTTACCTTTTTTTAATCGAGAGAATTGTTTTTGACAATGTATCAAAGTGAAAACATCGCTTGCTGAGAAATTTCTTTTACCTTATTAGATAATTTCATTAGATTCGCATCTGATATAAAATGTACATTTTATCAGGTATTAAATTGTTTTTGAGAAGCGAGAATAAAAATGAAAACCTCACTTATAGATTTTTTTTCATTTCTCAATATGATTATTTTATTAGCTTTGCTTCTGAAACGTTGCAAGCAAGATATTTATATTACAATTGATGGAAATGAAAATATTGCTGAGAACAATTGTTTGTATTTCTTATTGTGTTTATAAGTTAAAATCTTTCATACTAATTGTTATAATTATTTTCTCTATGTTACATGCAATTTTTAAGTTGATCAATTTTTTTTACTTTTATTTTGTCATTAATTTACATTTATTTAAAATATGTTTCAGTTTTCTGCTTATTTAAAATTTACAAAAATTAATTACATTTTGTGAGCTAATTTTAAAATGCATGAGCAGACAATGTCTTAATTTGCAATTAAAAAATATTAATGTATATTTTAAAATTATTTACTATCAAAATGTCTTAATTTTAAAATGGGAATTTTTTATTAAATATAAAATGAATTAAATAAAAAATTAATGTAAAATTTTTTACTTAGTGAAAAATTTGCATTACATATTACTAAACAGTTAATCTTCATAAATATAAATCAGTTGATGATTTATTAATAAAGGGAGATTATTTTTTTAAAATTTTATCGCTTCAGTAAATTTAAATTCAGTATATTTAAATATGTGCAGAAATTCTTTTTTTTAAAATTTTAATTTACATATAGACTTAAGATACACGTTAATAAAAAAAATTAACTCTTGTTTATATTTGCATCTTTCCCATCATGTAGGTGTAAGGTATAAAATTAGACAGGGATATAAAATTAAATAGATACCTAACTGAATGATTTATATTGTTAATAGATAAGCACTAAGTAAGGATTCTAAATGAAATATGAAAATTTTAAGCAGTTAGCATTTCAAGTGTGTTTTAAGTTTTTAGGAGAATGTTATAAAATTAAAAGTAGCAATGAAGGAAACGAAGGAAATAAAAATAAAAATGTGACCACCGAAGCAGACGTCTTCAGGGGGTACCAGCCCCGGTAGCCATAAAACAAAACCATTTCTATTGAGGAAGAAGCAAATGCCTAAAGTTAACTCCCTCAGTACCCCGATGGTTTTGTATAGAAGTCCAGGAAAAAACATGAAATGCAAAGAACCAATTTAGAAACGAAACTCAAACAAAATAATCAGAAAATAAAAACTCACTTTAACCAGGTCAAACAGCGATTTCACCAGCAAACCGAATGAAAAGGAAACATTTAAAACTAAAGAAAACAAGGCCCTCTATTACAATGTGGAGATTGAAAAAAAAAAGTAAAGGAAAAGATACGTAACAAATTAATAGAATGCTTCACTGGGGCTGCTCAGTTAAGACTTGAATTGCGTCCTGTTAAAAGAAAAAATATATAAAAAACTAGAATTCTTCAATCATTTTCTTAATTAAAAAATTAACATTACAAAAGTTAAAAGGAAAATCATTATTACTCAAATTATTCAAAAAATTATTCACAGCTTCCCGAAAACTTTCAACATTATTGCAAATACTTTTAATTCTAACCAATTGTGAAAAAACTAAATTTTTAAATCTTTTATTACACAAATTAGTATTAAAGTTGCAGAAAAAAGTAACTTTAAATTTAAAAGCTTTTCTTTTATCTAAAACACAAATTTTAATAAAACTGTTAACAATATCAATTTTAAAATCTAAATATTCAACATTTAAATATTCAACATTTAAACAATTCTCATTAGTTTTCTTCGAAACCAAATCTCCAGGAAAAATACTATAAATAAAATTATAATTATCGCAATTAAACAAAATCAAATCATCAATATATCTAAAAGCATTAAATTCATTATGCTCAAGAAATTTAGCTTAAAAAAATACCAAAAAATATTAGCAAAAGCACCAGAAAAGGAATTACCTTGTGGAATTCCAATAATTTGTTTATAAAAATCTAGACCATTAAAAAGAACATTCTCAAAAAGATTAAACTTACATAAATCCAACCAATTAGACTTATCAATTTTCTCATTAAATAAATACCTATCATAAATGCCGTCACAAATCTCAATAATCTTTCCATGTGGTATACTNGTAAATAAATGACAAAATAAAAGTTTAAAAAAAATTGATCAACTTAAAAATTGCATGTAACATAGAGAAAATAATTATAACAATTAGTATGAAAGATTTTAACTTATAAACACAATAAGAAATACAAACAATTGTTCTCAGCAATATTTTCATTTCCATCAATTGTAATATAAATATGTTGTTTGCAACGTTTCAGAAGCAAAGCTAATAAAATAATCATATTGAGAAATGAAAAAAAATCTATAAGTGAGGTTTTCATTTTTATTCTCGCTTCTCAAAAACAATTTAATACCTGATAAAATGTACATTTTATATCAGATGCGAATCTAATGAAATTATCTAATAAGGTAAAAGAAATTTCTCAGCGAGCGATGTTTTCACTTTGATACATTGTCAAAAACAATTCTCTCGATTAAAAAAAGGTAACATAGACTTTTTAGTTTCAGGTGCAAGATTAATGAAATAATTGTAATCAGATATGCAAAAAAAAACAATCTCAATAAGTAATGTTTTTATTTCTCTCGTATGCTATAAACAATTTTATCGATTAAAATGACTTGTTAACATATTGATAGTACATAATTTTTTGTTTCAGATGCAAAACTAATAAAATAATCATAGTAAGAAATGCAAAATAATTTTCTCAATAGACGATGTTTTCATTTCTCTCAATTGTCAAAAACAATTAAAAAATGAGATAATATGTATACGTTTTTGTTTTAGTTGCATATCCCTCTTTTTTACTATCTATTAAGTTATAGTATAATTAGAATATCGATAAAACAATTATTAGAATTCTTCCGTTCATATTATTAATGTCTAAATCTTAGGTATGCAGACCCATTAATAAGGAAAAAAAAACATAATAAGGAAAGAGGGCAGCTGATTATTTACAATCGATGTCAGAAGCAAACAATTGCAGAATTTGTTTAATTCTCTAAAAATTTATAATTTTATTAAATTTCAGCAACATATAGGGATTATTTGCAATTCAATTTAGAAAAAGGAAAGAAAGAAATACCTCATCTAACTTCTACTTTTCGTCCGTCGACGATTCAGAAACAGAAACGCGAAAATTAATATGAGATGAGAAGTTTATGCCCTGAATGCATAAAAATAGAAATAAACGCAATGGCCAGAAAACTTGGGAACAGATTGAAACGTTTTAGTTCATTTCCTAATGGTACTTATTGATTATGATTTATTGAAAAAAGAATTATTGCGTTTAGTAAAAAACTAAAATTTAGGTTAAATAGGATTACATCTCCATATTTATTTCCAAATTGTTAAATTTCATAAAAATCTGATTAAATTTAGATTTATAGCGCGTGGTACTAATTGTTATAATTCTGATATTGGTAAAAGGTTTTTTAGTTTCCTAAAAATTATTTTGCTTAAAATTAAAAAAGAGAAAAATATTGTTATAAATAGCAATGTTGAAGTTGTGGATTATATTAATAATAATGATATTTTGATTTTGAAAATTTGTATACAACTATACCACATGGAAAGATTATTGAGATTTTGATGGCATTTATGATAGGTATTTATTTAATGAGAAAATTGATAAGTCTAATTGGTTGGATTTATGTAAGTTTAATCTTTTTGAGAATGTTCTTTTTAATGGTTTAGATTTTTATAAACTAATTATTGGAATTCCACAAAGTAATTCCTTTTCTGGTGCTTTTGCTAATATTTTTTTTGCTTTTTTTTTAAGTTAAATTTCTTGAGCTTAATGAATTTAATGCTTTTAGTTATATTGATGATTTGATTTTGTTAAATTACATTAATTGCGATAATTGTAATTTTATTTATAGTATTTATCCTGGAGATTTGATTTTGAAGAAAACTAATGAGAATTGTTCAAATGTTGAATATTTAGATTTTAAAATTGATATTGTTAACAGTTTTTTTAAAATTAGTGTTTTTAATAAAAGAAAAGCTTTTAAGTTTAAAGTTATTTTTTTCCTGCAACTTTAATACTAATTTGTGTATTAAAAATTTTTAAAAATTTAATTTTTTTCACAATTGATTAGGATTAAAAATATTTGCAATAATGTTGAAAGTTTTCGGGAAGCTGTGAATAATTTGAGTAATAACGATTTTTCTTTTACTTTTTGTGATGTTAATTTTTTAGTTAAGAAAATGATTGAAGAATTCTAGTTTTTTATATATTTTTTCATTTAGCAGGGCGCAATTCAAGTCTTAACTAAACAGCCCCAGTTAAGCATTCCTTTAATTTATTACATATCTTTTCCTTTACTTCTTTTTTTTTTTCAATCTGCGCATTGTAATAGAGGGCGTTGTTTTCTTTAGATTTAAGTGTTTCCTTTTCATTCGGTTTGCTGGTGAAATCACTGTTTGACGTGGTTAAAGTGAGTTTTTATTTTCAGATGATTTTGTTTGAGTTTCTTTTCTAAATTGATTCTTTGTATTTCATGTTTTTTCCTGGACTTCTATACAAAACCATCAGGGTACTGAGGGAGTTACTTTAGGCATTTGCTTCTCCCTCAATAGAAATGGTTTTGTTTTATGGCTACCGGGGCCGGTACCCCTGAAGACGTTGGCTTCGGTGGTCATGTTTTTATTTCCTTCGTTTCCTTTATTGCTACTTTTATTCTTTTTTTTTTTAAATTTCTGCTGCTTTTTAGCATGTTTTTTTCAAAGAAGTTTTATCTATTTAGGATTTAAAATTTTTTTTTGTTTTCTTTTATTATTATAAAATTAAATTAACATCTGTGAATAAATAAGCTTAAAAAAAATCTTGCATTATCAGAATATTTATATACTAATTAATTTATTTACTATTGCTTTTTTTAAAACGTACTCTCTGTCACTTTTTTTTCTTTTTCTTGAAATGCTTTCAACTATATAATAAACCAAATAAAAATACATACTTTTGAATGTAGCATATTTTATTCAAAACTTTTTTTTAACCTTAAGCAGCTTTAAAAATTTTTTTATATCTTACTATTTAAAATATATGTTTCATTATATTCCTACAAAGATGTGTTTTGAAATTGAATGTTACATATTCATTCCATTTTTTAATGCCCTGTTTATTTATTAATGCAAAATAATAAATTTTTAGAATTACTTTACTCTTTATGCAATAGACTCCTTAAATTAGATGAGCAATAGTTTCTATCAACAAAGAGTTTTTTAAAAAAAATCCAACAATACTTGTTGCAAAATCCAAAAACATAGAAAAGTCCAAGAAACTCACATAAACTAATGCAAGCTGTGTTTTTCTGTAGAAATGCAGGATTTGCCAAACCTATTCTATGAATTTTGCAAATCAATATAATAATTGTTCAGATATGAAAACAAATTAAATTAATAGTTTTAAATAATAGCATATTATTTATTTTAAACAAAGGAAACATTGAAGTAGATCGTAAAGAAATAATAGACTGTAAAAAAATTAAGTATACTAGTGTTCTCCCTACGCGTTTTTAGAAGGGTTGTCCGCCCTGCCCCTACCCTTTGATCTTCACCCTCCTTCCCTTTTTTGTAAAAATAAGTGGCAATGCCTACAAACAATGCCTTTGTACTTCAGGAAAAGATTGTTTTCTTAACCACCTGTTTTAAGTCCATTTCTGATTTATTTTGTTATTGATAATTATTTAACTTTAATTTTTAATTTCATTCCTTCATTTTAGTAAGATTTTTCTTATGCTGTCTAATTATGTAGCTAAAATTCGCAAAAGATTTGGCCTCAAAGATATTCGCATCTTTTATTTGGGTATTAATGAATTTTAGTGATTTTTAGTTTTACCGTTATATAAATACCCTTTTATTTAAAAATGCACCTTTAATTGTTTATTTTTTCATAATTTTCAGTTAAAATGTGAAAAAAGCTTCCAAGTTGTTCATCAATTAATCCCTTTTTTTTAAGTTTACTTTTTTTTTTTTTTGAAGAAAATTTATACACAGAGAGGTTTTTAGCTTGCCTTCCAATTATTTTTCAAAAGCTTCAACTTTTTCTTTCATTTTGATAATGGTGTGAACTACTTAGTGAATTAACACATAAAGTAGTATAAAGAGTAATTTAAAAATTGAGGATCATCAGTCATTACATAATATTACATTGCGAATCAGTTATTACATAATATTATATATTTTGATAAATTTTAATGGTGTTAAGTGAGTACCCTCTCAAAGTGCCCTTTTCTTATTCCTAGGGAGAACTCTGAGTATACCATATAATGATTTATTTACATCCTCAAATCATTCCATGATTAAGCTATTGAAATAATACTGGGTAACTTAGGTGAGTAAGCAATTAATTGCATTTGCACTTATATGTTTATTTTCATTTCTCAATCGAAAATTAATAAATTTTTTAACTACATCCTGATCTAATCTTTTGCAATAAAATAGGAAGATTAAATTATTTACGATACTCATACAAAAATAACTATAGCTTTTGGAAAAACAATTCTAAATATAAATAATGAGCGAATAAAGGTTATTAACAATTAATTTACATTTAATATAAATTAGTCTTAAAAATTAAGACAGATAATGTTAAGTTACTTTTTGTTTATTTTAAAGAAAGTAATGTGAATAAAAAATAAAATAAATATTCATTGCAGATGATTTTTTTATATTTTTAATTTATAAGTTTATTTGTATACTTCAACTGATTTATGTCAATATATTATTTTATATCTAATGATTACGCCTTGTGTAATTATTTGTGATCGAAAAAAGTCATACAAATTTATTAACTATACCAGTTTTGAAATTCAAACTACTATCCGGGGGAAAAAAAAACTTGGCCATGCTCCTTCTTATACCAAGTAAAGTTAATAACATAAATGTTGGATGTTTTATTTACTTCTCTTTTTTTAAAAAAAAAATCTTTAAATGAAGCATTTAATTAATTTATTTTTTTTAGGTTGTAAATTGGACATGTAACTAATAGATCTCATCACTGTAGCTGCAGCAGACTTAATCATGTCTGGATCAAAATCATCATCTCGCTCAGCTGCAGTGAAACGAGATGGAAGTTTGCGCTATGCCACTAGGCATTTAGTTGCTGAAAAAGGGAAAAGAGGTAGTCACAAAGAGGTTAATTCATCAAAATCATGTGATTGCTTATTAAAATCTGAAGGAAGCAAAATTTCAAAACATATGTACAATTCTAAGCTTCCTATCAAGCGAGGAGCAAATAATCGTATAAGTAACACGAGAGATTCAAAAAGTAAATCTGCATCTTCTAACCATCAGGAGAAAGTTGTTATAGTTTCTAAACGCTCATCCTCTGTTAGTGTGGTGAAATCTTGCAAATTACGCAAATCAGTATCAGTTAAGAAAGTTAGTTACTCCACCTCAGTTGTGTTATCTTCAGAAGAAGAAGATTCAGACAGTGAAGATGATGAAGAAGAGTCGGGGGATGAAGAAAAAGAAGAAAGTTTAAGAAAAACCAGAACTGTTGTGAAGCATACAACATCTAAAGTGAAGTCAAGCTTTTCAAATGTAAAGAAATCTACCAAGAAATCTGCGCAAAAAGCTAAAGCGATTAAATTGCTCTGTGAGAAATTATCTTCTGGTAAGCATAAAGATGAGTTTGCAAACCGTGAACTTCGCCCAAGATTTCCCTATAGCATGTTACAAGACATCCCAACTGCTAGATCTCACAGAATGGCAAGTTTAAATGCTTTAGCCAAAGTTCATGTTTTATATGAAAATGAAGGTAGGACAGTTGGTGAAAGCCTGAATGATGCTGATGAGACAACATTAATTGACTTTCTAAATGAAAATTCTGATGAAGAGGATGATGAAGACGAAGAAGATGAAGAGGACGATGAGGAAGAAATAAAATTCAATAAAATGTTGAAGAAAGAGGCAAAGATATCATCTAATAATCATAAGGAGTCCAACAGTGATAAAAAATCAGAAAAAACAAAAGCTGTTGAGGCAAAGCAGAAGAACAGTAAAAAAACTAAACCAAAACCTATTCAACGTAAGAAAAGAAAGAGAAAAGCTCCTGATGTTGAAATAATAGATACCAGAATATGTAAAAGAATGGCTAGTTTAAATGCACAAGCTATCTTAGCTGCTAGCTATCTTCAGGAACCAAAGCCCAAAAGAATCTCCAAAAAAAGTGATAAATGTGATAGTTCTTCAGATACAGAAGATAAAGAAGTATTTCTTGAATCCAAGTGTGACATTGAAATTATAGAAACTGAAAACAAAGATACAAGTGCTATTAAAATTAAAGAAACTAAAAACAACTCGGTGAAACAAAAACCTGATCGAAAATCCCTTACTTCAAAAGATAATTCTCTTGAGAGTGGGAAATCGCCTGCATACAAACCCTCAGAGTTTCCTAGTCGTTCCAATTGGTCGATTGAATCAGATGTTGCATTATCGGAGACACTTTCTTCAAAATCAACTCCACTTTCTGTTAGCAACAATACTGTTGTATCATCCACATCAACTAAAGTTGGCTTAACCCAATACACAGAAGTCACTAAAGTTCAAATCAAATCTCATCAAGATACTGAAATCAAAGAAGAAAGTAAATCAGAAAGAAAAATAGAGCACATTGTATCAAATGACGATGTAGCAATTACTCAAATGTATCATTATCAATCTAAAAATTCTAATGAAAGTTATTGCGTTCAAATGCAGACAACTTATAAGCCTGGATCAAAAACCTTGACCCCACCTTCTCTTGGCAACCCTTTACACAAGCATATGAGTGAATCAATGATGTCAAGTGGTCAAAATTACTATGGAAGACCTAGTCATAGTCCAATTAGTCCCTCTCAGTCATATCACATGAATCCTAATATTGGGCCTATGTCACCTGTGATGGGAATGGATCGAGTACCTCGACAGTATGGTGGCAGTGCTTTTACTGTACCCCATTATCGTCAGTCACAGCAACCTCAATATTCTCAAAATGAATATGGTAATTTGCATTCAGTTTGTAATTGTTTTTTTACTATTTTCCATTTTTATTATTATTTATCAGTCAATTTTTACAAAAAAAAGGTACTTATCAGTTAGCAGAGTGCAAGTAAATTAATATATATATATATATATATATTATTTTTATTAGTAATTAATTTATTAACATCCATTTTGTATTACGTTTAAAAAAATTCAGTAAATAAAATATTAAATTTTCTTGCTCTTAGCTAATTAAAAAGTGCAAAACAAATAAAAGTAAATATAAAATTTTTCACTTGGGGTAACATAAGCTTTTTACTAGACAAAATTAAAATACTAATGTTTGCAACAAGTTTTGAGATCTACCAGTTGAATGCAATTAAAATTTTAATTCTTGTGAATTTTAATGCTAATTTTCAAAAAATGAACACATTTACACAATAGTAAATAAAATTAAATATTTTGAGTCTTAATTATTTGAGAAGATATGGAATAATATCAACATATATTGGTACTGTGAAATCAGAATAGATTAGATTTTCCTATCATAAAATAAATAATATACTTATAACTACTGTTCAAGTAGTTAGTAAATTTTAATACATAAAAAGAAAGCTTTCTTTGCAGAATTATACTCTTACAAACTAAAAACTAGGTACAATAAGTGCAATGTGATTGCAGTTTACGTAGATAAATCAATTGTTCAGGCTCATTGAAACTTAACTCAGATTGTCAATACCTGTGACAGTGTAGAAACAATAAATACACATTTATATACGTATTTTTCTATCAAGTAATCTAAAATTTATATACATACAGTGATACACGAATAAAAATTCCTATTTAAAAACTTTGCCAGTTTAAGTAGTTTATATTCTTGTTTTTATTTTGTCCCTTATTTCTTTATTACTAAATTAATCCCTTTAAGAAATTTTGTCTAACTTCTTTTATCGATTAAAAAATTTTCTGGGATTTCCCATTTTTCTTTCTTTCTCATAAAAATATTATTGTAAACAGGTTTTGCTACTGTATATATATTTTTTAATCTTGAGTAAATTGTAACAATATGTATATATTTTTTTTTATATTCCCATTATAATTTTTTTTCCTGACATGAAATATAAATATAAAAGTTATCATTGTATTCTAGGATATTATCAACCTGCTGGTCCTTTGATTCAGCCAGCACCTGACAACTGTACTATTCACAAGCCTGTTCCATATCATCCTCAACCAAATCTTCATCAACAACCACAGCGACCTCAGCCTCCCGCACCTCATCGAAATGCCTACCAAAACTTTCACTCTCAACCTCATTCTAATAACTCTTCAGTCATGGGCCCTCACCACATTCAAAGACAGAAGCATATCATTCCTGCCTGTCCACCTCCATTGGAGATTCTTCCACCTCAACCTAAACACCCTCGGTATTCTGTCTGTCGCCCAGGGGAAGAAGTTTCTCCACGAGGATTCAGTAGCCATTCAACTTATGAATCTTCAAAACACCCTCAAGCATTGCATTCATCTTATTCCTCTAGAGACAGTTATTCTGGTTACGATAAGCAAAAACCTTCTACAAACGCATTTGTTAGATATTCTCAGCCTTATGAACAAAAAGATAATCATTCTAAAAACAATTTTTCACGAAGTTTGGCATTTAATGCTCCTCATCAGAATGTCACAACCAGTTCATCTTCACGGGATTCTGCCCGTTTACACAGTAATTTAAGTCATTCTTCAACAGAAATTCATCAGCATTCATCGCCTCCTCAAGGAGCTAATCATTTCAAAAATCTAAATGAAATGGTCAACTCTAGAGAGAGGTCATGGGGTTTGAGAGATAGCCGACCTAGAATGCCTGCATCCTCTTCAAACTTTGCATCTTATCAAGAAGATGCTAGAAAAAATTATTCGGTTGACAGTCATGAAAATGCATCATATCCAGTACGTCCCCCATCAGTAATAGAAATTGTTGATGATGCACCACGTGATACCAAGACTTACATTCAACTAGAAGTTCCAAGAAACAGTCATAGGGAAAAAATTGTTGTCGTTGATATAGAGACTGATGATATAGAACAAAAACCTTGTGAATCAGTTAACAAAGAGGTCGTCTTGACTGCAGATGAGACTAATAAAAGTCTTCCAGAAATTGAAGATACGAGTATAGTTAAAACCGAGAGTCAGGTATCTGTGAGCCAATCTCCTGCTGTCACTATTGCTGAACAGAACAAAAATAAAGAGTCCAATGAAACTTCTGATATTACTATTTTAGAAGTAAAAAAAAAGAAAGAATCTGCTGTTGTTCGGAGAGCTAGACTTCATGGGAAACAGAGGACTTTTAGAGACTGTTATAATAGACCACTTGCACCGTTGTTCAAATCTAAAAAGTGTGACATATTAAACGTCACTGAGGAGCATTTGGGTAAAAAATTCCAACCTCTTGTGTCATTGCCTCGTCTTGTGCTTCCAAAAATTCCTGATAAAAAGCCTATTCATGGTTGGTCGTGGGAAGGACCTATGCAAGAAAAATTAGTTTATGTTTCAGTAAGTATCAAATTATATAACATTTCTATATTCACCCCTTGTACTTGTTATATTATGGTACTTATTCTCTTTAGGGTCAGGTGGGTTATATGAAGTAAAATGGGTACTTAAAAAGCATCTATTTTCTCTTTTTAAATTGAGATTATTTGTTTAGCATTTTTCAGAAACATTTGCTGGGATTTCGGACAGCAAGCATTTTTATTTCAGTTTTAAAAATTGATAAAAAATTTACTGTTTACAATTTATTTGCTTATCAGGGGTCTGTCTAGGTTTTTCTGAGAGGTACCTATTTTGTGAAAATTTAGACATAATTTGTGAAACATTAAAAATTATATTAAAAAATCACGAAAATATGGTCAAAATATGGATTTATCGTTTCTTAAGGGATGAAAAAATAAAATTTAAAGAAAAAGTATTTTGTGAAACTACCGTTTTTCCTAAAGTTGAATTTGTGAAGATACCGCTAAACTAGGGGTGCACAACCTTTTTGAGTGAAGGGCCACTTGCACAGCAGTTTGACTAACGAAGGGCCACACATGTATTTAGGCATATTGACAGCAAATATAGTAATATTTATTTAAACATGAGTGTTCTAATTTTTTTATCAATAAACTTTATAATATATTTCTTGAAAATTAAAGGCCTTTAATTATTTGAATTCATAATGAAAATAAAAAATGCAATGCTCAGAATGAAATTAGGATAAAATTTCATACATATTAAGTAATATAAATTCAAATTAAATATTTTAATTGAAGAAAATTTATAAGGTTTAAACAGAAGCCTAAAAAAAACAATATTTCAAAATAAAATTCAATACTTTATTATTTGTTTTTATTGATTATAAGATTTTTTTATATGGTAAACGTTTTCTCTTTTTTTATCGCGAAAGGTCACTTAAGTTACAAAAAATTTAAATCAAAATTACAAATGGTTAGCAGTTTAAAAATTCACGTTTTCCACTACTTGGGGGATTTGTCAGGTTGCATTAAAATTTGTCAAAAATTCAGTTGGTCGAATGATCGTCCAAATATTCGGCAGAGTATTTTTTAGAAAAGTACTTTTCTAAGTTTTTTTGAAAATTTGTATAGATATGATAAAGAATAATATAAAATCGTATTTTTAACTATACATATATATATTTGCTAAATCATTTATTGATGAAAGGGAAAATTTCTAAGAAAAAGTGTGTTTTTTTTAATGAAAAAGTATTTTTTGAATGAATTCTAGTAATTAAAGGTATTTAATTTTCTGCAAATATACTAATTTTTTTATATAAAAATTTAGTGCTAGAACTCTAACGTTGACATAAAAATTATCGTATTTGCCACCAACTTGACTAAATGTATCATGGTATATGACAATTAAGTCATTTAATAAAATTTTAGTCTTATTTTTGCTGAATTTTTGTTCTTATTTAGGCAACTATTTTCATGTTTTAGGCTACTAAAAGCAACTATTTTGTTCATTTTTTTCTGTGGCAACCCTGCTATCTGCGGGTAAGACTATCTAAATCAGCAGTTTAACTAGTTCTCAGTATTGGGTGCAATAATGTGCTTAAAATAATGTATAAAAATTGAATTGTTAAATAGGAGTTAAGTAATATGAGTGAATACAGCTAGCTTTCTTAACAAAACAATCTAATAAAACAGCACTCACAGTCCTATTGTTTTAGCAAGCTCTTGGGAATGTATTTAAAATAAAGTGTAGAAGCTTAGATATTATTTAAGTTCGAGGTTAAATTGATAGAGCAAAGTGATCTGAAAAAATTGCAAAACCAGAGGGTTGAGAATTAGCTGTGTTCCTAGTTCTGTAAAAGTAAAAAAGTAACTATAAAGTATTTATTATAAAGTATTTTAAATTTTTATGTTATATGTTTTTTTTAGAATGACAGCCATCCTTGTTTGAGACCTTGTTATCCTGCAATTCGCCATGTTGAGGGTGATGTGATATGTGTTAGAGACAGTGTTTTTCTTAGATCGGGTCCAAGAAAAACAGATTTGCCATTTGTTGCAAAAATAACAGCGCTGTGGAAAAATCCTGCTGATGGTAAGTGGAAACATCATGGTAAGTTAACTGACTACTGAATATCTTATAATTTACTAAAATTATTGTGATGTTATCTTTGATCTCATAGTGAAATTATCTTTGTCATGTGTTAATTGGTTGAGAATTATAGATTACAATCAATAAAATAAACAAAATTTGAAATTTTTAAAGTAGAAGATCTAGTTTATCTATATTCTATCTCTAGATCTATATTTGCTATAACCTGCTGATTTGGTTTTTAGGATATACTAATCAAATTGTTTATGATGATTATGGCCATCACCATTATACCATCTGTTTTAAACAAGATTATGATTTGCTCTTGGAGATATGTGATGAATTTCTAAAATATCAAAGTTATAATACAACTACAGTTTTTTTTCAGACTTAAGTCTGGTGCTTTTTCTGGAAAAAAAAAACTGACTTCTCCTATTTTTCCCATGAGAAAGTGGTACATACCAGAGGAAATTTTGTTCAATTTTACCTAGAATAGACAATATGCATGATTTTCAAAATAATTTTAAAATGAAAGAACTTAAAATACTACTTTGAAATAGGATAATTAAATTGAATTGCATTTAAACAAAGTTAATTATATATATAAAGGCCTTTTTAATTGTTATCATGTCACTACCAACATAAACGACTGGTTGATGACGATCATTGCCTATGATGTGACTTTATGCTAAGCATTCTAGCAAGTGCCTTGAGTAAAGAGAAAATTTAATGTAATTATTTTTATATTTATTATATATTTTTATTTTCATATGGCATAAAGAACTGTAAAAAAATGAATTCGGCTTGCTTTTTTTTAAAATTTTTCTTTTCTTTTTTTAGAAATAAATATGTAAATTGTTATTCTATTTATAAATATTTGCCAGTTTGATGATAAGGTGAGATAAACAACATCAGAACTTATTTTGTCACATTTAAAGTAAAGAAGAACTAGTAAGAAATAACTAAACGAACTAATAGAACTTTGTAAAACTAGTTTTGTTTACATAAACCTTACAAATGAAGTTCATTGGCTCACACAATTAATAATAGCAAATAAATGCCCAGTATGATTTTAACGAAGTTATTAATTTGTTTTATTATCCATCAAAAGTGTCTGAAAAAAATTGAGAAAATTAACATAAATATATTTTTTAATTTTAGCATATTGTTGTACCAAACATTTTAATTACAAATTCATCTCGATGCCCATACAAATATGTAAAAGACAAAAAATTAATCCATTTTCACTTTGGCAATATGATTTTATTTTTTCTTGATTTTTGTTTTTACAATTTCTAATCTCAAAATACTTGAAATTCTACTTATTTAAAAAGATGGACGAACCAGCTGCTTGCCAGAGGCAGCTAGTATAAAATAAAATTATTAAAATACATTATAAATTCTTGTTTTAAAAAGCAGAGATCTTCAGATTTCTCTTTTTCACAATACTATCTTTTTGATTGTTTTGTGTATTATATTTTACTTTGGCTTGATTTTTCCATTGGTTTTTGCATGTTTCAATGTTACTTTTCTTTCTAGGGGAAATGAACATGAGTCTTTTATGGTATTATCGCCCTGAACACTCTGACACAGGGAAAAAAGTCACTTATGCTGAAGATGAAATATTTGCCTCTAAACACAGAGACACCAATAGTGTTGCTTGTATTGAAGATAAATGTTATGTTCTAACTTATTCAGAATACTGCAGGTATATTTATTTATTTTTTCTTGCAGTTAAATGTGTCCTAATACAACACAAATTAGGAATATGAGTAATTCGATTCAAGCTATTCCATCGGGATTTCACATCGTTATATGATAGATTTTTGCAAATTATTTATCATCTTTCTTACATAGTTTTCCTAATTATGATATTTTAATACTATATTATTAGAACTATATTATTTAATACTATATTTCGAGTTTGAATTATCACTTTTTGACGAGTTTACTGGGCATGCTTGATTAGTGACGATTTCATTGTAATTTTACGTAATTTGATGATTGTTCTTTCTCAAGTTATTTACCTTTTTTTTTTGGTTTTTTGAAATTCAGATATTTTTAATACAATGTCATTGCGACATAAGAATTTTGAATTACAGTTACTACTTTTTGATGTGTTAGATTCCATAATAAATTCACGTAAATGAGTGCCCCGTTTTTCAGCGCTTTCCTCATGGGTTTTTCAAAAAGTCTTATATTCTTTAGATAATGTTATCACCACAAGTGAGCCTTTTGAACTTGAGGAGTCACTTTTTGACTCTCTCAATTCACAATGATTTTTATCGTAAATCTATGTCATTTAAGAATCGTTTTTTCAGCAGACATTTGTTTCTTTTTTCTATTTAGATATTTTTCATACGATATAATGGTTATCGAATTTTGTATTTTAGTAATCACATTCTTGCATGCTTGATTCGTGAAGATTCAATCCCAAATCCACATTAAATTCCAATGGCTTTTTCGGCAGTTGTTACAGTTACTTATTGTTTTTTCAGGCATTTTTTAAAATCCTGATATTTTTAATATGATATTACGAAAAGCAACATTTTCAAAATACGAGAATTACCCTAATTTTAAAACTCTCTAATTTATCTGCAGAATTATATTTAAATTAAACTATCCCTATGAAAATAAGACTTTTTTTAACTATAAAATTATAGACTTTGTATATTTTGGGTTTCTTAAGAGCAATGCAAATTTTTGTGAAATGCAACTCCTTATTGTGATGGAGGTTCTTTTTTTCGGGGATATAATGCCCTTAAGATCTAGAATGAAACCTGCCTTATTTTCAAATACACAGTGTTTATCTTATAGTATTAAACTGTTCATCGAAATTATTTATTTGATTCTACACTGATTATTTATTTTAAATGATAATGTTTTTGTTTTAATATAACTCAATATTAAATATCATCTGCGCAATAGAGGAAAAATCTTGAATTTGTGGGGAAATATCTTCTCACTGTACACCCTGTAACCAGCTTTTATTCATATCAAGTTTCTAAGTCTCAATAGATGGCCCTGCTAACTGAAATTTTTAAAAACAAAACAAAGGTTTCTAAATAACTGCTATTTGCAGCAACAACATGATGCAACCTGAAGACAAAATAACAGACTTTGATGCAAATATTTTAGTTACAATTGTGTGACAATAAATGTTATTTTATTGATTAGTTATGCCATCCCCTTAAGTATTCCCTTCACTGCACCCTTGTAGTTTAATTAGTTTGTATCGCTGAACAATCATTTATAGTTCACAATTTCAGCTGGAGTAAAATTATTGCTGCAAAATTGCTTCAAAACTTATAAATTCCTAGCCTGTCCTCAAAATTTGCGCTAACAAATGCAAAGTAGGCAGTCATGTCACTAGCTAAACTTTATACGCTTTTCAATCCATGGCAGACCTCGCAACATGACCACTAGCATTGTGCTTCCTGAAAATTGCATGGCCCTATTCTGAAAAACAGTGTAGGAAGCACACTGTCATCAAAAGAAATGCAGTATGTGTCAGTGATAAACTGAACATGATTCGGACCAACTGTCACAGAAGAAACAGCCCCAGATCATAATTCCCCCTCTCAATAGAATTAGAATTTATGACACTCGTTTTTGCCGTTTTCTAGATCGAATGATTCTTTAAAGTTGATTGCTGGGGGTTTTTATTTAAAACTGTCGGAACCACACTTTAGTATAAATGAGCTAATTAAAGTGAAAAACTTCTTTGTTTTAAAATCAAATTGTCTGGAAAATTAAAAGAAAATATATTAATGAAAATTTGTGTATAACTAATTCATTTCAATTGATACAATGCGGTTAAAGACTAAGAGATTAAATAGATAAACGTTAAAAGTTAGAATGTATGGGTGTCTGAATTCTAACTGGTAGGTAATGTGTAAAATTTATTTATTACTGCAAAATATGCTTACACGCAGGGCTGTAGCAAAAAAAAAGAGATTTTTTTAGAGGGTGGCAAAATGAAAAATTATTCTAAACCCAAATAAATAATGGTAAATTTTAAAAACCTCTCGAGATTTTAATTTTTTCATATTTTATATTTAATTAGTATTTTTATTTTATTTTTATAATTCATTTTAAATGATGCAATATTATTGATAGTAAAAAATATCTGGTTCTGGTTTGAATATCTAGTTCTAGATAGCAGCAAAAGTAATTATGGTAAAATAATTTTTTCAGTTGGCAATTTGAAAAAGAAAATGATCAAGTCCAACTGAAAAAAATATATTGATGTACCTATTAATAGGTTGATTATTGTTTTTTAATGTAGCTTTGACAGAGAAAAGCGAAAAGAATTCTGTTCATAGGCAAAATAGTTTTTTAGTCAATCTCCTTGCTAATTTAAATATATANCATTTATATATATATATATATATATCAGAAACAAGAGTCAACTGAAAAATAAATTTATAGTTTTATCTGTTGATAGAGTATTTCTCCATAACTTTGGAGGTGCTGACTGATCCCTCACTACGCCCCTGCTTAAAATATTATTTTTATTTTTGAAAACTATATTCTTTATTTTTATACCAGGTACAAAAAAAGATGTAGGTTGTTAGAGGATGTAACCAATGTGCCAGTTTGTGTAGTACCAGAGGGTGAAGAATCCCTTAGGATGAAAAATCTACCTCCAAATAATGTTTCACCTGACCTGGTATTATTTTGTAGAAGAGTTTATGATTACAGGCAAAAAAGACTACTGAAGAATCCAGTCTAAAATATTCATAACTGTGTGATGCTGCTTTTTAAACCTTTTATTATGGACCAGCTAATTATATTAAAGGAAAAAGAATTATGCAATTGTTTTAATGGAAGCTCTGTTTCCTAACTTTTGCATCTGTGTTTGGAAACAGTTTTATTTAATAAGATGTGTACATAACATTATTTATATTATAATACTGAGCACTGTAAAAACAACTTTATGGTCATTGGTATTATTAAATGAAATTTTCATTGAGCTTATTTAAGACGAGCATTTTTTTATTTAAAAATTGTTCATAATGATTTTTTTTTTGTGTTTTACTGTTTTTTTGTGAGCTTATAAATACTGTTACTTATATACTGTTTATGTAATATGAGATTCACATGTACTAAGGAAGAAGAAAATATTGAGATATCATAAAATAAGTATGTGTTTACAAAAACACATTTTTTAAAAAAATTATATAATCAAAAAAATGCATTTTTAGCTCAATATTTATTTTGTAATAAGTAAATAATTAAAATAAAGTAATTGTCAAGCACTTATTTTTATTTATTATAAATACTTTTTTAAAGTTTCACATTTTTAACTAGTATTTTTTTCATTGTTATTTAAATTCTTGCATTTTTCAAAACTTTGACTTAGGTAGTTTTATAAGATTTATAAGATTGAATTGTAATAATTAAACCAAATCCAGATAAAGTACACGATAATTTTATCAAATAAGTTTTTTTTAATTTTACTTATTTTTTGACATCCACAGTACTCTATTAAAAAGATCTTTAAATTAAAAAATTATTCTTATGAGGAAATATTAATATTTGCCTTGTATTAGTTGGGCTGAATTGTGACTATAAATCAAGCTTCCATTAACACACATTTGCATAATAATCTTTCTCAGGTGAGAAAAAACAACTTTTATCATCGTTTCCTTGATGTTATTCTTGTCATTTTAGCTTAGCCAATGGTATAGTATGATTATTAACTAGTACAGTATGGATATCTAGTTGTTTAATCTAAGCTGTAAATAAATACATGACATTGTGATTTTATTCTTTATGTAACACGTCTTCGTTAGGGTTTAATGTCTCTTTAATTTAATGAAAATAGATTTAAGATATTCATTAAAGCACTGATGAATACAAGTAACTCAAAAATTACATATTTAAGTTTTTCAACTTTTGCATTGTTATCAGTTCTATTTTGACAAAAGTATTACTAATTATACATGATAACAAAAACATTAAGAAACTATTCATCACAATCATTTATTAAAATTAAATTTTGATTAAATTAAATTATTAAGTATTTATATTATTTCTTAAGTTTAAAAATTAATAATAAAATAGAATGAAACAATAATAAATAAAAAAACTGAAGCAGAAATATGCTTGAAAATAAAAAGAAATTTCCTACATCAATATTTAACATAAATTTAATTTCTGTAATGTTATAATTTTTCCTATTTATGTTGCATCAACTTATTTTGATGTTCTTGAGTGGGATTTCATTTGTGTCAATGCTGATTCTTCAGTAAGTGATCTCAACTCAGCTCTGCATTGCACATAGACATTTATTAAACTCTGATTTGCTTATTATTATGGCCACTGCTGCTCTCGAGGTCACCATGGATAATCTTTTTTTTTGTCTTTCATTTCCCTGTATATTTTTTTTGTTGATAACTGTGTCTTTTCTTATTTCTAACCTACTTCTGTTTTCATCATCCATGTGTTGTCCTAATGATAGGTATCGTGTTCGAGAGCTCAAAACATATCAACCTTTCTTTCATTTCAACTGTGAAGCAAAGGAAGTTTTTTATTTTCATGACTAAAAACATTAGTTAAGTTTTGCTGTGAAACAAAATAAAATTAATATAAAGCATATAAATTTTTATATTGTCAACAAAGATATTGAGAGCAGTTAGTTTTAAATGCATTCTGTTTTATTTTAAAATTTTCTTTTTAATTTAAAGAATAATTTTTTGTTTTGAATAGAAGACTGATGATATTTGTGATCACGGATAATTGTTTTATTTTTTGTCAATTCTGTTTATTTGGTGTTCTTAAAATGTGAAAGATAAATTCTGTATTATTTTTCACTGTACATTTAAATCAAAACAGAACAGCAATGTATTTATTATTTTTAAATTACTTTGAATTATCAGATTTAAGGATTTATTTAGTATTCAAATTTTAAAAAAAAAAATAAAAGCTCCATTCTTATTTTTTTTATTAATTATTTGAATAAATATTTGGATATCTTAGGTTTTATAAAAAAAAAATATATGTTGATGTTTTATGCTTGATACATTAATATGCTTTTGAAATTGTGATAATGATTAAAGCATGATTTTTTATTTAACGTGATTCATTTTTATTACCTTGTGTGGTAATTAAACAATTTCTACCTTTTCCAATAATGTAATCATGTAACACCTTTACATGTGGATGTGAACTTTGCTTGAAATTAAAATAGTTCATTTTTGAAGTTATTTGAGCAATTATTATAAAGTAACTTGAAGCTGCTATTAAAAAAAACATGTTTAATAAATACCATTACAGATAGTATTAAAATTATAGAGGTATTATATAATTATATTTAAGAAGAATGTATTTAAGTACTATATTAAATACATAAACGTTCTTTTAGTTAGTTGTGGTAATATATTACTGAATCATTGCAAAAACTTTGATAATTAGTTTTGCTTCACATGTATAAGTAAGTACCTTTAGGGGTAAAAGTTACTTGTATTTTATTAAATAATTAGTTTGCTTTCAAAATGTATAGCTACAGTTTATTGTACACTTATTAATATAATTTTTGAATTTTTATGAAATGTTTTTTTCCCCTTTCATACACTTGTTATCTTTTGAATTTTAAATATTTATAATTTGATTTTTCAAATATATCTGTTATTTTTATACTTTTTTTAATCATCATGTTAAAAATAAACATACCGTTTTGTTTAAAATTGTTTATATTTTTAATGAAAATAAATTTAAGTTAAATTAAAATATAAATGATAAATTTTATTTTTAGTAACTTAATTATGATCCAAGTGGCAGCATCATATGTAATCAGTAATTATTATTGCAATTTTAAATAATTAAATTGTATCTTTTTGTTTGTCTTTCATCCCTCTTCTTCTTTTCTCGTAACTCTGCATTTGGTATTGTTAGCACTATAGGACTGAAAGTGGCAAACTCATAATTAAATTTTTTTTTTTAATTTTATTAAATTTACTGTCATATGCACTTGGTCTGCTATCTATTAAAATTATTTTAACACTTTTCACCTTAATTCTCAATACTGTGGTTACTGACAAATCAACAACCATTTTTTAGCCTAGTTATTTATGATGTGATCTTTTTGTGATGTTGTCACTCGTGCTGTTTGTTTTATGTTTTTTTTTTTTTTTTTTTTTTTNAAGTTTTTTTTATGTTTTTTTTTTTTTTTTTTAATTATTGAAAAAATATGAGATTTACCTCATCTAATTATATAGAGGAATTAGTGAAATTTATTTGCTATGCCATTGGTTCATCATCTAGTGCTTATTTTATAAATTTGTATATTGTGGACTGTGGTGTCATAAATGAACTGGTTGTCACTTTACCTTGCATGGATAACAAAAGAGATATATTTTCTTAAGATGTTGAAATCATCTATAAAAATATACATTATTTATTTCACAAGTATGGTATATGTTATTATTTATTTTATATTTATTGAACTTGGTTTTAGCGGTTTTAAAGAATTTTTATTATAAATTATTAAAAATTATTTTATATGTGATTTACTATATATACATTGGGATATCTGTGTGCTGTTGGAGTGAGACAGATTAATTACTTTATTCATAGTTACCAATTATTTATAATTGTGTATTTCATTGATAGTATTATATTTTTTTTATTATTATATATTATGATGTAGGCAAGAAATAAACAAATAGGCTATCGTAATCTGTCTAATCAATAGTGAGGGAGCTGATTTAAAAACATCAAAACCAGTTTGATTGTTTGCTAAAATTTAGAAGTGTTTCACACAATCACCTTTCAACTCTTTTTTTTTTTTCAGTAGTGATTTGAGAGATTTTATATAATTTCTATATTTTCTTTGCTTAATATTAATCCAAGGTCCCTTTAGTGATTACTTTTGTTTATTTAATTTTTGACAAAAAAATAAATAAAATATATATATATTTAGGGTGGCCATCACAGAACATCTTGCACCATTTCCCTACAGAACTACTGGAAGGTTAATGTTATGAATCGGTCATTGTAACTAATTCTTATGTTTCATGCTAAATACAATTTTGGAAACTATACAATTATATACAATTTTGGAAACTAATAGCTTGGCAAAATATACAATTTTGGACACTAATCTAGTAAGTAATGCTATCAAGTCAAGCTTAGAATTATGTATAAAAATTTAAAAAACAAATAATGATTGCAATGTATCAGTTAGAAATGATGCTGATTTCAGTAGGGTTTAGAGTTGTACATGATTCTGGGTGCATAAAATATTGAACGGTTCTTAAAAAGAAAAAAAAAAGTTTATTAAAAAAAGTAAAAGCTCATATTGACATTTTAATGCCAGGGATGGCGAACATTTTTCCATCTGCATGCCAGTTAAATTACACTTTATTGTTTACAGTTTTTTAGTGTGTCACATCAATTTCATTCTGAAAAATCATTTTTTAAACCATAGATTTACATTGTGTAACTATGTTTGGTTAGTTTTAAACAGTATTTTAAAAATATTCTAATTTATTATGCTTACTAAGCTAAATCAAAATATCTTAAAACCGGCACCCTTTGCGATAAGCAATAATACGAAATAGATATAATCAATGATATTTAAATTTTCATAGATTTCTTCTGAAACATGGACTTCAGTAGTAGTCAGCTTTACATCCTGTCATAAATGCAACCAAATTCCCACTTTTCAAAAACAAAAAAAAATGTTAGTAAATAAAATTAATTTAATATGTACATCTCGCATGTCACCAAAACACCAGTTATGTAACCACATAGCGGCACACATGCCATAGTTTCACCATCTCTGTACTAGGGAATAATAACTTTTGCCCTGTGGCTCATAATATTTTATCGACCATGTGAGTTAGAGATTCTCTATCTAAAATTTCTAGGTGTGATCACTATAACATTGGTCCAGATCATAGTTTGGAACATTTCTACATATTTTTGAAAAAATTAATAAGTCAATGCAGTTTATACAATTTTTGATTATTTAAAAAAATTTAGAGTTACTTATATTTAAAAAGTTTGGTATTAAAATATTTTATTTTCAAAAATAAAATATTTAAATTTATTAGAACTGAATTGTTAATTAAAATTAGATTTAAAGATTTATGTAGCCTATTTTGGGATTTTTTCTGATAAAATAAATATTATAGCGTGCATTTTATTTTTTGTTACAGGTTAAATTTTTGCAATAAAAATTTTTTCCCCTATTGATTTGAAATCTAAAGCAAATATATCAATAATAAAAAATAAGTTCAAAACTTTAAAAAATTTAATTTCAGTTCAACTTAAAATGCAAAAATAATAATAATAATAATAATTGGTAACATTGAAGGAATTGAAAAGTTTTGGTATAAATATTACAGATTTGAAGGTGTTAGGCTATTTTATATTGCGCAGTTACATCATGGTATTGATACAAATAGAAAATAATCAATTCATTAAAAATACATTTTCAGTAAACACTGCCTCTTGTCTCACTTCATCTATGTTAAAAATAGAATATTTTTCACATAGTATTTGCTTGTGATTGTGTAAATATGAATAAAGTAGCTAAATATGATTCATGTAAACAAGTAAAACAGCTGGGAAGGAATCTGTATTTCCATAAAATCTTTAACCTTAGAATGGGGAAAATAGTGTTTTATACTTAAAACAGTAATAGTTAGCTATCACAACTGAATAGTTTAGGTTGTAAGAAAATGAAAATAATTAATAGATGCCACATTTAATCTTTTGTGTTTTCATTTCAGACTTCTTGTGATAGTTATTTTACTCATAGTTGTGATATGAATCATTGTGCAAAGCACTTTTCTATGAAATAGCTTGTATTGCCAACAGAGGTGATGCTATATGATTTTTTTTTTCGTTTTTTTTGAAGATTTAAACTTCTTTTTTTGTTGACACAATTTTGTATGAAATAACTTAGTTGCAAATCTGTTCTAGAATTACAAAAATTATTAATAACTTGTTCACTGCTGTGAATAATGCCTTTACACCTAAAATCAATTTTTTAATTTATTAAATTTAAATATAAAACATAAAATTTAATATTATTAGGGCTCTTTTTGAAAGCAAAATTTTAAGATGTATCTAATCTGTGTTGCCTGTCCTAGCAATAATGAAATTTTAAAAAACTTATTCAAAGAAGTGAATGGTGTGTTTAAATTATATACTCGCAAAATATTTTTAAAAAATATTAAAATGAAAAACTAAGTATTAAATTAATTTTAATTTAGTGCTAGTGCCTGTATTTGGAAGTAAAATTTCAATTAGTTAAAAACACTATTGAAATAAATGAACAATGACTTTAAAATTCATACAACTTAAATATTTTTGTTCTTCAGAAATTAAGTTAAAAACACTAGCGTTAAATTGAAACTGGTTCTAGTTTTACTGATATTTTGTTTCTCATTTGTTGATTTAAGCTATCGAATACTTATATCCTTCCTTGCTAGTGAATAATATTAGAAAGTTACAGCATTTATAGTCTATGCAACTGTTTTTGTTACATTAAGAAAAATTAGAGTAAGTTTATGTTTATACAGTTATTTGCTATGGCTGTGTTCCAAACAGTGATTGTGTGTAGTATGTAAATGGTTTGTCACAATTTTATGGCTATGTATGGTAAAATTTAATTTGCAATAATTTTAGTCCTTGTAAAGAAATAATATATATATATACCAATCTTATTTAATATTACTATAGTTAATTAAAAAGTGCTTTTACTGATATGTTAATGATGCCAAATTGAGTTGAGACAAGAACTTTTAAAAGTAACAGTTTATTTTACTTTTATAAATTATGTACAAGTAGGTCATATTAAAAACTGTGGAAATTTAACGTTAAAAATTTTTTTCAGATGTATTTAGTAATAAATCAAGCAATTTGAATAATTATGGAATTTCCATTGATTATCAATTATTTGAAAGAACATATTCTAGTTAGATTGAAAAGAAGAAAATGTATAGTAGGTGTTCACTATTTTTCTAATAACTGCAAGTTTTAAGATACATTTTAAGGTGTACTTTTTAAATTTGATATGCAAAAAATATTGAACTGCATATCTGGTTGGATTTGTTTTTGGCATGGATTAGAATGAACAAAACACAAGATGTTATGAATGATTTGTTGCACTGGAGAATAACCATTTGCTTAATTGTGGTTAGTTCTTAGTAGTTGTTAGCAGCTTTTCTAATATTCTTGATAATTGGTGGTCCAGATAAAATATAATGAGCCACACTCATAAAGTGGATATAAATTATCATGAATGAAATATATATGCAAAAATTGCTTCTAAAATTTAAAATTTTTTAGAAGAAAGAGCAATAATTATTAATCACGAAAATCCCTAATAAGCTTATAAAAATCTTTAATAAGCTGAACTGATTGAAATTCTTCCTTAGGGTTTGTAATTTTTTTGACATGCAAAATTTACAAAATTATCCGTTTTATAGTTTAATCAAGATGTGAAAAGCTCTTTGAAGCATCAATTCCTTGAAAAATCACATTATTATTTCAGTCATCCATGCCCGTGTAAACTAATAAATAAAAATCAAGTGCCAATTTATGAATTTTTATTTAATTCAATAATTTATCATTTTTATAAAGTTTCATCGATTTATAATCGTAAATGAAATCAGTATTTTGGAAAAATAATCCCCCCCCACTTCAAATTCACAATCGTTGCCAAAAATGTGTAGATGAACAATTTAACTACCATTAGCATCATTAACAAATCAGAAGTTAGCTATTTTGTGCTCTATATTTTCTCTCATTCTGTTCGTTTTTGTCTTCCAAATACTAATATGTGCATTAATGAAAATATTATCCATTCCCAGCTTTCATGTGCAACAACAAAAAAAGAGCATTCAAAATGTTTATAATAAAATGTTTTGCTACACGTTTATTTTATGAATTTTTGTTTAAACATTGTCAATAGTGGCATTTTTCTTTTTTAAATAATGCACGTGTAAAAGTTAACACTATTCTATTTTAAGGTCATATGTTGAGAATTATAATAACCAAAATATAATATAACCACTGACAAATTATAGGCTGGAATAGTCTATTATAAAAGGCTGTGCGTAAATGAAAATTCAATATTTTTCTACTCCCCCAATTGTGGATTACCAGTTAGCAAAATAAATAAACAAATCATCTTCATCTATAATAATTTCTGATTTAATAATTTATTTTAAAACCTAAGGAACTCCTGGAACGCCAACAGAACACAGCTAATTATTTGAAGAGTTTAGTTTAAACTCCTCAATGCTTGATTATGCAACAAAAAATCGATGTAAAAAAAGTCAATTGTTCGTTATATTTCAAAAAAGAAGAAACTTTTACAGTTCAAAAAAATGCGAATGGTGACTTCTTAGAAAAGTCTGTTGCTTTGTAACCATGCATTGAATTAATTTATTAAAATCTATGCTAAGCAATGGAGAGAAATGGTAAAATTTCCTCACAAGATAAGAATTTAGGCAACTGTACCAAATTCTTCAGAAATGTTTACTAATAACTTTCTGTTGAATTGAATATTTATTTAGAATTGAATTCTAAATAAATATTTTTGGTAGAATAAGTCTATATGCAATTAAAATCAAAATTTTGTTTTCTAATAAATAAAAAAAACTTTTTTGCGACTTTAAATCTAACATGCATGTTGCAAAATTTGCACACATAAGGCAGATAAAATTTTATAAAGAAACAAACTAATAGTTACATAAGTTTTGGAATCTAATAGGATTTTCCGTTTCTCCTCTCAGCAATTTTTTATCCCTTTAAGATAATCTAAACTTAAATGTAATCCACAGATTCTGTACTTGTCTACACAGGGTGCATAGCCAAATCTTTCAACAACAAAGTACTTTTTAAGCACTCAAAAAATATTTTTAAATACTATATACATAAACAAAATAATTTTCAAAGACTTTAGATGATCGTGATAAAATAACTAGTTTGTGACAAAGGACTCTTTAATTGATTATATTAGGCCATTATAAAATAATCAAGAGATTTTTTGGTTCAATATCAGAGAGAGGAAAATGAAGCCTGGAATTGAGAATATCTTGCAAAATGCCGCAGAGTTGAGAATGCAATAATCTCACCAGCTTAGTAGATCAGGGGTGATTGTGAGCCCCAACTCAAAACTCCTGAAAATTTCTGGAGTGAAATCATTAATGAAGTATCTCAAAAAATTAATGTCTTTATAAATTCAAATTTTTGATCTTTTCAAAACATGAAATTTAAAATATGCAGCATAATTTAAATGGATAATTATGTATAAGCTTACTTTTGTCTAATCTACAACAAATGAAAGAGATGCCAAGTATAAATTCTAGTTCTAATATTTCTAAAAAAATATACAAGAATTTTTAAACAAAAATGTGATTGATGATTTCTTGAGACTTCTGGACCTTGGGTTTCTGGATCGCGGTTAACGAAAAATCCTGAAATCCGGAGCACAATCATCTCCAGTAGATGCACGTGAGTAAGTATTTCATCAAACAAATGCATGTAAATTCATACGGAATACCGAAATAGTTTGTGGTTGAATGAATTGTGAAAACGTTGAATAGAACAAAGTGAAAAGCACGCATCTGCATAATACACGGAGAAAAAGAGACATTCCCTTTTCAAAAAGGGAAAAAGTAAGCACTTTTTAAAAACACCCCATGAAAAAAAGCACCTTTAAGGGCTTTTAACACACTTGTTGAAAGGATGTCTTGTACTGAGGCCCATAGCAACATAAAACAAGAAATTTCAAAGAGAGACAATACTGCTAGTATGGATATATTTATTTTTAAAGCTTCTTACATTGTACTTTTGAGCTATATAATTTTAGCTACATGTGAATATTTTAAATTCATAATATATAACATAAAGTAATTTTTTAAAAATAAAATAACCTTTTTCATAATGCACTTCGCCATCACCATTTCTATACAATATTTGATACATGTTACCTGTACAGCAATAAAACTTATTACCTTTAAGACTCAATACAAATTCAGATTTTTATAGGTTAAGTGAAGTGCATAATAAAACAAATACTAAGTGATTCATAAAGATAAATATCAAGACAAATACAAAATTAAATTTATACATTTCTTGACATTAAGAGATCAAATCAAGGCCAACAAAGATTAATTTTAACTAAATATAAGTAAATTTCTAAGACCAATTCTGAATCTTAAAACTAATTCAAAAGATAAATTTAATCTATACATTTCTTCATAATCATTGCTGAAATAAAAGTAAGCAAATATTATTTTAAATTACAAATAGACATGAGAAGAATGAATTTAATATACAACTATCTATTCTACTGCAAAGTACATTTCAATCCAAAAACTATATAAACTCGGTATGAGAAATTACTCGAATGGCAAAAGACCTCCAAATTTTATAATCCTGGTTGAGCAATATTCATATTTCATAATCTCTGCATAAATCTGTACCTAAACATTATTTTAGATTGGCACTAAATAAAATAAAAAATTCTCCAAGATAAATTTCAACTGAAATCTATAAAATTTTAGCATTCAGTTTCAAAACCCATTCCTACTAATTAATTTTCTTAAATTATAAAGTGACAAAAATAACCATTTCTCATACACATGTTTGAATGAGGGTAAATTTTGCTTGGAAAGGATTAAAGTTCACAATTACTTTGCAAGAGTTTAAATTACATTTTAACTTTCACATAAATTAAGTGGTTCTGTATCATTGAAACCATAACATGAAAAGTTCGTAATTTTTTTTTTTTCCCTTCATATGTATATAGATTTATGATATTCTGGTTTTATTTAGCAAAATATGATAGTATGTGTTTTTAGTTTTGAAAATATTTCTAAAAAGGTCAAAACAAAACAGTTAGCAAAACAAAGTTTTGCAAACAGTTTGAAAAGTTGTTAGAATAAAAAGAATCAGTAGGTTCTGAAAGCTAATTTTACCAACCTTAACACTGATTATTAGTTTTCCACGTTCAGCAATCGAAAATAATTCTGATGTTTATTAGTAACTTCATCTAATTATGAAATCAAGTTAGGAAATTTATCTTTCACACAACTGTTCAAGAAGAAACAAAAGAATGATATATTAATGTATCAAAGAGTAAAACAGGTGTTTCCAAGAAAATTAAATTTATATATATTTACAGCATTACCAGGAGAACAATTTAATATAATTCGGAAATTTTTTCTAGTTCAACTCTGAGATTTAAAATCTGTTAACTTAGCTTTTACAAACATAGAGATTTTAAAAATATAATTTATTGCAGATGACATTAAAGGTACACTTAAAAGTATATTTGACCTTTTAATACCACTCTCTGTCAAATACAGATATTTACAATTATGTCACAAAAAACCTGAGGTAAACCCCTCAGGTTTTTGTAAATTGATGTTCTAATTATTAAATAATCTCAAAAACATTCAATATTATTAACTATTAGATTAATATTTTTTAAATTTTATCATACTTAGATCATTCTAAGAAAAAACTTGTTTACATCTTTAAATTGTTATAAATAGAAAGAAAAAAAAATTATTTTATTCAATCTCAATCTATTAATGAATATTATTTTTTTTAACACCCTAAAAGCTTAATTTGAGTTTAAAAAAGCTTATTACAATAGTTTTGAAGTCAATTCAAAACTACTTAAAATGTTGAGAAAATAGTAATTTCAGTTAAATAAATTTATATAAGTCAAAATGATTAACTTTTTAATTACAATGCAAAAGTTATCAAGATAAAAATTAACTGTCAACTATAAATATTTAAATGACAAAAAATAAAAAAACTATATTATACAATAATAAATGCCAAGTAAAATACCATTTACATACTCAACAATACTTAACTATAATTTTTTCTCAGCAATTCAATAAAAAATATCTAACATTACGTGTAAAACTAAAAATGTCACGTAAGACAGATGAATTTTTTTTTTTTTAATTGAAAGAGATATTTAATATATTGGCCTCTCTAAAACTATACAATACTTAGAAAATTTAAATTGTTTTTAAGTTGAAATTTTGCACAAATAGATTTCAATTTTCCAATTGCAAAATGTATTTTACTATAGAAAAAGAAAATTTTACTGACACTTCAACAACTATTAATTTAAAAAACAAACAACTTAAATTTTGGTAATTACAAATTTTTCAGTTAAAGAAAAGGCTTTGAAAGGTTTTCAAAAAATCAAAATCACTTTTTAATAAAGCAATATTAGGCATACATTACAATACATAGAAAGCAATTAACAAAGAAAAAAAAACACCCTAATTTAACAAGGAAAAAAAAACACCCTAATTTAACTAGGAAAAAAAAGTGAACACATAGTTGGAAACATCCTTTCAGTCATTTTAAATAAAAGATAATTCACACAGCAATTACACAACCTACATATATTTAGGAAGATGAACACCAGGATGCACACCCGTGGGCAAAAAACAGCATTGGAATCTTTTGACTTGCTCCTTGCACTATGTTAATAAAAATATGAAGAATAAAAATATATATTTTTTTAGCCAAGGTAGTTATTTCAGTTACTGATCCAGTTTAGCCTTCCTCAGAGTATGAGACATTTTGTCATGCAAATTTTGTTTACGACAATGGCATCACTGCTTGTGGTAAAATACACACAATTACTAACCAATTTGTACTAAAAATGAAAAGATTACTCTAAAAATATAAAAGATAAGCATATAAAATATTATAGTTTCAAATATTTGATCAGAATCCTCATGTCTGATATTGGGTTAGTTTTAAGCTTTGTTTCTTGATTAAATTCGTAAAAATGAAGAATTATTTTAAAATGGATTAGTATTTTTTGACAAACGAAATTACTTTTCTTACATTCCATAAAATAAATTTATATAATAATTCTATCTGTTTAGATTTATTTGAAATAATTATTATTCATTAATATTAATTTTTATTATCTACACCAGGGTATAAAATCAATTATCTATATGTATCATTTTCAAACAGACTGAAAATGTCAGCAATTACTATAATTACAGTTGTTTGCATTGAACAAGATATTCTGTAGCCCACTATCTAAATATTTAGCTGTGCATCCCTGACAAAACAAAATATTTTAAGACATAAACATTCGTTTCATACAAGAGTAAAGGACAGAGAAAAAACATGAATATGGATCAACGACAAATGAGGATGCAGTCTTACGAAAACCGCTAAAAATATGTTTCATTTCGAGTCATGTATCTTGACTGGGACCATAAAATATTAGCTCTGGTATTTGGCCACCTTGCACTCCAGTACCATTAGTGCTGTCAGACGAGCACTGAAACTGAAAAGTTATGCACCCAACAGTCATCTCACTTACACCATCCTGGCCAAAGTAACTTAACTCTGCACCATCAAGAATTGTTGATGCAGTGTAATAGGTGTCTGCTTCCACTAGTATTGGGTGCTCAAAGTATACGTGAAAAGTATTACTAGACCCATCGGAATAAAAATTGGTCTTGTTTTCGGCTAAAACCTTTCCCATTCGCTTTAGCTCAATTTTCACAGTATAATCGGCAGCACCATTGCTGGATCCATACAATCCGAAACCAACAATGAAAATGCGTTTATCTACAGAAAACTGAATGCTGTCGCATCTACCGCGATATCTCCACTGGTTACTTCTGTAAGCAGATGACTGAAAACGATGACAGACTTGCGTCTTCAAGCCAACACGCGGTTTGATGGGGAAAGGCAAAACAGGCTTATTATTAGCTGTGTAATGCAAGAAGATATCTTTTGTTTCCTGTAAAGTGAGCAAACCAGATTGGGCAGCACCATTGGCATATTCTTCAAGGGACATTGTTGGGATTCTAATTAAGTGCATGGCATTACCTAAAACACGTCTTTTATTCTCTACACTTGGTTCCAGATCTTGACGAAGGCATTCTGCTGTCGACCAGTTGAGGGCAGCTTGAAATAAAGCAAACTCTTTAATCATCAGAGTTTCTCGAGATAATATAGACTCGAGTGTAGTGTAGTCAATGTCTGCAAAGCCCTCTGAAGCAAAGGCAAGTTCAGCTTGAGCATCTATCACTTCCCAGCATCTTTGCATCAAATCGGGCTCTTCAAAAAGACGACTCTGACTCAGTAGCACACAAGCGTTTTTAGCTGTCAGACTGGTTTCTAAATAAGCAACACATGCACGAGCCAAGTGAGGCACTAAGTACTTTTTTGCAACATACAAAGTGGACAAGACAGTATCAGCTTCTAAGTTAATATCATCACAGTAAAGGAACCTAAAAAGAAAGACAGTATTTACCAATAATATTTCTACTTAATATTGCTCTTCGTGTTTTTTTATTACTTAATTTCTAAATTTAGTGTTACAGTAGAGAACCGATTATCCGGAACGACCAGGACCATCACGATTCCGGATAACTGATTTTCCGGTTTTCTGAATCGCTACAAAATGCCGTTTCTTTTAATGTTTATTAAACGAAACTAAAAAATTTTTTAAAAATAGTTTTAGAAATAATAAAAAATGATAAATAATAATACACTTAAGTTTAAATAAGGAAAGAAATTATGAAATAAAAATTATATACAGGCTTATATATTTTATTAATGTTATTATTAACATATATAAGCCATTTGTGCTTATGTGAGATTCGTCTACAAAAGGCTTTTGATCCGTAATCTAAATCAGTTCTTTCGTCAACTCAATACGCCGTACGCTCTAAATAACAAAATGGGCTCAAAATCCTGCAGCAAAAAAAAATAATTTTTTTTTTAATGGAAGAAAAGTAATTTCCGGTTCCGAATTTCATTCCGGTTATCTGGTTTTCTGATTTCCGGATAAGAGGTTCTGCACTGTATTATTAATTGCCAAATAAAGCAACATTTTAAGACAAAGATATTTACAATATTCAAATAAGCATTTTTATAATAAATTTTTTAATAAATTATTAAGTCAATGTTTGAGAATACTAAATCAATATTTAAAATTCTCTAGCTATGTTAAAAATAATATTTTCAAATTATATTCTTAGCAGAATAATAACCGGAAACTTTTTTGATTTTTGATTTACCAGTTTTTTGATTAAGTTTAAAAACTGAACAAAATGATTAAGTTCAACAGTAGTGAGTAAGCAAAAAAACTGTAATGGATAAAAAATTTAGTAATTAAGGTGTTGTAACTTAATCTAACAGTATATTATAATTGTTATACAAAAATTGGATTTCGTTTCAGAACTATATTTCAAAACCGATAAGGCTAAGTTTTTTTTTTCCATCATACTTTAATAGCAAGATTCATAGACATTTTTTAGAGATTTTTTTTTTTAATGCAAGGGTCTGTCTAGGTTTTTCTGAAAGGTACCTATTCTGTGAAAATTTAGACATAATTTGTGAAAATTAAAAATTATATTAAAAAATCAACACAAAAATATGGTAAAAACACAGATTTATCGTTTCTTATGGGATACAAAATTTTAAGAAAAAATATTTTTTTAAACTAATGTTTTTTCTAAAGTTGAATTTGTGAAGGTACCGCTAAATGGTAATAAATTTGGCTTGCACAGACCCCTGTAATGCATTTTATTGCTCAATAGAAAATTAAATATTTGTAAAAAATACAGTTTGATATTCTTTTTTTTAATCAGGCAATAAAAAATACTACCTGATATTCATTATTTAAACACTCTAAATTTTACCACATGTGGAAAGTGCTTGTGCTTACGTTTGGGGAGTTAAGCCTGTTCACCTTTTGCTAACAGCTACCAGAATAGGCTTTACTTTACTTAACTCAGTGAGCTAAGGTTTAACTAATTTCAGAAAACAGGGTTGGGCACATTTATACACTATTTTAAGAAAACTTTAGCTTACGATCGTAAATCCAACGTTTCTGTCTAGAACCCAACTCTGAATAACAATGGGGGGAACACATGAATTTGCTGAAACAACATTCAAATTATTCTAATAAATACGAAAGCCAATAATACCTCAAAAGTGTCAAGAAGGCAGCAGGTTCCACATCCGGAATTTCAATCTCGGATTCATTGTCGGCTAAGCCTCCGAAGAACATTGCATAGAAAACAGAACTTCCTGTAGCAAGCACGTACTTGTGAGCAGGTATTTTTTGAGCACTACCCTTAGGACCCACAAGGAAGTGAACATCACTCATCAATTCGTTGTTGAACATAGCAGCATTACGTTCCCTGACACTAGCGTGGTTAGATTGCCAGTTTGGATCAGATGTACTACCTGGACTGGTACCTCCAACGCTGCTCCCACTGCCAGAGGCAGGTGAAGGACTGCATGATACAGAATACTTTAGAATAGGACTCGGTAAAGGACTGATTAGAGATGGGGGTGGAGAATACTGCAATGGCAAATTAGCTGGGATCGTTTGTAGGTTACCCAATCCTAAAAAGAAAAGCATATTTCAACAGAATGTAGAAAAACTACTTGTAAATTTGAAAAAAAAAATACATAGGTATTTTTTTGACAAAAATAATAGATTAAAACAGGGTTTGTGATTTATTTATTACTTTCTGAATTTGATTTGATTTAAATTATTTCTTAAAAAGATATTTAAAAATGTAGGTTGCCATGCAAAAATACATACTTTAAAAGGATCCAAAAATTGTATACTTCACAATTCAAAAATTTTTCAACTATTACTAAATAAAATAAATATTTATAAATTTTTCTTTTGCATGCAATTATTTTTGGATATTTATAAAAGTTTTCCATTTCCTTAAAAAGTTATGAAGAAAAACACATAAAGGAAAAATTAACATTAAGGGACCCTATTTCATAGATTGCTGCTATTCCCTTTTTGGCAGGGTTTGAAAAAACCCGGGGATTTTTNAACCCTGCTTTTTGGGGGGTCAAAAATCTGAACCCATTGAAAAAAAGGGTTTATTCAGAGGAAGTCCATTTGTAACTTAAAATATTTGTAAATAACTTAAAATATTTATAACTTAAAATATAAATAAGATGAAAATTCAATGATCATGTTTTTCTTTTGTGTTTTTAAAAAAAAGGATAAGTACTACTAGTAAGTTTTGATACCATTATCAATAGTTATTTACGAAGAAGAAAAATTTCTTCAATTGAAAATGTAAATTATTGGAATCATTGTATTTTAGTTTTTATCTGAGAGTGGGTATAATTTAATCATCCTGAAGTTCACATTTCGATTAATAAATCCCAATATTTGTGGTTTCGGAAAGAAAGTTTTACCAAAAATATATTTTTAAAATGGAAATTTCTTTTAAGTAATTTTTTTTTGAAAATTTATCATACAAAACTTTTGCTGCATATAAATAATATATAATCCTTCTCAACAATATTTGAACAATAATGCACAATGTGTTATTTAAACAGTCTGTAAATTTTTGAATTTTATATAGAGTTATTAGTAATTTATTAAAACATATAGAGCTTAAATTAATAAGATTCTCAAAAGGGTAAAAAATATATGTTAATGCTAGCCTGCATTTATCAATATTTTTAGATTTTAAGTTTGATAGGTTGTTATGTTTCCTTCCCTTAAAAAAAATATAGGTATATATATAATATAGGGTATAAAAATATATGGTTGTAAATTAAGTAATGGCAACATAGGTATAAATCAATTTTTAATGAACTTACAAGTACAATTGCATTACATTCCTTCTACGTAATCACCAGCAAAGCTTATAACTAGCCAGGGGATAATATGCAACTGCATATGCAATTGCATATTTTAGCACTTAATGCACAAAAAGTTATATTTGCTCATATAAATGCATATTTTCAGCATTTTATGGCTTTTCCCCCCTAAAACCATATCACTATTCTTTTTATATTAGCATAAGGAACGCTTTAAATTTTGTTTTGTCGTTCTACACCACCTGAAAGGGACAGTTGGATTGATGCTGCTGGGGGTGATTGCAATCAGGTGAAAAAGATGTAGAAATGAGGTATGTGTCGGGAAGGGGGGAACAAAGGGCCCACCCAAACAGACATTCGTCATAGAAACCTCAGAAAGGGATGGTCAGATATTCTATGAAGGGATGTCTTTTCCTGGAATAAATAATTGTCAATCTGTGTGGGGAAAATAAGGCTTCTGTGGTAGGTAGAATATGACCTCCCTTTCCTGTGATTGATTAGTTAAAAGGTAGAGCGAATACATTTTCGGAGAGAGCTGCTATTCTAACATATTTTGAAAGTCCATCCGATAGATAGATAGTTTCGACATCCATCAGTTGAATACGTAGTTAGTGAAGCTTCGAATGCGATTTTTGACTGCTGAATCTTATAATATGCCAAAAATTAAGTCGACTAAATAAAATTTAATGAAGACATGGACTTCGGACTAAGGGAAGGACTTTACGACCAATGGGGAAATAGTATTTTGTGTGATTTGTCAGAAACACATTTCCTGTGAAAAAAAAGTACCAAATCGATTAACATATAAAGGCTAATGCTCACTCCGCGAAGAAAAAGCAGAATACAAAAGGATTTGTTCAAAGCTTATTAACTATTCCTGTTCAAGCAGCTAAAAAGGAAAGTGATTTTTCTAGTGATTTACGCAGCCTTAGTAAGCAGCAATATTCCTTTAAAAATGTTAAATAATCCAAACTTAAGACAGTTTTTAAAAAAATATTGTACCAATCAGATCATTCCCGATGAATCGACTTTAAGAAAGAACTAACTTCAACCGATATATAACGAAGGACTGGATGATATTCGACGAGATAGTAGTATTTAAATAAGTTGAACTTTTAATTTCTATTTTAAATGCATATTTCTTGTTTTAAGAGCATATATTCAAGTTTTTTAGTACATATTTGCACGCATATTTTGTCCGTTTTTTAGTGCATATAATCCGCTGTCTACTTATAACCTTTTGCCAAATGTCGGGAAGCCGTTGTAGACCAGTGGCAAGGTGTTGATTGTTGATGCGAGCGCCCTACTGAGTGGAGCACAGATGAAACGTCATGAAATCGGTGACCTCGGAGGGGTTTCTTCAACTTCGGAAACAGATCGAAGTCACAAGGACTAATGTTGGGTGAGTAGGGAGGGTGTTCCAAGATTTCTCACTGCCACCATCGCAATAAGAAAGTGACTTTGTTTGCAACATGGCAACGAGCATTGTCATGCAATACGATGGGGGAGATTGTTGTGCAATAGACATGGACATTTGCGCCGCATAGCCGGACGCAGGTAGTGCTGCAGAAATCAGCAATAGCAATCTACGTTGACAGTTTGTCCTTCAGGTACAACATGTGTAAGAATCACACCGTCCCAGTCGTATGCCACAATCAGCATAACCTTAACCCAACTGCGTTCCTTTCGAAATTTCTGTGGACGTGGCGAACCTTGGTGACGCCATTCATTTGATTGACGCTTTAATTCAGGCTCGTGCCCGTTTCTCATCAATGGCGACAATACTCAGCAGAAATATGTCTCCTTCATTGCGGTATCTCTCCAAGTGGGTGCCAGCAAGTGCATACCGGTGCTATTTCTGTACTTCGGTTAGTCGATGGGGAACCCAGAGGGAAGCAATTTTCCTCATGTTGAGAGATTTCTTCATTATGCGCCACACTGCTTGATGACTCAGACCAACCTCTAAGGATAATTCTCGGACAGCCCATCGGTGGTTTATGGTAAGGAGACCGCTCAGGATGTCGATCTGTTCTTGAGGAATGGAGGGCTGACCTGTGCCTTGCAAACCCGCAGTCCCATTCCGACCCGAGCGAAATGCTTGAAACCATCGTGCTACTGTCCTATACAGTAAAGCACTTGCGCCACAGGCTTCCACTAATCCTCAATATCATTCTGTTGAATTTCTGCCACGGGCAACCTCGATTTTAAGTCATGACCGCTGATCACCTTTTGCAAACATGCTTTAGAGTAGGGGTGCACAACCTTTTTGAGTGAAGGGCCACATGCACAGCAGATTGACCAATGAAGGGCCGCATGCCAAAATATTTAGACAGACATGTTGGCAGCAATTGTTATAAAAACATCATTGTTCTAGGGACTTCTTTTTGTCAGTTAACCTTGTAATATCTTTGCATAAAATTGAATAATTTTAAATTTTTAAAATGAGAAACTGCAAAACTGATTACTTTAGGGGGAAAGAAACATAATAAATTTATCAGAAAAAAAAATAAGATAAATTGAAATAATTAAAAAGTAAGGAAAAATCCTTTTTATTTTTATCATATTACATTATTCAAAAGTCCCTTTAAATATAAATTTTAATGTTAAAAATTTAATTAAATTTAAAAAGATAAATATTTCGTTATTAAAAAAAATGCAAGTTATACTTTGATTTAAAGAAAGATAAGGGTTAAAAATGATTAAAATTAAAACAAAACCCCTTCAGCGAAAAAAAAGAATTAACATTTAGTAGGGAATATACCTCAACTTTAAAACATTTATTTTAAATTAATTATAAGAGACAGGGAAGGAAAAGAAGAAAAAAAACATTAATTTTGAAGGAATTATTTTACTTAATAATAAAAAACTATTAAGATACTTGTTTACAACTTTTTGTGAGCAATACTTTTTTAAAATGACACTTACTATTTACAGTTACACATACATATTTAAAATTTAATGATAAAGAAATCATTTCCCAGCATATGATCATAAATGATATGAAATGGTCTAAGTAGGAAGAATATGATTTAAAAACTTTTTATCCTGTAAATTGCAAAGTTTTTAAATATTGTGATAATTTTATCGACCTGATCATGTGATAGCTTTTTCGAGGTATTAAATAAAAATTTTAATGATTTTGTTTGAAGACTGCTCTGTAATTTTTAACAGGCCAAATTCATTCTGAAAAACTGTATTTCGACAGAAGCTGTTGTGGGCAATATTAAACTTAGGGCAAATAACTTCATCTGTTTTGGAATCTGTCACAAATGGTGTTCTTCCACTCCTGATTTTTAATATGATTCGCGATATGTGATTTTTAAATCACATGACAACAAAAAGAATAGGAGTGTGTGCTATTAAACTTCCACTTGTTCATGGGAATTGTGCACATGTTTTGAATTATTTTTTTTACAAAAGAGACTGCGTTTTATATAAATTTACACATCTCGTTTTTTAAAATTATTTTTCTTATTCTCTTCAGGAAGGTGTCGATTTTGATAAGATACGTAATTACTTTTTAGGTTACAAAATAAATAAATAAATAAAACAGAAACGAATTGCACGAGTTGTAATATTCTGTTAAAATATCAGGATATTTTAAATCACAATAATGGAGAAAAAAAGAAAACTTTTGAAAAACCTATTATATTTATGTTAAAATCGGCACAAATAGAGCACATAAAAAGTAATTATTTTAATGCATGATTCAAAACTCAAGTGCTGTCTGACTAGTATTACAAATATAAGAATTTTTTAAATCATAGGGAAAGCGCAGTAAAAACTACCAAAATTCTTTCATATTTACAATGAAATTGGCGCGAATAAAGCGCGTCAAAAAATTATGTATTTCAATGAGGGACTCGAAATAAAGGCGTCGCAATAGCGTATAAAAAATATCAGGACTTAAAAAACCTTGTAGAAATATATAGCAATAATTGCCAAAACAACAATTGAAAAATAATTTGATTTGCGATAAAATCGGCACAAATAACCCACGTCAAAAAATGGTTATCTAAATTAGTGAATCTTTACTCGTGATGTGTAATAATATCGTGTTAAAATGTAGAAAGATTAAAAGCCATGCAGTAATGCTTAGCAGTAACAGCCGAAAAAAGGATCAAAAGTAATTTAGATTTGCTATGAAGTTTGCGCAAATAAAGCGTTCACAACTTTCAAAAAGCGCAATTTCAGAAACTTCGCGAAAATGGGTAGCAACAACTACTTAAAAGTCATTGGATTGATGAGGAAATCGGCATACATGAAGAACGTCAAAAGTGATAACGAAAATTCAAAATTCGTGTATCGTAATAATGATGTATTACAAATGTTAGGATTTTCAAAACTATGCTTAAATTTGTAGCGTTACCTATCGGAAAAAAGCGATCGAAAAACTACATTGATTGAGATTGGGTGCGTCCAAAACTTGAATGTAGAAATTTAAAATTTCCAAATTTTTTTAAAGGAAAAAAAATTGTAATTATTTTTTTTTCATTTGGTTCAGATTGCTGCTGCAGGTCGCTGGTTGTGCACCCCTACTTTAGAGTGATGGAAACGAAACCCCTCACTTAAACGAAACTCCTCAACTACCCTTCTAAGCAGATCGACTGTTTTTTTTGCACTCTACACATCGGCAACAGCGCCACCTCACCGCTCCCATATCCTATTTGCGCATGCCAGCCCTTATGTGAGTTTCAAGGTTAAGTTGCCACTATTTAATTTACAACCCTCGAATATATCTGTTTTGGGAGAAGAGGAACACCTATATTTTTCTATATTTAAAATTAAATATCCAACATAAACTCTAAACAAAGATTCACATATTATATTTCATGTAATAAATAGTGTAAGTTTTACAGAAATTTAATTATACTTGCAGGAATGAAAAAGAGAAATTATTAAATTTTTTTTTTGCTATTTAAATACATTAAATTGATTTGGAAAAAAATGTTTTTAATAAATTAAATGCTATGATTTTAAGTCTGATTAGAATATAGTAAGTGAGATGAGAACAAAAGCACACAAATATATAATAATTTATCTGAACATAATTTAAATTGCAAATGTTTTTAATTGGTGACTGATATAACTTTAAAGTTACGCTTGATAGATTATGAATTCTTAAAGTTTATCTTTCTTTCTCATTTGTATAAACAAACCTTAGATAAAAACTTAACCTTTAAAACTCATGAAATTTTTCATATTATCCATTTATCCTTTTTGTTAAAGTGTATTTTTATTACAAATTACAAGATATTTAAATTCAAAGAAATATTGAACTAAAACTTAATGTTGTGAATTGTGAACATTTAATTAAAAACTTGGAACAATATTAGAATGGAATACTACTTTTAATAACCAATATTTTACATAGAATTGAAAAAAGAATACAAGAAAATAATAAATTTAACTCAGTCATATTTGATAACTTTTGAAACAATAGCTTGTCTAATTTGTCTTCTATTCTAAGGGTTAAATAGTGTTTTGCTAATAGTTTGCAAATTAAAATGTCAGCATTTTTATTCAGTATTTTACAGCACAGTCAGCATTTTTTTTGTGAAAAATGAAATTTTAAAATTTCACTAAAACATCAATGACTCAAACATCAATGAAATTAATTTTTATTGTTTTTAATAAGATGCAGAAAAAAACCATTTAAGCAAAATATCAAATGATTTTAAATTAACATTAAAAAAACTCCTTAAATTTAAATAAATCATCATGGTTTTATTGTTATTTTCTTGAAAAAAGTTAGATATGAGATTTCTAGCCTTAGTTTTCTCATTTATATTAAATTTATACAATTAATGGAAATGAACTAATATAAGAATTTTTTTTTGTTTCTTCCAGTTTATACCATAGTCTTGGAAATTTTTTCTTTTTCTTTAAAGAGTTCAACCTTCACTCACCTAATATTGTCTACTTAGTGATATTGCACAATACAAATCCTTTTACATTACTTTTTAATGGAATAATGCAGCTCCTCTACTGAGTATTTATAGTTTTTTAAAACATTTTTCCTTGAATTGATATATTCTAAGTTTTATTGCCTATTTTTGAAAATTAAAGATGTAATATTATTTCCAGAATTATAAGCAAGACAAATGATGGCGTTTTTAAAAAGGACGAAAAATCTCGGCTTTGGGGTATTTATCCAAGGGGCTTCCAAGGTAGATCTTAAAAATTTGTGCTACTTTAAATCAAATTTCATTTAATTTTTAAACAATAATCTTGAAATAGACTGAAACTCAGTCATCAGATATTCAGAAGTCAATACATATTTGTTTAAAGTTCTTTCTAGCTAACTAAAGAAAATGATTTGGAATGTTTTTAAAAATTATAAATTTTTTATCTAACAATCTATTGATTATTTTTTAGTTTCAGATAACGTTATGGAAATCTCCCCTTCTGTCTGCAGTATCCGAATAGGGTTTCTGCTGCCAGAGCTATCACTTTCGGATGATCAAAACTATCAAGCTAATAGGCTCACAGTGCTTTCACTACAGCGCGAGAACCTCGATTACTTTTTTCTTTTCTCGCAGTAAAAAATTATTAACGCGAGAAGATTGCGCTCTCTATTAATCAATTTCAAAATGAGCGAATTTTAGAAAAAAAATTCATCTTCTGCCATTTTGAATAAAATCCGTTTCACTTTTCTTCCTTGATCTTTCATTATTTTCAACACGGATCCCTGTTATCTAGCTTCCCTATTTACCAGTATTGTTCAGAACAGGTGCGAACAGCAGAACACAATCCCCCCCCTCCCCGAATGACGGAACACCTTTCAGAACACATTTTTCTGCAACCACATGTTCACGGAAGGTAAGATTTCTTCATGCAAGACGATAAAATTTTTTTCAATGCTACAAATTTACTAAGTGATTCCGAATTGTTCAGCATGTGCGGCAAGGTCATTTAGCACTCAAAACCGAATTAAGACAAAATATCGTATACAAATGACTGAAAAACATTTGAGCAACCTAATGTAAAAGTAGATATAGAATGGCTTCCATATGATGATGCAGCAAAAATATTCAATGCTTTAAAAATTAGAAGATTTAAAAATTTATTATAATTAAAGTAATATTTTTTTTCCAAGTCTATNAGCAACCTAATGTAAAAGTAGATATAGAATGGCTTCCATATGATGATGCAGCAAAAATATTCAATGCTTTAAAAATTAGAAGATGTTAAAAATGTATTATAATTAAAGTAATATTTTTTTCCAAGTCTATTCGCGTTTTTTTAATTTTCACTTAACTTTTTGAGATCTCACCCTGGTTTTGAGAAAGGGTGAGAAATTCTCTCTCATTTTTTTTCTGTAATGAAAACACTGGGCTCACCATAAATTGTGAAACATCATTAGAATAGGTAAAAACATGGATCTTATAGATAGCAGGTTGCAAGCAGTGTTCGAAATTATATAATAATATTCTCATATTTGTAGAAGGATAAAGAAACATTTTTATTGATATCTAACAGATTTCAGCTTTTTACAATAGCATAACATTTATTCCAAATTTAACACCATACAAAACATTAACGAAAATGTTACAGCAAGTAGCTTAAAATTAAATGCACAATTAGCAAAGAAGAATATTTTTTTAATTTCAACATAAGGAATAAATGTAATAATATTTTTTCTTGCATTAAGATCAAAAGTAGAAAATATTTTTTTACTGCAAATATTAATCATAATTACATTAAAACAAAATTAGAAAAATGCCAAATAATTGAACGATTAATATTAACCAAATATCTAATTGGAGTAGCAGTTATATAATCTTAAATAAATAATGACATCAAAGCTCAGAGGAAGAATTGTAAAACAAAAACAAAAAATGAGAAACGAAAACAAACACTCGGCACTTATTTTTAGTATATTTTAAAAATCAAATTTATATTTATTAGTATAACTATAAAAAATATATTACCCAACATCCAAGTTTTATTAAAATGGGCGCAACTCGTTTCTTCTCGACGTTTGTTTGTTTTTGCAGACATCATACGTCTTACTGAAGTTTAATAATATGTACGATTCACCATTGCTACGCCATTATGGAAATATGGAAAACAAGGTCGAAGAAAGAAACTTATGCAGCTTAATACATAAGTATCATTCAAAGGTATTTCATTCTGCAATGGAATGCAATGTTATTTATTCATTTCAAGAAAAATAACAGAAAAATGTAAATATAATATAATTAATTTATATGCCTCGCCTGCAACTGACTTCCATTATCAGCCTAGTTGATAGGATATAAAAGTTTTCAGAAGGAACCTAATCGATATGATTAGAATCGATAATACTTAAATTTTAAAGTACGCACTGTCTTGGCTGACCGCCCTCTTATAACCCTAAACTTTGGCGATCAGCTGAAATGGGTGATTGCCAAACNTACTTTTATATTTTTTATATATTTTTAATAAGCACTTAAATTGTTTTTTTAATATTTATTTCAAGTATTTGAATTTCAGAACAATATAAAAATCAATTTTTTAAAATACATTAATTTTTTCATTTAAAATTTACAAATTATAAATCTTTAAAAAAAATGTGTTCAGATTTTTCTGGCACAGAGACAGAATGTTATTATTTATCATAACAATTTATGAAAATCAAATAAAAAAAATAGAGACTGGTGATGTGTCCAATGTTTCGTTCACCCTGACATCTGTTTGGTACAGTGATTGATCTTTCCATCTTTATGTCTTTGTTTGAGTATACGCAAGCAAAGGAGAGGATACAAGCATCTATATTCATTGTCTACGAAGTACTTCGATTGGTTTAAATAAATTATCAAACTGAGCATGCGCGTTATTAAAATTCTGCCAAGCAAAAATGCTAAAAGCGCCATTCTAGTAAACCTGACAAAACGATTAACCGATAACGATGAAAACGATGATGTAATCGACCAATCAAATGTCTCTATTTCTTAAAAAAGCGGTCAGCCAAGCAACAGCCTTTAAAGTAAAAAACAGGAAACTGATGATTAGTGATAAAATTTTTTGTTTTAATTTTTCTCAGGTTAAAAACACGGAAGCATAAAATTATCTGCAAAAAAAAAATTATTATTTATTTACGACACTGCAAATGGCAATCGAATAAGAAAATATGTCAGCCAGCCGCCGTCTACAACTCAACTAAACTGAACTTTTCGTGGATGTGACTGCATGGCCAGAGTGTAAGGGAAGCGCGTTAATTTCTTATGAATTTATGAAGTTATATTAGTAAGTTTTATATAAACTTTTATATTTTTGTTAATTGCATTAGAAATTTAATTTCAAAATTTAAGCTTATTCATTATTTAAGTTTCTTGTGTCTTAGACGCTTCAATCTTATCGACAGTGTAAGCCTAACAAAGCAATTTTTTTCCTTTTTATTAGTTCTAATTATGTATTAAATAAATGCTTAATGAATATTTACTGACCGTGCATTAATTGTTAACACTTATTAAAATTGCAATTGTGATTTGTTTGAATTTTTTTTATTAGTCTTGCACGTGTGCATTGCCTTATTAAAACTACTAAGATAGATCATTTCTACCATGATCGCAGCTCAACTTTTATACTCTTATTGAACTGCAAATAAAATGATATATGCTTCAATTGATACATGCTAGCTTTAAAAAGTGATTGTTTACATTTTCATTTTAGGTTGCAATCATGCAAATTTTCGTTAAGACTTTGACTGGGAAGACTATAACTCTAGAGGTAAGATTTTGTTGAAATGCATATAAAAATAATTAATTGATGATGTAGTTATCTTGTCATATTTTTATATTGGCTTAGTTGCAATTTGGTGGTTTAGTTGTAATTATCAATTGTTTGGTCAAATTCAATATTCTACTTGATAAAGGTACATTTATTTAGTTGGGTACATTAGTTGGGTTACATACATTCATAAGTTGGATTAAGGTTCTACTTGGATAAATTTTTATCTGAATCAAAAGGTTATTTTGTTCTAAATTTGACGTTATTATTAACTATAAACTATCAGAATAATTCAAAAATTGTGCATTTATCTTAATTTTTTACTTGAATTTGCTATAGTTTGGGGGTTTTCATTGCAATTAACAGGTTTGCAATTCAGTACTTTGGTTGCACACAATTTAATATTTCTGCCTCAGTTTTTGCTTAATAGGTTTTCTTTTTCTCTAAAAAGTGTTTCTGAGAAAAAACAGTAACTGTTTTTGCTGTGGGGATATGCATACAATAAATGTTCAAACTTCATTGTCCATTGTATTTTAAAAAGGTTTTAATTTAAAAAAAATGGAGTTTAAAAAAATTTCAAATTAAAAAGCTGTTGTTAGGAAACAATAAGCTTTAAAATTTTCATTGCTCTTGGTCTACGCTGAAAGTTATTTCTTTTTTAAGACTAAATGCCTTGTCTTACATACCCTACTATTGTTTAGAACAGGCTATAAGGAAGATTGCAATTTTTAATAGTGTTTAATAGATCTGTAGGTATTTATAAAATTTATGTTTTGCTTTATGAAGTTAGCTTAATTTAAGTGAATATTAAATTTATTATGCTTGTAATATTAATAAGACATGCACAATTAATTAGAGATTTAATAAAATTGGATACCTTTAAACTTATATATAAATGTGTTAGACCAATATGCTACAAGAGAATTCACAACTCTTTATAATATGTTTCATGTTTTATAGGTTGAGGCAAGTGATACCATTGAAAATGTAAAGGCTAAAATTCAAGATAAAGAAGGTAACCTTCACTTTGTTTGGTAGTATATTGTAGGATACTGCTTGGTATATCACAAATGCTTATTATTTTGGTTATTTTTGTGATGAAAATTTGAGATAAAAGAAACTTAAGCACTGTGAAAGTTAACAGTATAAGTTGTAATTCCATTAATTGCCCAAGTAGCAAGATTAAAAGATAAAAAGAAAAAAAAATTAGAATAGAAAGCAATAAATCGATATTTTCTTTGAACCTTAAATTATAGACTGGGTATGCTTTTGACAGTTAAATTTTTGGATAATAATAGTTATTGGTATAGTTATGTGATGCATTTCTATAAGTTTTATGAATGAGATATTCAAATTTGAAATTGATTGGTGCTCAGTTTGTAAAGATTAGAATGTGGGCATTTAAAATCTTATAACACAATAAAATTATGTGTGATTACGGAGCCCGCTTTAAGGATTTCAAATTAGCTTGCTGTTAAAAAATTTCTTCACGTGATGCAAATCTGACAACAAAACTTTTTTTTTTATCTGGGTTTGTATGCCTCCTGAAATTGCCGTTTATCTCGTGAAATTTTTTTAGCAAAAATAAAAAACGATTCTTAAAAGGAGAGGATAATTAATCAACCCCTCCGTCCTCTCAAAATGCCTGTCTTACCAGTCATGCGGATTAGTTGAAAGTTGGCAAGAAATAAAGAACAAGTTGTGGATTTAATAGCTTTTTGCTCACCTCAAGATCGTAGTATTGGTTCTCCTAACCAACCAAGTACTTCATATTCAGTTCAGAGTGATGTTTCTGTGCCGGTTTATAATTTGAATCGAGCAATTAATTTGAGTATCCTCACTACAAAAGTTGAAATTTTATGGATTTTAAAGGTTTTAAGCTCATATTATTCCTACAAATCTTGTGAAAATGCAAATTTTCGTTTTTAAGCTATGTTGTCTGATAGCGAGATAGCAAGCAATTTCAGTTGTGGTGAAAAAAACTGCCTGCCTCTCAGTTTTTGGTATAGCGCTATATTTTTCGTCTCTACTTAAGTCAAGGGTCAAAGAAGAAACCGATTATGAACTGCTTATTAATAAAGGTCTAAATGATGTTAATCAATTCAAACAACTGGATTGTCATGTAAGATTTTGGATGGTGGCCGTGCCACATCTGAACTTATATGTGAAAAAATAAATGAAAAATCCTGTGCATAAATACTACAAGTTTGTTACAATTGTCATTGGATGGCCCAAATGTCAACCTAAAAGTGTTGGACATAATGATGGAATAAATGAAGAATGAACACTATGTGAGTCTCTTGAATGTAGGTTCATGTAGACTGCACATAGTACATAATGCCTTTAGGGGTGGTTGCTCTGCTGCTTTTCCGGAAGTAGAGCATGCTGCACAGTTTTTTAAAGACTCCTGCTCGAAGAGAAGGTTTTGCGTCTGTAACTCCTGAATTTGTAAAATTCCCCTTAAAATTTTGCAAACACAGGTGGGAGGAGAGTAAAAAAGTTTTAGTTCGACTTTTAGAAAAATTCTTCTGATGTTAAAACTTATTTGAAGGAGATAGAAAGCAAAAAGTTTTCTCGGCCAAACAGTAAATCATATCAGTGTTTTCACTACAGCGCGAGAACGCGAGAATCTCGCATATTTTTTAATATTCTCGCATTAAAAAATGATTACCGCGAGAAATTCGCGCATTCTATAAAAAANCATATGCAATCTTACAGGACATGGTTAAGGATGAACTGTTTATTGGCAAATGTAATTTCATGTTATCTGTTGTAAAAGATGTTGAACCTTTCTTAAAGTTGTATCAAACTGATAAACCCAAAGATTTTTAAAAGAAAGGCTTCCAGCATCTTCATACAATGTGTTAAGTATAAATCTAGAAGATAAAGAAATATGTAAAGAGGCATCCAAAATTGATGTTGGTTTGGTTGCTAGAAAAGAGCTGATAAAGAAGAAAATTTTGAAGAGTGAAAAGAAAACGATGGAATTTTATTTGAATTGCAGGCAATTTTTATTGAAGTTGTCAAAAAGACTAATTGAAAAGTGCCCGTTGAATTTCTCTTTAGTGCGAAATGTATCGTGCCTTGATCCTTGTACGATGCTTGTTAATAAAGAGGCAAACTTAAACAAGCTTTGAAAAATATTATTTCATTTGACCAATGCTGGCAGAGTAAAAGAAGATTGTGATAGCATTCTGAAGGAATATGTTAAATTTGTTGAAGATTTTTACAGCATGGATACTAGGACAAAATTAAGGTACTGCATCGGTAATAATTTTGATCCTAGTGTAGATCAACTAGATGTGTGTATTTTTTATAAATGATGTCTAATATAAATCATAATTATAGTGCAGTAGGGAACCGATTATCCGGAACGATCAGGACCATCGCTATTCCGGATAACTGATTTTTCCGGTTTTCTGAATCGCTACAAAAGGCAGTTTTTTTTAATTTTTTTTATTGTTTAACCCAACTAAAGAAATATATTTTGAAATAATCTTAAAAAGAAGAGAAGACGGTGAAGTAATATACTAATGATTATTTCCAAAATGATGGTAAGGTAAACATCTTTCAAAAAAGAATGAAAAATCCTAAAATCTTATGAGGAGAAAAAATTTTTTTTTTTTAAAAATGGCAGGAAAATTGAATTTTGTTTGTTTGTGTTTTGTGAGTTAAAACATATAGAAAATTCAAAATATAGTAATATGTATATAATATGATTTTTATGTCAAATACAGTGATTAATTTTTCATTAAAGTGATACATTAACGAACTTCCAGCTTAATATGATTAGTAATTTAGCTTTGTATTTTAATTAACTTTGCTTGGATTAAATCTAAATAATGTATTGTTTTCTTTTAGGAATTCCCCCTGACCAACAGCGATTGATCTTTGCTGGCAAACAGTTGGAAGATGGGCGAACACTATCCGATTACAATATTCAGAAAGAGTCTACTTTACATTTAGTACTCAGACTTAGAGGTGGTGCCAAAAAGCGCAAGAAGAAGAATTACACCACACCCAAAAAGAACAAGCATAAGAAGAAGAAGGTTAAGCTCAGTGTATTGAAATTTTACAAGGTATGCGATTAGTTTAAAATATGAGGTTCACTTTTTCGTGTCTTAGAATATATATTTTTTTATCTTTTTGACACGGTTCCTTTTTTATTATGCATTGTTTATTTATTTTTTCATTTCTATTCCAACTTCATTATGATGAAACTTGGAGTTACCGTTTGAGTTGAAGTGAAAATAATTGACTTGCGGCATTGTTTCTGAATTGAAGGTTGCCTTTTTATATAAAGTATATTGATGTAATAGTTAAGCACTGTTTCAATGTTTTTTTATGATGAGAACTTTAAGTTACTCACAGCAATAGTATTGTTTATAAATTTTTGTCTGTAGTCAATAGTTGTTTTCTAATGTCGAAAATATTTTTAATGATGAAACTAGGAGTTACCGTTTGAGTTAAAAATGAAACTAACTTACTTGCGGCTTTATTTCTGAAAGATGGTTTAAGTATATTGTCAAGTTTATGTTAGAATAAGTCTTTCGAGACTTGGTTGTTTCAGAATGCCTAACTTTTTGATGATGAAACTAGGAGTTACCGTTTGAGTTAAAAATGAAAATAACTCATTTGCGGCTTTATTTCTGAAAGATGGTTTAAGTATATTGTCAAGTTTATGTTAGAATAAGTGTTTCAAGACTTGGTTGTTTCAGAATGCCTAACTTTTTAATGATGAAACTAGGAGTTACCGTTTGAGTTAAAAATGAAAATAACTTACTTGCGGCTTTATTTCTGAAAGGTTGGTTTTGTTAAACTGGGTGCATTGTTTTTCTGAAGTCTTGTTTTTTATGATGAATTATTATGATTATGATATTCTTTGCGAAAGTATTTTTTTAAACCCTAATGTCTCCTCTTATTTACTTCTATCTTTTACTCAACAGCATTGTAATGTAGCTAGTGTTTGAGGTTTGAATTATAGTGAAAATAATATATGTACAGTCTGTTTCTAGATCTGTCTTTTTGAAAGGCATTCAGTGTTTGGTTTATATAAAGTAAGATAAATTTTGTATTATGAGTTACCATTTAAGTTTTAAAAAATAAGTAAAGATAATTTATTTGCAGAGCTCATTCTAGGCAGGGTAAACAGGGCGCTGCACCCTGCTGTCCTTTTAGTCGAAAGAATCCACCCTGTTGCATTTCTTAAACTTTTATTATTTTCAACTCTTTTTATTTAGTTTGTCTTTGCTGTAAATATGGATTTATATGGGATAGGAAAGATAGCCATCACACCCCCTTGTTTGAAAGTTTGCAGTTACTTCCACTATCATTAAATCACAATTATTATTAATTATTTTAATTATTAAATCATAACTACAGTCGCTTTTAAACATACATTTATTATTTTATTAATACTATATGATGCATGCATTTTAAATAAATTACTAAGCTAATTATCTCATTAACTCGATTTGTATGTTAATTTATTAATAAAAATCAGTAATTAATATGATTGCTTTGCTACTTTTAGTAAAGTGGAAGAAGAAAAATTCGCGTCTATGTCACTATGTTACACGTCCTATGTTTATAGGACGTGTAAAGCCCATAGAAAGAAATAATTGCCTTTCTAGAATAATAATGCCCTTTTTTTTAAACTGTTGCACCCTGCCCTTTTTTCTGCCTGGAATGAGCTCTGTTATTTGCATCATTTATTCTGAAGGAATAGTTTTATTTTCATTTAACATTATATTTAATTTTACTTCAACTATTGTGTGCAACTGGCATAATTATAAATACAGACCAGAAGCTCATCATAACCTTCATTAATAAAGTTAAAGTGTTTTGTATTTATGAGGATACACCATAGTATCTACTTTTGTCTCTAAGGCCAATCATTTCTTTGATGAAACTAGGAGTTAAAATGATTGTGAAAATATCTATTTTGCGGCTTTTTCTGAGATGATTTTCTGTACTTCATTGGGAAGTTTAGATGGCTGTTGGATTATTTCTAGGGTGCAAGTGCATACTTGATGATGAAACTAGGAGTTACCGTTTGAATAATGATGAAAATAACATATTTTGCGGCTTTGTTTCTGAAAGAATAGTCATTGTCTACTATTGAGGAATGTCATCATATATACTGATATATTTACACTTACATGTGATGAAGCCAAATCCATTCTCTGAATAGTCCTTTTCTTTCTTGTGCCCTGTTACACATTGTAACAGCTCACCAATGTATCATGAAGATATGTCAGGGTTCTCCTGTCATTTTCTTTGTCATTCACTGTGAGTGGGTCAATAGGAAAAGTTGTGATAATTGGTGAAATAAAGGCTCTGATTAATTTAAAAATATATGCCATGTTTGGAATGTCTAGACCTGTGTAGTATTTCAGCAATTTAGTTGTTTGTCAATTGAATTACTGAATTATTATAATTATTTGTGAATTCCATGTATGATGACAATAAATCCATTCTCTGAATCCGTTCTTCTATCTAACACCCTGTTATACACTGTAACAGCCCATTAGTGTTTGACGGAGGAGTTTCAGGGTTTTCCTGTTATTTTCTTTGTCGAGCACCTTGGGTGGGTGAATAAATTAGTTGAAGAACAGGCATGAATGAATGTAAGGCTCTGATTATGTTTAGGAAATAGCTAAATAGAAGTTTTGAGTATTATAGTATTTATTACATTTGGTTCTTTTAATAAGCATGAGGTTCATCAAAGGTTTGTAGATGCTCTGAAGCTAACTCTAAGTACCCTTGTATCCTTAAGCATTAATAGATTGGTAGTTTTTTTTTAACATGAAGATTCTAAATCCATTCTTCTCTGAATCTACTTTTTCCTGGCATCCTGTTACACTCTGTAACAGCCCAATTGTGTCTGGCAAAAAAAGTCTCGGGATTCTCCTGTCATTTTTCTTTGGCTGGCCACTGTGGGTGGATGAATTGGTAAAAGGTTAGGTATGAATGCAGATACGGCTCTGATTGCTAATTCGTAAATTCTATACATTGACAAGCTTGTTTTAGTTTGATTTATACAAGAATCTATTGTATTTTCTTATCCGCATTTTCCTTGTTCAGGTGATATTATTGAGTTAATTATCAGTTACTGTTAATTTCGTCTTTGCACACTTTAAATTTATTTGGTATTGGTCAGGAAGTTTATTCAGAATATTCCCTAAAGGTATTAAGTCACCCTGTATGCGGGCCTCACAGATCTATATTTTTGAAAATGCTATAAGGTATATCATATTTAAAGAAAGAAGTTTTTTTTCCCTATATCATTTGGGATATTTTTGCTTATTTAGATTGACATGCTAATGTATTGAAAATACTTATCTTAAATAGTAATGGTGATGGTTTTTATCAATTTGAATTGATAATTTTGTTTCCAGTTATTTTTCTCTTTTGTACCGGTGTCAAGGTTTCATATTTTTTTAAACTGTGCTTTTTGCTGCTTATTTAGTATTCAAAATTAAGGCATTGAATCAACTACTTTTCAGCAAAGGTCAAAGAAATTTTTTTTTGTTTTAATTGTGATTTGCTTGATTGGATGCTCAGTTGTTCTATATTATTAAATTGATAATTTGTAGTTGCTTATTATATTTGATTAGTAATGTAACAATAATAATTTTATTTAAAATATTTTCACAGGTTGATGAGAATGGTAAAATAACCAGGCTTAGGCGTGAGTGTCCCAATGATGAATGTGGAGCAGGTGTATTTATGGCCTCTCATTTTGATCGACAATATTGTGGCAAATGTTGTTTAACTTTTGTTTATAACAAACCTGAAGAGAAATGAATAAATGATTAGTCTTAACTCTTGTTTTATGTTGTGGTTGTCTGAATTATTTAGTCCTTTATAAGATTCGAGCTTTTAAGAGTTTTCTATTTAAGCTGTTTCTGAGTGCAATTATAGTACAAATCAAAGCAACAAAATGCTACCTGCGATGACACAGTCTTTCATACCCCCAAAGTAATGTATCTTATTGTTTTTGTTTGCAGTGTTCTCAAGAATATTTCAAGGCAACATTTAGTGCAGTATCATTAATCAAACTGAAGTTATGTACTGAATGTAAAGTTATGAGATAATGTTTACTGTGTTTTTTTATTTATCAGGTTTAATAGCTAGGTTAGCAGATGACTTTTTCTTTCAGGGTTCCCATGGTCCTTACAAACTGCTTAATTTCTATTTTGAAAAATAAGGGCCCTTTAAGGTGCTTAATTTTGGTTCAAGGTTTTAAGGTCCTTAATTTTTCAGCATCACTATGCAGGGTTCCCACGGTCCTTAAAAGTCCTTAAAAACTGCTTAGTTTTTATTTTGAAAATTAAGGGCCCTTAAAAGTACTTAATTTTGATTCACGGTCCTTAAAAGTCCTTAATTTCTAGTATCACTAGTTGGTTGGAATAATTTTTTTATCTTAGGAAAATATCTGCAATTAAGAAGTACGTCTTTCGCCTAGAATGAGACCCTGCATTGAGGGTAGAATATAGAGAATGTATGTGAGGGTAGGGGTTACAAGCAAGTGGAAGAAAACACGTCCTTATTGTTTTGTTTTTTTTTTTCTTTTATTAATTTTTTCATTAAAATATTTCTTTCTGGATCACTCTGAAAGAAAAAAATTTAGTGTGGGGAGTGGGATACTGCAGGTGGGTATGAGGTCATGACTTATTTTTAGACATTACTTGGAGGTACTTTATCAGCTGAGGACCTGCATTACCCTTTTACATCCATAGGGTTCGAGAAATTCAATTCTTCTGATAGCACACGTGGTAGCTTTGATACTTCATTCAAATGTGAAATTGTTAGAAATGCCAGGAAAGTGTGTTATTAATAATTTATGGACACTTGATGAAAAATATAAGGAATGGATCAGCATCTAGTGATCGTCGCAAGGCAAAGTGGATTTTTTTCATTGTATCAGATTTTTTTCTGAAAGTGAATTTTATAAGTGACTCCATTTTTTTAATATTAGGGATATTACGAATATTCGGTATAATTTTAATCAGGAAAGTCGTTCTCTCATCGACACTATTTTTTTTTAAAGAGTGAAATGTTTGCTTTCTGTTTTCACTTTTGCTGGGTTTTTCTTATTTTATAGCGCGGCATTTTAACAGCGTTTCTGATATATTTTATCTCCACTTTTTCTTTTAAAGTTATACAGATAAATAGATAACCGGTAAAATAGAAAATTGAATTTCTACGTTGCAAGTTTTGTCTTAAGAATTTAGGAAAATTTTCTGTTTCTCTTGTGCTTTTTTGATTAATTGTGTTTTTTTTATTTATTTTGATAGCATATTTTAAATAGCTTCTTTTTCGTCATTTTTTCCAAAAATCCGGCGTTGGGGAACACTTAAAGTGTATTTTTCAACGTTAAATTTTTCTTATAAAAATTGAGAACGATTTTTTTGTTTTTATTTCGTTTGTCTTTCCCATTTTTTTTATTTTTTAAAAAAAAGCTATTGTTTTTGTTATGATGCGGCAATTTTAAAGAGCGCTACGCTTAGACATTTTTAAATCGATGTATCGCGATTTATCGACCTAATGCACATATCGGCAGGTCGATATAATTACTTTTATTTTAGGCAATGCATCAGGACTCTGATCTAAGACGCTCGCGGTTTCTCTTGCCTAATCGATGTAATGCACCTATCAACAGGCCGATATAATTACTTTTTTTAATTTAGGCGATGCATCAGGAATCTGATTTAAGACGCTTTTGGTTTAACGTGCGAGGATTCTTGCCTATGCTAACGCTATCACCGCTCTGACGAAGACTATTTTGATTTCCTCTAGCTGCGAAGATGTTGATTTCATTTTTAGCTACGATCTCTGGTTGATAAATTTTAAACATGTTAAATTGCGATACACCGCAATGTCTGACTGACGATCTATCATGATATAAAATTTCTTACAATGCCCAGGCCTATTTTTTACATAAACAATAAAAATTCTTGAGGATTTTTTTTTTTTTTAAATGTTGTTTGATCACTGGGTAGGCGGCCATTTTATTTGGCCAGATATTTGACTATTCGACCAAATCACTATTCATTATTCCCTATTATATAATAAATAATATGTATCTATATAATTCATATTTGCATCCAATTTTCATTACCTTTGATTTATTTGAAAAATTATTGTTTTATAATTTCAGACAATACTTGATTCCGAACAAATTTTTTTTATCATTGATTATCAAGACACAATACTTTTTAATTGAATAAATTCTAATTCCTCAGAGGTGCAGTATTCCTTATCAGTGTAAGCATAAAATGTTTTATAACTAACCGCAGACTATTTTATAAAGATTTTTTATCTTTTTTTATAAATGATGTTTCTGATTCCACTATGTTTTGTTGTTTTTTCCCCTTCATTCACAATAAATTTTGTACTTAATGAATTATTTCATTTCATTTTCAATTTTTAGATATGGAATTTTTTCATTTTTATTTCAATTGATCATTACATCCTGCCTTGTCCTGTGTTTCAATATTTATGTTAGCACTTATTTTAACTATCATTTCTGTTTCTCAGTTCTTAATTTTAATTAATAAGTTTTCCTTGTAGTTTATTTATTTCTTTTTTCCTGATTGTTAGGTACTAAATATATTCTGATTTTAATCATTAAATTTTTTATATTTTGTGATTTTAATAAATCTTTAGCTTATTATAATTAGGTTTTACTTAGTTTAAAATAATTGTCTTAACCTCAATAAACTTATATTTGTTAGTTTCTTTTTGTCTTGGTTTAGTATTAGTCACTCAAAATAATATTTTTATTAATTTAATGAATTTACCATCTTAATTTATATATTTCTATCTGTTTACCCAGTTTTTTTCTATTTTTAAAATAGAAAATCTTAATCTGCATTCTTTGAGTTTTTCTTTATATTCTTAAAAGCTTATGTGAGGTGATTAAATGCAATTTAATTTTAATTAAATACAGATTATTTGTATTAAACATTTCTTTATTTAGTTTTTTTTTAAATTTTTTAAAGGATGACTGAGTTGAAGAAAAGCTATTCCATTTTTTTAATCTATTATTATTAATCTATGATGTTTTATTTGATGATAAATAATCATTTTTAAGGTCCTTAATTTGTTGATAAAAGTCCTTAATTTTTGCTTTGATAAAAGAGTGGGAACCCTGCTATGGTTGGTGTGAACAATTTTTTAACACAAAATGTCGTTCTTTTATCTCTTAGAATTAGACCATGCATTAAGGGTAAGACATGGAGAGACAAAAATTATTGTGTGTGGGGCAAGGGAAAGAAAGCATATCCTTTCGTTAGTATATTGGTTCTTTCATTAATATATTCTACCTTCTGCCTCGAATGATACTCTATGAGGAGAGTGAAGCATCCTAAAAGAAAAGAACAGTATGGATAAGGGGGATACTGAAGAAATAGTGCTCTTTTTTGGGTAATGTATCTTANGGGGGGGGGGGGGGGGCAGTTTTAAGATACCGAAGTAGAAGTCCCACACTAACCTTCAAAATTGACGGAAATTCAGATCTACTTATAACTCATCTGCTTAAATGAATTAAGTAAAACACTAACAAAAAAGAAGTATTAGAAAAAATTTTGATATCCCTAACGGAAACTATTTCCTGAAATCTTGAATTATATAGATTTGTATAATATTTCAATGCGTAATAAGTAACTGAAAATTTTTCAGTCAAACCCTGCTATAGTGAACGAAGTGTTCGGTCCCATTCCTTGCTATGCACATATAATGTTATTTTTTGTGGATATAGTGAACCGAAAAAGTGGGGAAGTTGGATATAATGAACTTTTAAATAAAAAATTGATTTTTTTAGATAACTGAATAACCGACTGATTTTTTTAAATAAAAATTTTTTAATAATTTTGAAATTTCTACAAATTAAATACATATACCCATTTTCAAAACCATCTATAGAGGGGAATGTAGCGATAAGCATTTTTTCTTGTTTGCTTTTATCTCACTTTCCCATCCCCAAACGAACCAAGCAGACGATGCACCTTTAAGGTGTCAGTGGGATCAATATGCGTTTTCTGTCGGAGGGAATGAGTAATTATTCATTATTGGTCAAAAGGGTTGCACACTAATATGTGTTGATAAGGTCCTCATTTCAACTCCTTTTTGCTCTCAGTTCAGTTTAAAAAAAATCCTGCAAACAAGTGTCTCAAATTTAACTATGGCTAGCAGTAAACGTAAAACGTTCTCCCTTGATGATAAAATGGGCATAATCAGAAAAATAGATGCTGATATTTGCAGGGAATATAAACTATCCAAATCTGCAGTTAGTAACATGGAAAAATAGGCAATTCATAATTTCTGCTCATGAAAAAAATTTAAGTGGTAGAGAAAAGCGGATCACAAGGATGTTGAAGAAGCATTACTGAAGTGGTTCACCAATCGAAGAAGCCGCAATCTTCCAGTATCTGGACAAATGTCGAATTTGCTAAGCGATGAGACTACTTTTATGTGCTCGGATGGCAGGTTTTAAAAAACGGAATAACAGAAATTCAGGAAAAATTATTTGAGGGTCGGGAAGTGTTTCCATATCTGATGTTGAGAATTGCTCATCAGCTAGAGATTATTAATTTTTTTTTTGTACGCAAGAAGAAGAGTAATGAAAAATAACAAATTTTTTGCTACTACATAATATTTTTCAGTCATTTATTTGAATTATGTGTAAAAGTAGGGAGGAGTTAAGGAACCATTAGTTAAACTGCCTGTGTAACGGATAAAGTGAACCGAAACTTCGGTCCCTTGAAGGTTCGTTATAGCAGGGGTTTGACTGTATAAAGCTTAAACTTTCTAAAAATTTATGATAGTACTAAACAGATTTGTAAGAAACTGGGTTTGAAGAATCCCAGCCCATGTAAGTTTTTCATCAAAAACTTGGGGGTTTTTGATGAAAGCAAAATTTTTTATTTTCAAAAGTACAGTAGAGCGCCGATTATCCGAACTGCTCGGGACCGAGCGTGGTTCGGATAATTGGAAAGTTGTTTAAAATCTAGTTTAAATGATTATTATTTATGCTCTAACTTCCCTTTTCTCACTTTTTCCAGGCTTAGAACTGGCAGTACTATTTAAAATAGCTCTGGCGTGTTTAAAAATTTTTTTTCAGCAATTTTTCTATCGTTTTTATTTATTTACTTCCTTTTTTTCCCATTTTGAATTTTTTTGTCAATTACCGATTTAAACCTTCTTTGTCTATTTTCCATTTCAAAAGAAATTCAGTAAAGACTTTTGTTTTAAAGAAGATGCTCTTTTTTGAGAAGCCTTTATTCTTTTTAACTAAATCAACTGAACTGGATCAGCATCATTTTGACGTTCTAGACTGTCAAAATGAAGCTCGCATTCTTGGAAAACAATTTTAAGTTGAAGAGGGCTAAAAGGGTTTGTAGGTTTAACTGTATGTATAGCTACTATAAGAAAACTGCGAAAAAGGTTGTAAATTAAATATGGTCATTAAATGTAGTGGATATTATTTATTCTTCTGAATTTAGAATTGTCGATAAGTTAAGAAGTTCTAAATTTGAAAAAAGGGGAAAAAAACGAATTCGGACATAGTTCGGATAATCGGCGCTCTACTGTACTTTTAAGAAATTTTTCTGAGTACTAAATAAGCAAGCATGATTGACATCTAACAAGAAAGTTAAATATTTGGTAACTATTTATAATTTGTTTAATTGCTATGTAAACATTTTAGATAGTTACTCTATAATTTTTATTTCTAAAGAATAAGCAGATTGTTACATAAAAATTTAAGTCCACTCAACTAAAAGACCCGTAGATTTAAATAATCATTTTATGCAGTTAACATTATAACTAATAATAGATTTGGCAGGAACTGATTTTGTTTAAGTTCATCAGAAAAGTAAACACATTTGCTGGTCTAGTAGTGTTTTAGACAAATTTCTTTATTTACTCTTTTTTTAATATACATGAAAAAAATTGCAAATTTTAATTTTTAGCACTTAATTTTACGATTCAATGAAATCATTAAAAATGGAATGCAGATTAGTTTCATTTGTTAACTTTACAATCTGAATGATGCTTACTTTTAACAATCTAAAATTGTTTTTTAGAAAAAAACCTGACCCGGTTATGCAAAAATGTCCTGGTAATTCTTTGGCAAGCAAGCCCTGTTAATTAATACAATATCAGTGCTTACATTATACATGTTTTTTACATAAAATTGTTTTTTAGTATTTTTTTACTGATTTTTTAGGAAGGTATATTCGATGATAAACAATCATACTATTTTTAAGGTCCTTAATTTTTCAAAAGTGCTCAATTTATGCTTTGTTGAAAGAGTGGAAACCCTGTCTCTGTAATTTTGATGGCTTCTTTAGCTTGTTGGTGATCACATCCCCTTTAAAATTTTAGAACTGCTTTTAAAGTTTGTCTAATAATAATGTAATATTTTATTTTAGACACCTTTATCTCAAATCTGATTAAATGTAAAAATGCTGATTATTTGTTTAGAATACTAAGAGCAGTTACAGTACTTAATATATCTGCAGGTTTGTATGCGCTTATGGAAAATTGTCTTGTGGGTGTATCTTTAAATTTTTCAGCCTGTGTTATCTCACAAAGGATATTCTGCTTTTGCTTGCCATTGCTCATTATATTTGTAAGAGTATTAAATTTAATTGGCGAATGAGCTATTTGGTTGATGATTCAGTATTTCTGTAGAGGAGCAACAGGAATTGGATAACTTCATTCTCATTTGAAACAGTGATTGAAGGATTTTGACCTATTGCCAATGCATCACTGGAAAAGTGATTTGGAATTTTTTACTATTTATGCACTGCACTTTGTTGTGGGGCTAGGGCTGTATTCAAAGAAAAAATTGTGCTGAACCCAGTCAGATGCATAAATGATTTTAAACTTGGACATATTTTTTAAATTTTATTATTTTGCTGGTCACAGAAAGTATCTTGCTTTTTGAATTTCTGAGGTTGGCAAGTCTATGCAGAGAAAATTTGCTTTCGGTCCTGATTTATTGTGAGTGATAATCATTGAATGATGATTGGCATTAAAAAACTTTTCTAGTTTCAAGAGCAAAGCAATTTTTATTTTGATTGTTACACATACTGCTTCCTTTTCTTTTTTTAACTGGGGGGGGGAGCTTTTAATTTAATCAAGAAATAGTGCTGTGTGTGGTTTACGTGTTAAACAGTGGGCTGATTGTGAGACACTGAGCACATAAGTGAAGCAGTTGACGACTTTGATCAACCTGCAATGTGTCCCTGGTTGCACAGCTGCTGGTCTTATTGAACTATTCTACTATGGTTTCAAGTGCTCTGCACTATTTCTCTTTTACCATCGCCTTTTTTTACCCATAAATCTGGTGCATGCACGGTTTTTTCTTGTTAAGAAATGCAAAGCATTTGCAAGAACGAATCACAGTTTCGATTATACTTCGAGAGCACGAGACTCAGAGAAATATTCCATAATAAATGTCTTTGACTGTTATGACTCAAATGCAAGGATAATATATTATTGATTATTTAAAAGTAATTCTGATCTTTCACTAGAAAAAAACCATTTAGCTTATTTTCTTACTAACTCTGATTCGATATCTTTAATACCTGTTCTTTCATTTGGTGTTATTTAATGTTTTTATTATGAATTAATATTTTTAATCAAATATAACAAAGCAGATATTTCGGATTCAGTATTTGGCAATAATGCATTGTGGTCCTGTAGTGATATGTAAATTAAAAACTACTGCATGCTACACATCTTTCACTAAAAATGAATTTTTTTTCATATTTAAAACATGATTAGTGATTTTAGTAATGAATTGTCTAGGTGTTTTTATTAAATTTTTTTTGTAGTGAATATGATTAGATTTCAGAATTTAAATAGTGGATTATAGGGCAATTTAAATTGTGCTGTTTCTATTGCTTGTAGGGGCTTTCCTAATCCTTTAACAGTGGCATCTTATTTTTAAAAAAAGGGCGGGAGAATCAAGGTTGCAAGGGCAGCTTCATTATGTCTCATATTTTCTAGTATAGATGCTGCAAGATTTTTAATTGTGTTAAATGAATGTAGAAATAAAATTATGTTTGAATAGTGCTGTTATGGGAAAATGCCATTTAAAGTGTTTTCAAATAATTATGATAATCCATCTATATTTTTGTCAAATAGTAATGACACCTAAGGTTAACCAAAATAAATAGTTGCCAACTCTACTAGAATTTAGAAATTTCCCTAAAATTGAGTAAGCTTCTTAAAAAATCCCTATTGGAGAAATAGTTTTTTTGTACAGATTATTACTTACTTGAATATTTAAGTAAATAATGAAGCAAATCTCATTTATAGAAATCAGTTCAAAAACTTTTTTTTCTTAAATATTCAGTTAATTTTTTTTTATTCAGAACTCTCTTTTTAAATTATTTAAAAAAACGAATATTTGAATTAAATTCCTGTTAATATTCAAAATTATGAGTTAACGTAATACATAGCATTTCAGGTGTGTTTAATGTAAAGGATAACTGAAAAATATGGCAGTTTTTCTATTTTGATGACTATAAAAATCCACATGTGTTAATTATTTATAAAGTTATGCAACAATTATCTTGAAATTTATATTTTGTAAAATCTATTGGATTTTTTCCTATCCATGTGGGCAGCTATGAAAGTAATGTAATGAGTATTTTCGGGGTTTCTTTTATAATTTCTAGAGAGGAATCATTAAACAGACTAAAATCTGATGTTATTTAAATAAGAAAATACATTTTATTTTACACTTTTAAATAATTAACAAGAAACTTTATGTTCATTTCATGAGATCTAAAGCAAGAGAGGCACTTTCTTCAGAAGCTCTGCCAATAAGGACTAGAATCCGAAAGTATATGCTAATAAATAACATCTGCAATGATTCCCAGCTACAAAGAAAAAATTTTCAAAATACATTTGTGATACATAGCAAAAAACTTGTTTCAAACTGCTTAAATTAATGAATTTATTTTAGCGTATTTGTAAAGTCAACATTGCTTATTATTAAAATTTAAACTACCATGTTCTTAGAAATTATTTTGATCTTAGATTATAGCTTGTATTTATCCTTATGCTAGTTCTAAAAAACCTTAAAGAATTGTTGCATGAAGCAGGACAAAAGAGTTTGCACACAAAAGTAAATAATTTTGATATTGCTAATTCTTATAAGATTTTTGGTGGTGATAGGTAAGCTTATTTTCTCCCCAATGCCTTCAACTCTAATTTGGAGAGAAGAAATTCCTCTTTTTCTTTCACACATTCAGTGCACAAATTAAAAGAAAACATTGAAAAGAAAACATTGACTTGCCAAAATGAACTTTTATTAAAACTCTCAAATCATTACTTATGTATGATCTTTGTTTATGCAGATTTATTTAAAAAAAATTTTTTTATTGATATTTCTGAGAAAAGTATTAACTTTAGTGTGAGATGTTTTTGGCACATAATACTCTCTTGTGTGCTTTCTTGAGATGGTATTTCTTGATAGTCACACTTTAGGAAGAAAAAAATGGCCAAGTATATCTAGCTTACATTCTAGACAACATTGTATTCAATGTCATGGAGGGGAAAAAGTCAGCATTTCCCTGTACTTCATGCCAAAGCTCCTTTTACAGGGAACCAAAAAAAAAAAATCTCTGAATAGACCGGAATTAACAATGAAATTTTTCAGCAGTTGTAATTAAAATTATTTCTAAGAATCATGTTTGAGTAAAAAGATGAAAAAAATGTCAAATTACTAAACTATGCCTGTTTTCCTCATGATATTTTAAAATTTAGTAAGCATTTTTCTCTCAAACGTTATATATAATAAAGGTTATCTTAGTCTGTATTCATTCATACATTAATAAAAACAGAATACAAAAAAGAAAATGGAGTAGTTCATGTTCCTATATCAGTAGTTTAGGTGTTAACAAGTACAGTGAAGTCAGTAGTTAAAAGGTTTATTAACATTTAATTTCAATTTTAAAAAACATATTTTTAAATGCTGCATCTTAAGTAATCAATATATTTCTTTGTAATTAGTAAAACTATGTACCCTGCATAACTAGATTATAAGGGATGTAAAAATTTATATGTATATTAAAAATTGGTTACAGTTAATTTATCAAGAGTTTCGTAAACATTTTTAAATTTGAAATTAATAAATTGAGTCTGTTAAACTGTGCTAAGTCGACAAACATCCTTTTGAGAAAAACATTTCACAATTTGTAATGGCTTAACAAGTTATTTTTTTAATATATTTTTTTAATGAAAAATTTTTTTTTTTGTTGACCAATAATACAGATGTTAACTTTCAAGTGGACAAATTGTATCAAACATGCAGAAAATATAAGAATACTACTCCTTAAGAATAAAGTAAAAATTTATCAGTACCAAATGCTAGTTAAATTTGCTAATTTAGACTAAAATGTGTAATCCCTTAAGAGGCATCACTTTTTAGCTACAGATTGATAATTAGGCTATTGTCATGAACTGTAACCACAGAAATCACTATCTTATTGCATGCAAATGATGTTACAGTTTGTTTAATAAAAAAGTTAACTATAAATATGTCTTACTCAATTTTTACATGTTATAAATATAATTTTAAACATAGCCATCTTAATGAGATAAATGAAGTCACCAGGCAAAATTGCACTCCATGTACAGAAAGCTGATAACCCTGATTCAAATAGATTCTACATTATTAAAAAAATTTGGACTAAAAGAAAAAAACAGTGGGATGTGAGTGTGTAGCAAATTAGTTGAACGACTATAGAAAAATTTTGTTATTTTCTAAATTTTAGCTTTTCAGGCATGTGTAGGCCTTGTTTGACTTAATGTAGGTTTTTTTTCCTGTTGGACACTAATAGAGACTGAGTATTGGTCAAACTCAGCGTATCGTTTTTTAACCACAAATAAGAAAGTTAAAGTGAAAATTATTTTCCTCTCGACCAATTCGTGTTTCTTTTGGCACAAGTCTGTATTAATAGTCACTGTCATTTAAATTTCAGAAAATAATCTTTTCGAAAAGCAAGTCCCACCTGAAGCGTTATTATTTCTCAAACTCTGCTTTAAAATAACAGTAAATAATTATTTCATTATAAAAATAACTTACTGTAGCTTTGCATTAAAACTCAGCAAATCAATCCGGTTTCTAACAGCATTTATCAAAGTAGGATTATATTTATTATAGGCACCACGAATAGCTATCTTTGCCATAAGAGTATAACGATCCACATGGTCACCATGATTTTTAACTATGGATCGAACTGTATTGATATTTCTGAAAGAAAATTTCAAATATAGTTTCATTTTATATAAATATAGCAAGGCAAACAGTGGTTCCCAGCAAGAATTATAAATGTGCCCTATTTTAGACTGTTAACATTTTCCCCTTAATGTCCGGCAGGTGGCGCAGCGCCACAACTGCTGTGTCTGTTTTGCAAATGTGAGAGAGCGTAGAGGTACACGCAAAATGAGCCTGATGTGAAGAATGATGCAATTATTGATGTCTGTAAATATTGTTTGTAAATAAATTGTTAATATGCTAAAATAATCAAACTCTTACTTCCTCCTCCCCAAGGGCGCCGGCAGCGGGGTGCAAGGGGGTGCACTTGCACCCCCCTGGCTTTTTTTAAACAATTAAAGAGTATAAAAAATTTTTATTAAAAATATTTTTATTCAAAAGCAAATAGTTAAGCAATTATTGATACATAACAATTAAAAATTGTTTAATCAAACAAGAATTGTAATAGTCTTGTTAGCTGTCCAAATCTGTTTATAACATTTTCAATGAATTCTGAGTCATCTTTGATTCTTTTCTTATGCACACTGAGCATGCACAAACTACTTAATCTCTCGTGAGACATTGTAGTACCGATTCCATGTTTTCATGCGTCGCATTGTACTAAAAGTGCGTTCAATAGTGCACGTAGTAGCTTGAAGAGTTAGGCCAATTTTGATTGCCTCCGCTACAGCTGGATAAAACGGTGTGGCCTCAATATCTAAATCGATGTATTCGAGGGATTCATAAGAATTTTCTCTATTCCTCCACATTTCGGATCACGTAAATTCGTAATTTTTTTAAAATATCTTGTTAACAATGAAGAAATGTACAGGTATAGGACAAAATAATAGGAACATCTGTGAAAGAATGGAGTCGTTCTCGACCGTCCAATAAGCGGCGGGCACGTGTCGCAAGAATGTGACACCTAGTGGTGATGAAAGACAAGGTATCTGTCTAGCATTTGGCAGTGTGAGATTTGCAAGAGAAAAATCTGTTTCTAGCAAAACGAGATTATGTCCGACCTCTCTGACCTTAAAAGAGGCATGATAATCGGAGCTCGCCTGGCTGGAGCGTCCGTGTTCAGAACAGCGAACCTTGTAGGTGTTTCAAGGACCACTGAATCAAGGACTCTGTCGGCATACACAAAGTTGGGTAAGGTGTCTTCGGCGAGGCACAACAGCGGCAGGAAGTCGAAGTTGTCAGACCGTGATAGACGGGTGTTGAAGAGGATAGTCACTCGAAAACGCAAGACAACACTACCGGTGATAACATCCGAGACGAATACCCACCTTCAGAACCCTGTATTCATGAAAACTATTCAACGGGAGTTGCATGCTGCTAACATTCATGGCAGAGTAGCTATTCCAAAGCCGTTAATTTCAGCGCGGAATGCTTTGAAGAGACTACAGTGGTGCCAAGACCACCTACAATGTACACAACTGCAATGGGAACAAGTCATCTGGTGTGATGAATCCTCTTTTGCACTATTCCAGACCACCGGACTTGTGTTCGTGTGGCGAACGCCGGCAGAAGCATTTCATGTTGACTGCCTGGTTCCAACCGTGAAACATGGAGGTGGTTCAGTGATGGTGTGGGGCGCTATTTCTGCCCGTGGATAGGGGCCTCTCGTTGTCTTGAGGGGGTGGTCAAAGGGGACATCTACGCAATAAATGTCTAAGAGATTTGATGACTAAATTTAAAACAAAAGGTCATGTTAAGGAAACAATTTTGCATTCAGTTAAAACAATATCAGGTGATTCNGATAGGGGCCTCTCGTTGTCTTGAGGGGGTGGTCAAAGGGGACCATTACCGAAGCTTCTTGCATATCATCTTCACCATATGCTTCATACTCTCTTTCCGGGAGAGCGTCCTGTGTTCCAAGATGACAACGCCCCTGTTCACACGTCTCACTGTGTTCAAACATGGTTAAATGAGCATAATTATGAAGTGGACCATCTAACGTGGTGTCCTCAGTCCCCTGATCTCAATATCATTGAGCCTTTGGGGGGTTTTTTGGAGAAAAAAGTCCGTGCTCGGTTTCCTCCTCCACGCACACTCTCTAAACTCGAGACAGCCCTGCAAGAGAAATGGCTGCAAATTCCAAAGAACTTGAATTTTTGTTCAAGACCTTTATTTGTCAATCCCACGTCGAATGCAAGCTGTCATTCAGGCCAAAGGTGGCCAAACTCCTTATTAATAAAATATTTTCATTTTTTCACAGGTGTTCCTATTATTTTGTTCTATACCTGAATCTTGGAAAAAAAATTAATAGATGAAAGTATATGTAATAACTAGAAAAAAAAACGTAATAACAGAATATTTAAAAAAAGAAAAAGAAAAATGGGGGGGGTTAGTTTGTTAGACGGTTGCACCCCCTTTTATATTATTCTGCCGGCGCCCTTGCTCCTCCCCCCAACAGAGCTACTCGACACCTGAACAAAAGATATGATTACAACAAGACTTAACACAATTTTTTGGAAATTATAATATGAGACAAGAACACTGAAGAAACAATCAGGAATTTTTAATTATTCATTTTATATTAATTTATACACTTTAACTTAAATTATTTTAATATACCAATATTATTTATTGAAATTGCGTTAAAAAGGCGTAATTTATAAAAAAATAACTAAATTGAACTTTGTATACACCGAAAGTCTAACCACATAGAAATGAAATTTATCTTAAAAATACAAGGAAATAACTCGCTATATTCGAAGTTTAGTTAGGAGTTTTTTTCTAATTTCTAAAGTAAATTTTAAAAAAATATCCTATAAAAAATAGAAATATTTTGATTGAAATTCATATCATAAGAGTGCACAACCTTCTTTTTGAATAACGGGCTATGTGCCCAAATATCTAAATACATTAACAGTATTTTTTTTTAATACATAAATTTTTAATTATTCATTTTATTTTAATACAACAAAACACTGTGTCTAAAACATTGATGCAAAAGTCTGTGCTTTAGACACAGTGTATCAGTTTTTAAGGACCGTGGGAACCCTGTTTAATGAATGCTACATTTTGAAACAGTTAAGTACTTTTTTAAACTATCACAAATTAGAAATAAAGCTTAAAAACGGTGAAAAGTTTAAAACTCGCATTCGAATTCTGCGTTTTGTAATAATATTGTGTAAAAAAATAGAGAGATAAATTAAAAAATGTGGAAATAAATAGTAGCAACTGAAAAAAAAAATGTATTGATGATGAAATTGGCAGAAATAAAGCATCTGAAAAGAAATTATTAAAATGCCGAATTAGAAAATCGCTAGCCTGTATACCAGAACATCTGGGATTTTTGAAACCCTGTGGAAAAGTCTTCCAAAGAAGCATGGTAGGCAAAACTTTGTTTAATTTCAACAGAATTGTTCAATGAGCACTCTAACTTTTTGTGACAATGAATATTCTTGCATTAAGCCACACAATTAGAATATCCATCTAAAAATTAAATATTCACTGCCATACTAGTATTTGTCCTGAAAATCACTGCCTATTACATTAATTTGAATGCCTGTGTAGGGGTCAGGGTACTGTCCTTGCATCAGAAAGGTTCTGGGTTCGAATCATGGATGTTCTTTCATTCTCTGTACTATCTGTCCTTAGTGTGGGAGCAACACTGGCCCACCTAATAGGGTGCCCCTGAAAGAGTGGTCAACAAATTTGTCCTTCAGGTGCCTGTATGACCTAGGTCATTATCCAGGTGGGCATTGAAAATTTTTTTTTTTTTTTTTAATTTGAATTGATTGTTCAACGTTTTGCTATGTGTAGAGTTTATGACCTAAATACATTTCGACAAAAAAAATTATTATTATTTTTTTATTAATTCCAAAAAATGTTGAACACTTCACAGCCTCATTCATTAATTTATTATAAGTTTTTTTGTCGATTTCATAACAATATGATGCTGAAAAAGTGATAATTTTAATTAATTGCTCAGCATTTTTCATGATGCATAAATTTGTGTAAAACCTAAATACACTCTGACAGAAAATAAATTATTAAAATGCTTTTTTTTTAATTAAAAAAAAGATTAACACTGCACAGCTTAATTCATTACTGTATAAAAAGTTTCTTTTATCAATTATTTTTATTAGCATATTATAATGCTAAAACACTTCACAGCTTAATTCATTGACATATTAAATGTTTCTTTCATCAATTCTTCTTATTAGCATATTATAATACTAAAACACTTCACAGCTAACATTTATTTCTTAATTTCATTATTAATACTATAACAATAGTGAAAACATTTCACAGCCTAACATCTTCTGAGTTTTTTTTAAATGTCTTTTATAATCTTCAAATGCTGAAAAATAGCTCAATACACAAAAAAAATCATTATATTGAATGTGAAACATTTACCTAAACACAAGAAGCATAGGTAAAGGCAAGCTCTGGACAACTGTCATAATACTGTCAAAATGATCTTTAGCCATTTTTTTCATGTATGCAGTGTCTTCTGCAGTCAGACAATTAGGCAAACGCATTCCTTTTCTATTCAATGGCCTTTGCATTAAAATTTCACTAAAGAGATAGTAATCTAAAAAATTCTCACCAATTAGGACAAAATATTTTAACATATCAAATAATTACAAGATAAATAACAGTTCTTTAGATAAAAATATGTGTTTCCTGCTGCAAATAACGAATCTATATTTTGTTTACCATGTACCATTCCCCCCCCCCCAAAAAAAACATGTTTCAACATGGTGACTATATATATTTCTATAACACGCAATAACATATTACAGGCAAAGGAAAGGCACACTCATTGACAGTGGAATCATCGACAAATCTTGATATTTAATGCATCAAGACAAAGTTGAAGCTCTAGATACAATAGGAAGTGAGATATTTAAGAATTCATTAAAAACTTAGTGACTTTTTTACAACAAAAACAATATGCAATGAATCATTTTGGTATTTATATATCAATACCACAGATTTTATTTATACAGAACCATATATTTTAATCTAAAAGGCAGAAATTTATTCTATGATCAATAAAACAATTTGTTATTCCCAGATAAACTTTACTAGAATCTAGTTTTCGATTTAAAATTTGTTTTAATGCATTTAAACCCTTGGAGCATTAGTCCCAGTTTTTTTCCCCAAACATTCAGCTATCTCTGGAGCTGTATTAATAAAATAGTAATAATAAATAGTAATTAATAAAAGGTTAATAAAGTAAAAATTTACCATATAATTATTGTTATATTAAAAACACTGATTACGATCAAACAAAACATCAAGACTATCATTCTCCAATTTCCATCATTTAATTTTAAACATGTCACATTTTTTTTAAGACATAAAATGCAAAACATACAAACCTTGGACATTTAGTTCCTCAGAGAATTTTTTCATACTTTTGTTATCATTTAAAACAATGGATCTCCACAGACAGCAAAGAGACATACGATTTTCTACTGGTAAATATTCATACAAGCCATGATCAATGAGCACAATTTCAGCTTTTTTATTTTTTCCTTTACGAACCAATACTGGAAGGAAAAAAAAAAAAAGACTAGTATTATTATTTAATATCAAGTTCGACACTAGTCACTTCATGTAGCAGCATTTTTACAAAATTGGCCTTTGTTCAATTGTTTTTTTTAAACACATTCTCATATTTTTTTCATTTAGTTCACATGATTTACATTTTTGCATATCATGCATGAAATCATTCAATAGATAAAAGAAGCTATGTAAAGATACACTGAAATTGTCTCTTTAACAATGCAATTTTGTTAAATTAAATGAATAAGTCTGAGTCATTAAAAGGCAATTTGAGAAACTAGAGTTAAAAATGTGCCTCTACTTTTATATGACAAATTTATATGATTTAATTTGTCATTTCAAAAATACTCAACAGTTTTGTGAACTGTAACCTTTTTTCAGTAATTGATATTGACTATTTCTATTCGATTTATATTTCATTTGAAGTATATTTTGCACCTATTATGTATTATCTATATTAGTACAGTAGGGAACCGATTATCTGGAACGGTCGGGACCATTGCTATTCCGGATAACTGATTTTTCCGGTTTTCTGAATCGCTACAAAAAGCCGTTTTTTTAATTGTTAAAAACAACTAAAAAAAAAAAAAATTGGAAATAATCCTAAAAGTAGGAAAAAATGATGAAGTAATACACTAATGATTATTTCCAAAATGATGGTAAGGTAAACATTTTTAAAAAAGGAAAGAAAAATCGTAAAATCTTATGAGGAAAAATTTTTTTTTTTTTTTAAAAATGGCGAGAAAATTTATCGAATTTCGTTCCGGTTTTTTGGTTTTCCGGCTTTCTGATTTCCGGATAACGGGTTCTGTACTGTATATAAAATAGTCTTTTATGGAGTAATATAATAGTATCATGATTTATTTTGATGATTAATTTTAAACACCGGCATGATTTATTTCAAGTCATTATAAACAAAAAATCTTAAAATACCCCTTCAAAAAAAATAACTAAAATAAAAATGTTTATTTTTTTATCTCATTTTTACACATACTGTTTCCTGGATGAGGGTCGGCATGCACAAATCCTGTATGGAAAATTTGCTCAGCAAATGTCCTAACCATTTTTTGACCAACCTACAACAAAGTAAAATTGAGCACAGTTAAAATTTTAAAAATATATAAAAATAATTAAACGTGAGTATGATTTATAATATTCCCTTCACTCATTGAAGATTTTTTAAAATGCATACATATCTTTAAAATGTATAAAAATTTCTATACAATATAAAAATAATGATTTTCAATATAAAAATATAAACTCACATCAACTATGTTTAAACCAATTTTTTGAATACCTTTGACATCATCTATATCAACACCATCAATGAATTCAGCTGTTAGGATTCTCTGTAATAAAGAGAAACGGGCAAATAATTTTAATTAAAAGTAGATCAGCAGACAACCCCAGACTCTGGCTGGAGGAATATTTTCAGAGACGGGCTCAACATTTAACTTTATTTTGATATGTAATATAAGATAAATAAATAATAAAAAAACATTAAAAAAAACATAAAATATAAGAATAACGAATAATAATTTATAGGAAATGAATATTATTCCTTAACCTAGATAAGTTGACCATGAAAACAAATAGACAGCCTACACAGATTTCTGTATTACAAAAGAAATTCATTCACACTGAAAATTATGTTATTCCTGCATATACTATATAATGAAAAAAGAGAGGTAGAATATTTGTAACAAGAGAAGAATTTGAAAAACTAACAACTGTGATGTGGAATCTTATTAAAGTACATTTTATATGGTATAGTGTTTTAAAGTAAGAGTTCATTGTTGGCAGGAAATGGATTTTTCTCTGATGAAATCTTACTAAAGAGTTTAAATAATTTTTTTTCTTTTTGTAGTTTTTGAAACAATAAAAATTGCCTGACAGGCGTGTCAAGTTAGAAATATTTGTAGGAGAGTTTTTATCATTGCTAAGCAGTGGACTTTTTTGATAAAATCTGACTACTGAGCAAAAATAATAACAACACAAGTTTAAAATATTTTGCCCTTAACAATTGAATTTGTTTAACATTCAAAAAAAGCTATTTAAAGTTTTGAGATTTTTTAAATAAATAATTAGATTCAAAATTGATATAAATTAAAAACAATATAATAAGTACTGACAGAAAATATTGAGAAAATGTTCAAACTATTTCGTTTGGGAAAATAAAAATTATATTCTTTTTGAACAAAATGAAAAAAAAAAATTTTTTTTCCTGATTGCTGGAAAAAAAAAAGTAGAAAACAAAGTGACGTGGAAGAAAGAATTGAAAGAAGTTCATCACATAACAAACACAAAAAGTTTCTAGACACTCATACCTCTGCAATAATAGGACAACAAAATACTCCCAACAAAGCTATCATTTTATGAAATATATATATTGAAATAACTAATAATTTTTTAATATTTGTGTCCTTTAATTTCCTATAAAGAATAAACAAAATAGTATCTAAATAGAGTCAGACATTTAATGAATCACTGATTCAATTGAAAGGTTTGATTGATTGATTTTTAGGGGGGTAAGAAATAAGGGAATATAGTATAAGGGGTGGGACTAATATACCAATAAAGGTAACATATTTGAATCTAAGTAATTTTCAATAGGGTTTAAAACCTTCTCCCTCCAATGCATGACTATAAAATTTTATATTAATTCTAATATAATACTTTTTCATTTAAATGATAAAGATAATTTTTGTAACAAACAATAGTAACAGTTTTTATGGGTTACCAAAATATACCTAATATGAAGAGGAAAAAAATTTAACCTTTGTAGATAACTCCCAATAAACTTTTGGAATGTAAACAAATGATAAATGTTTCAGATCATTGGCACATCTTTCCATATTTTTGGCTTCATTGATAAAATCTAATTCAGCAACCAGACTTTCTCTCAAATACTACTGAAAACAAAAAATAAATAAATTTCTAAAGCAAATTTAAATAAAAATAGATTTATAGTTTACATATTAGAGATTTATTAAGATAAAAAGAAAATCAATTAAAACTTTAGCATTTTATCAACATGGCTATGGGGTCACAGTATTATACATTTTCAGTCAATACTGTATTGCATAATTGAAATCAAATAGAACTAGAGTAAAACTTTGAAAAATCCAAATTTAGACAAAATTAGTCTAACTTTTAATCAATTAAGACAATAATAATTATGACATAGCTAGGCCCTGGGAGTAATCTATCATCAAAAGAATTGTGAAATATGGATTACTTACCACCCTATCAGTAAAATAACTTGGACCAATATTCACAAATCTTGGCCCAATAAAGGTTCAAACGGCCGTTAATTTCTGATATTGGCCCTGTATGGAATTGTCTGACTCACCCAATATTTTACAACCAAAATCAGCCCTATATAGAGTTGCCAGACTTACCCTACATTTAAATTCTTTATTTAGCCAATATTAAAAAATCTAGATATCTCAATATTGGTTTCTATAGGACTCATATTGAGCCCAACTGGGACCAAAGTAAAATTGTTGCCCTATTGAGAATTTGAAGTGTTTATTGCAAATCATTTAGAAATCTAAGTTTTCTGTACCTTTCAAATTTCTTTTCAAAATGCTCAATTTATTCATCAGTCATATATTTCTTTTTGTTCACTCTTTTTGTGAAGTGTTCACATTCTTTTTAGTTTTTGCTTGTTCTCTATAAATATGTTATTTTTCAAAAATCTTGGCTCCTAACCAGTGTAATGCTACATGCTTAGAGTGAACTTAATTTTAAAGGAAGTAGACAGAAGAATAACACAAATTGCTAAATAATTCAAAATTCAGAAAAGCACTTTGTTTGCAATAACTTAAAATCGTGACGTAATTCTAAAGGCTGAAGAACAAAGGGTTCTGATTTCATAACATCATTCTTGTGAAGCAAAATCTAGAAAAAGTACTGAATGAATATCTAAAATTTATGCACAATTTTGAAATATGTCATTTAAAAAAAGTTTACATGTATTTTTAACCTTTAATGTACTATATTAAATAATACTTTTACTCTATTGACATAAAAAACAAAAATGTGTATTAGTGTCGGTTTCATAATTCTACTTAAAGTGTAGTATAGTTTACTCAAAATAAACCCAGTATTTAGGAAATATAAGTAAATATTTGCACTAATTTTATGTAGTCAAGATATATAGCGATCTAACATTATAACATCATTTTCATTTGGACCGCAAGGGTTGTTATATCAAGTGGCGACTGTATTTACTTTATTTTAAAAATGAGTAAAATAATGAACAGTATTAAATTATCCCACACAAATGTACCAGCAATTCTAATAGGTGTAACAAATCTATCGTAAAAGTTATTTAATGAAGTACTATTATGTGTATAATTTTTTTCCTGATATTTAAGATTTAAATTTGTGTAAAGAAAAAATTCTATTTTTACCTCAAGAATTTAAATTTAAGAATTAAAATGAAGAATTTAAATTTCTCCAACTTTAAAATAAAAAATTTTCCTGATTTTTCAAGGTTATACAAATTGCTATATATACCCTCTAATGCATATTTTTTTCAAAACAAAAATGAATGCTTACATATATAATCATCAAAAGCAAAAATTGCCAACTGAACTAAAAAAAAAATAAAAATAATAATAATAATACAGTACAGAACCAGTTATTCGGAAATCAGGAAACCAAAAAACCGGAACAAAATTTGATAAATTTTCCCGCCATTTTTTTTTAAATTTTTTTTTTCCTCTTAAGATTTTAGAATTTTTCTTTCTTTCTTGAAAGATTTTTACCCTACCATCATTTTGGAAATAATCATTAGTGTATTACTTCATCGTTTTTTTCTTCTTTTTAAGATTATTTCCAAAATTTGTATTTTTTTTTCAGTTGGGTTTAACAATAAAAAAAAAAGGCTTTTTGTGGCGATTCAGAAAACCGGAAAAATCAGTTATCCGGATTAGTGATGGTCCCAATCGTTCCGGATAATCGGTTCTCTACTGTAATAATAATAATTCTTTGCATATTTCTGACTTTTTGTTTTCCATACCTCATAAAGTAAAGAATATAAGACAATAAAATGCATAAAAAAACTGTACTCTCAATAAGTTAAAATAATGATTTTGAATTATAAAAAATTGCTTACATCCATCACCCATGTGAAGTCAAAGTTTGGATGCATCCAACCAATCAGTTTTAATAAAATATAGATAGTGTTTGTATCTCCACTGAATCTTTGCTGAAGATCAATGTATTGGGCCTGTATTGAAAACATTAAATAAATTGTGTGTGATAGAAAAAATAAAATATGCATAAATTTACTTCTTAAATTTAATAAAACAATAAAATACACAATTTTAATAAATACCCATTAATGATGATAATATTCATATTCAGTATGTATTACAAATGTTAAAACAAAATAAATGAAATAAGATGGCACAGTGATTAAAGTATTGAGCCCTCGCTGTAAAGGATCAGAATTTTATCTATTTGGAGACTTGAAGCCTATCCAGTTTCAAATTGATGGATACCAGCTAGTCTAAGAAGTAAAAACATCTTGGGTGCACAATGTTGACAATACTGCAATCACCATGGCTCCCTAGGCCGACAGAGACGCTGGTAGCAATGGAGCTAAGAAACAACGCTAGCTAAGGAACAAAAATAATATGAAGCACAAAATGATTTCTGGAAAAGACATTTTCCCAGAAATTATCTTTCATTGGTATTATTCAAATTTTTAATTTAAAAGGAAAATATAAAAGACAGTAGTTTCATCGCTCAAAAAGGCTACATAGAGAAGAAAAAAAAAATCACATAAATGCCCTTTCTCACTAAATATCGTTTTACGAATTAAAATTAGAAAAAAAAAATTACACTATATTTCCATTCCTTGCAAATGAATAAAGAAATATTAAAGACAGAAAAAAAAGAGGTAAGGACTAAGTGCATAGAAGTCCCGCCCACACGAAATTTAATTTTATCAATTATCATGTTTCGAAGAGATAGAAAACAAACTATGTATCACAAATACTTAAATATCAAAAGTAAAAAAAAACATCAACTTGTTTTTAATGGTTAGTCATCTTTTTATTAATTGGCTGTTTCAGTTTAACTTTAATTAATTGCAGGTAACATTTCATTTTACAGAAATATTGCAAGTGTTTTAATCAGATTTATTCATATATATTAAAAAAAAATCATACTTTAACAGCAACTGTTTCTCCACTGTGCGTAGTAGCTTTGTAAACTTGAGCCAAACTAGCAGCTGCAATGGGCTTCCTTTCAAAAGAAGCAAAAACATTTTCTGGCAGTTTCCCAAAATCTTCTTCAAATAATGTTTCTAACTGTAATTAATTTTAGTAAAATAAGATACCATGATATTTTATAAAAAAGCAAAGCATAAAAAATTAATCTTTTAATAAATTTTAAAAGTTGACTCTCAATTAAATAGGATTAGATTGTCCAGGCAGTACCGTCTTTACGCATGGGCATACCTGGGCAGTGCCTGAGGACCCCAGGCGCTCAGGGGGCCTTTGAGAATCTTACTTTTTATAAATTGTATTTAAAAACACTAAGAATAAACAAAATTGCCTTATATATTTTTCAAAAATAAATATATTCTATTGTATAAAGTGTGCATTTTGCTTTTCTTTCTACAAATAGTGATTGATTATCATACAAACAACAATAATTTGAATAGTTTATCACCAGGGAAGCTTAAAAAGTCAACCGAAATCTATTTTTCCGCTTTCTAATGAAGTTTTAATTTGGATTCAGTTTTTTGGGGTAATCAAACTGTATTTAAATTTTGTAAAATTATTGCATATGTTAAAAATGCTTTATTTTATGTATGTGAAGATTTTTAGTTCAATTTTAAGCAGTATGACCTGTTATAAGGGTCCAAATTGTTTGCCCGGGGGTCCTGCATGCTATTAAGACGGCTCTGTGTCCAGGGTGGTTCAACAAAAAGAAAAGAAGAAAAACCTTTTCTACTCTTCCTACTGTATTGGACCAACCTTATGGGCATTTAACATGTTTTGTTTCTATTACACTAGCAAAAATAATAAGCATTGCAATTATTGATTTAAAACTCACTTCTTTTTCTTCTCGTATTAATGCCTTATTATGAAGGACTGATAAAGTTTCAATATATTCAGGAGGTAATATATGGTTTAAAGAAACTACACCTTGCCCAAGTTTAACATATAAGCCACCATTTTGCAAACAGCCTTCCAGCAACATTTCCGCTGCTTTTTTATGACACTTTCGTAAAATTTCATTATATTTTGAGGAGTTCTGAAAGAGAGAAAAATTTTTAGAAGAGAGCTTATTAAAATTCGAATTTGATTGTTATAAGTACAATCAAATTAAAATTTTAAAAAATGAAATGCAATAATTTTTATAAAGTTTGAAATCAACTTCTAGTTTAAATAACTTTGTTAACACTTAGTATGCTATAAAACTATTAGTAATATATTTCAATCATTTATGTATTTAAAGTATTATTATTAGGTACTAAATTCTAAATCATTTCAATAAATGAAACATTCACACCAAACTAAATATGATTTTTATCATGGAAAGCACTAAATTGAAAATAGGTCAATAATTCTAATATACAAACAAAAAATAATTGTTTAAAATTCCACATTATGTTTTAAAAATAAAAAAACAAACATAAAATATCTGCTTCAACCATTAAATAAATATACAATACTACCAGCAATGCTTTGATACATTTTTCTGCTACTAAAGATACAACAGTCGCCATAGTTTATTATTAATGCAAAAATTTGTAACAAAAATTAAAATTTAAAAAATAGTTATCAAAAGTGCAATCAAACTTACTTCATGCGTTCCAAAAAGTTTTATCCAATAATCTAAAGATATAAATAGACCAATTTTTAGAGATCTAAAAAAAATAATAAAAATAAATCAATATGAATAGTATAGAACAGTGGTTTCCAACTGGCGGCCCGTGGGCCCCATCCGGCCCATGAAGCCTTTTTCTGTGGCCTGCGAACTAAAATATAATAGTTGTCATTTTTTGGCGGACAATTTTGTAAAAAATTTATATGGATTTAAAATACTTTTCTCATTAATAAAAACCTAATTTCTTCATTTCTGTGAAATTTATCATACCAACTGTGCAAAAAAAATTATTTCTCAGGTTTTGCATCCAAGAAAATATTTATTCAAATACAAAAATAATTGTGTATGTTGCTCTTTCTTATTTCATTTTTTTGTATTTTGTGAATATAATTTAGCATGTGAGTATCAGAAATTTTCTCGAAGAAATTCTCCGATTTAACTTTCTGAAACCACTCATTTTGGATGAAAATATTTACACACGCATTTGTAAATTTAAAATGAAAATATCGATTCTCTGGTGGTTGCAGCAGACAAATCTCAATTTTATCATTGAACATTTTCTGTGCTACTATGCAAGTTTTAATACCAACATTTTTAAAGTTTATATCTTAACAATTAGATAGCTGTTGCACATTAATTGTTTAATAAATCGATGCGCATTAAAGTTATTGTAGCCCGATTTTTTTTATTTAATATTTTTAAAAATATTATTGATAACAATTAAATATTTTTAAAAATCTACTTCTTATTTTAATTTGTAATTCAATACTTTTGTTTTGTACAACTTGGTAAAAATCTGACAATAATATTTAATGTTCCTTCAAACATAAAAGAGTCCCACATAAAATTTTGATAAAGTTGCGGCCCGCCATTTGATTTGTGTTTTTAATCGTGGCCCCCGGCCTCATGTAAGTTGGAAACCCCTGGTATAGAAGCAAATATTGCAATTGTTAAAACAACAGACATACTAAGAATAACACAATCACTATCATTTGTCCAAGAAAATTGGTATCATTTATTAATATAGCATGTTTACCAACACTTTAAATTTTACTATAAAAATTTTTATTTATTGATTCTATAACAGTTCATGGATATAAAACAGTCTTTCATATATTTGATAGACAATTTTACATTATTAATAGACTATAATATTCCACAAAATTGAAAACGTTAAGAAACATTAAATTTTTGCACGTAGTGAAAATTATGTTACTTTTAAGGAATTCCATATTTTGAAGCATTTTTTGCTCAGCAAAAACCTTAAAAAAAAGAGTTGCTGTTTATCATCCACATTACCTGTTACTACCGTTTCCTTGTTGAGCTCGTTATTCCTTTTGTGCCAACCACTAGCTTAGTTAGCCCTGTTTGTCATATATTTTGGGTTAATTTGCCAAAGGTTATGTTGCAAAATAATAAGTTGCTTTGTTTACTTTTTCTAACATTTCCTGCAGAACAGAGCTTAAAACTTTTTTAAATGTACAAAATAAGAAAAAAGAAAGAAAATTTTTTTTTTTTAGTATTTTGACAATAGTTCTTATTTACATGTGTGTAATTAAATTTTGATTTAACAATTTTTATCACAATTTGGTTCTGATTCAGTAATTGCTTTACCTTATTTTTGTCTAGGTGAAAAATTGAATTAAATTTGACACTTTTATAATGTATATTTCTTTATTTTGACAAAGAATAGAAATTTAACTTTAATAAATTAACAAAAATTAAAACTTTAATTTTTTGAAACAAATAATTTCAAGTTTTGTTTGTAGATGTCACTGATATTTTACTTCATTTTATTATTTAAATGAAAACAAACATTTCATTATTTTTAAATAAGTAATAAATTTGATACGTTATGAATTAATTCACAATAAGAATATTAAGATAATATAAATCGAATGATTTGTATACATGGGACAAATTATTTGCCTGTACTTGCTTGGGCCAATTACTATTACTAAGGTGACAAATACAAATTTTTAAAAAAATTATGTAGCACTTTGCCTGTGGTGGTTATAAGTTATAGATTTGAGTTAATTCTCGTCATTGACTTTATTTTAGTTTTTCATGAGCCACTACCCGGTTGATGGCAAAATACGCAAACTTTTTTAACGCATGTACCAATATGGAATCTCTCTTTTTTAGTTACTAGATACCAAATTATATTATGTTGGCTGGAAACCATTACAGGGTGCGTAGCCAAATCTTTGAATCAAAAATAAGCACTTTTTAAAAACTTTTCAAGCACTATTATCACTAAGTTACAAAAGTTAAATTAAAAATAATGTAACTCTAGTGAAAAATATCAGAAAGTCTTTTTTTGAAATGATAATAATATTTGTTTTCTTGGAAAGGTGTGTCGTNAAGTGCTAGAAGTAAAATAAAATAAACAAGAATAAAATTAAAATAAATTAAAAAGAAAAACATTTATTAAGGATCTGACTATCCGAATTGGAGCACTCGGGTTTCAGTTTCGAGTGTGCGCGCATGCGCAAGTCATAACGTGGGTACCACATGAAGTCCGTGTGAATGATTACGTAGCAAACACCCCATTTTTCATGAAATGCAGGGGATCCGCCAGATATCACTGAAGGAAAAAAAAATTAGTCGTGAAAAAAAGCACTTTTTAAAAACGTCAGCTGAAAAAAGCACCTTTAAAAGCTTTTAAAAATGAAATCCCCCAAAAAGCACATTTAAGTACTTTTTACAAACGCTACGCATCCTGCATTAGTTTTGACCTGTTTTTGTGACTGGGCAGAATTAAAAAATTATTTCTGTGCATCAAAACTTAATTATGGCACTTGATTCCCATAAGAAATAGTAAAACTATTGCATCAATTATGTATTTAAAATAAAGTTGTTAGAAAGTACAAACCTTAAGAAACGAACAAATCCAGATAGTGTCACATCAACTTGACGTTTTTGAAAAGTATCTAAAGAATAATAGTAAATTGAAGGACCAATTATAAAGCTTCCAAAAACAGCATATTTCCATTTGAAGAAACTAGTTTTTTTATAGGTTTTCTTCGTCGCAAATGTTTGAACAGTTTTCAAATTTATATTTTGAAACAATTTTCTTTGCAAAATGTTTGTGGCACATCTACTTGAATGACTCAACATAAAACAATAAGGTTTGGCCATTTTTTGCCTGGAAAAAAATTATTGATTACAAAATTATTTAAACAAATAATAAAACAGATATGATAGCTAATGATTCTGTAATAGTATTTAATGAAAAAATTATTGAAAGAATTAAATTAAAAGTGCTGAAAAAGGAAAGAGTATTTTAATTGTGTAATTCATTAATTTTATGTAAAATTTCAAAACTTACACAATTGTTAAATAAATATAATTGAAAGAAGAGTAGAAATTTTAAAAAAATTTACAGGATTAAAAAAGATTTAAGAGAGAGAACAATAGCATCTAGCTCATAAGACTCACATCCAATAGATGATTAAGTAAGGACACTTCAACTAAACTTATTATGTACTATTGAAGTTGAAATTCAACACGAAGTTAGTTGACTCAAGCAAAATATTTTATGAAGAATAAAATGTGCAATAGAGCAACAATAAGTTTTAGGTTTCTGTAAGTTTCAACAAAGTTTTAGGTTATTAATATATTCATTACATTTAATAAAAAATTAAAAGTATTTTGTAGCAAATCCTTCATTTGATAATGCATAAAAATGAATTTAAAGTATGGATTTAGACCTTTTTAATTAATCCAATTAATTTTTTATTAACTGTTTTTGCCCACTTCCTACTGTTGCTTCACTAACATCTAATCAAGGAATTAGATAAGGGCATCTACACACTTGTGCATGCTACTCAACCCAATTATATTTTAAAATTTTTTTTAAAACTAATTTATAAAATAAGGTTTAAAAACTGTATTTGCAAAACTTAGGTAGGTAGGTACTTTATTTACGTCGCACTAGAGCTACACAATGGGCTATTGGTGATGGTCTGGGAAATATCCCCGAGGACGATCCGAAGAGTAGCCTTAGCGATTTTGATTCTCTAAGTATAATAACCATGCTCTGCTAGAAATTATATTTAGAGGATCAAAATTGTGATGGCAAGTCTTCGGATCATCTTCATGGATGTTTCTCAGACCACCAATAGCCCATTGTGTAACATAAAGTATCTAAGTTTCACAAATAAAATTTTTGAATTTTTCTACATTAATTAAAAAGGCAAAATAATCATTATATAAATTAATATTTTATCATTATATTGCAATAAGCAGGTTTAATGTGTAGTTAAATATGTTTTATTCTAATAAACAGGTTTATAATTATATTCTAATAAACATATTTACCTTAGGAAGGGCATTATATAAAAAGTAATTAAAGTGAAATTAGATGACAATAAGAAGTTCAAATTTATTGTGAAAGATTTTGTGACCATGTCACCAAAGATAAATAAATACCAAATCAGCATATAATTCCTTTACAACAATTGATTGATTTGTAACTGGTCCAAACTGCACAAAGGTAAATTAATTTGATTACTCTTTGTGACAATATAAATATTACTTTTGTTACTAAACTGATTAATTTTCATCAGAATAAAAAAATCTATAATGAATGCATTCTTAACTGTGGCAAAATTCATAGTAAAATATGCTTACAATTAAAATGCAATAAATTAACATAGTTAACATAAAAACGCAGCTAGATTTAAGATTCCAAAAAACTTTATAAGTATAAGCTTCATGCGATTGAATGATAGTATCTATTTATTTTAAAAATTTATAAAGTAGAAGGAGGTAAAGAATTTATAGAATTTGTATTATAAAAAATTCAAATAGCTTAATTTTTTGCAATATATTTATAAAAGCACCTAATAATATAAATATATCATTTCCAATAAGTCATGAAAAAGAATAATAGATCTTTTATAAAAAGTATATATTTTTATTACTATATGTCATAAAATGAAACAATTTTAATTAAAGAATAATTAAAATATTTTAGAAACTCCTTCGTATTTGAAATTTTAATCAGTTCAATTTTAATCAGCAAAAAAGAAAATTTGATCTATCTTCTATCTTTTTGCTTTGTTTACGTAATTTTATAGCTGATAGTATTTCAATGGAATATTCGTGCTGAATAGAGTCAAATACCTTGGTTCTAACAATGTAGTTAAGATACTTTTATGAATTAAAACTGAAAAATCGGAGTGAATAGGTAGTATATAAAACGTCTAATATTTAAACTATTTTTAATTTTTAAACGGACAGATGATATCCTCTGCGATACATATATGCAATTTTGAATCAGTTGAACTTTTCGACAATTTACGAACTCAACCACTCGTAGAACAACCGCTGTAAACAAAAACAACTTTATTTGCAAAGACACGTGTGCAATGATTATTATATTTACTTTTAATAAATATTCCGTTTGCTCACATTTTAAAGATTCTTGAACGTTAAACTCATTCTGTATTATTCATATTTTTCTGTATATTCTGGTTTTCATATTTTTTATTTTCTTTAAATATTAAAAAGTGTTAAAAGTGACCACTTATAAGCTTTAAAAGTGTTATTTTACATAATGCTATATTTTGTTACTAATATGTTTGATTTCAAACTTTTAGCCTGCTTTGTTTTAAATATTTACAATTTATTATTAGCTTATTCTTGTTCTTCATTACCAATTCAAGGAAATGATAACTACAAATTTAAGTTATAATAAAATTTTTGGAAAGAAAGAACTAATTAAAAAAAAATTTCTTATAAATGCAATAGTTATAGTTAAATTAAGTTTTTTTTATTGTAATCTTTATATGTAAAGCTTTCAGTTAACCTGCATATTTGTATCACGTTTTATACATTATTGATATTTTAAAATTGTGAAGGTTTCTGCTTTACAGAGGATAAGATATTTCAAATGTCTTTTATTTTTTAGGAATAGTATATATAATGGCTGATTGTTCTGAAGAAACCAATAAATCTTTGCAAGTAATGTATCATTTAAGTGTTAATTGAAAAAAAAACTTGCTTTCTGTAATATTACCGAAAATCACAACATTTTTAATGACAGTTTATTACAAAACTGAAAACATTATTTTTGAGTTTTGATCTCATTTCCTATTAATAACACTGCAATAATTACTTTTTTTTTTATTCATTTTCTCTGATGAACCCTTACATTAACATAATTTGTCAACCTCTTTTGCAAATCCTAGGTAGTAAAAATATTAATATTTAAAAATAAAATAAAAAATCAGATTTTTTAATTTAGATAAGTTTTTTTTTACACTTATAATAGTCAAATTAACTGTATTGATAATAGTTTTTATTGCTAACAAAATGAAACTAGAACACTAAGACTTCGATCCAAAGTTTTTAATATTATTGATTAATTATTGATAACTAATTTCTAAATAAATGAAGTCATTGTTATTTTTATCACTTTCATGGCTTGTCATTCTGATATCGAATAAATAGTTAATTAATAATTTAAATTAAAAATCAGTTATTGTTAAATAACTCTTAACAGAAAATACTTTAAAAAAATAAATTAATTAATTACCTATTTAATAATACATTTTAAAAGCATTAAGATAAATTAATTTCATATAATTAAAATATTTATCAGTGATACTTAAAACAACAAAGTATTTTAACACACATAATTAAAATGTTTAGTTCAACAGTTATACTTCATTCTTATCTATATTTAAAAAAAATTTTCCCTTTCTGTTTTCTTCTCTAATTAAAATATTCATATGAATAAAGTCCCGCAGTGGACTGATCGTTAAGACACGGTTCCCAGCAGATCGCTTAAGTCAAGCATCACTGGCTGTGGTCAGTGTGCAGGTGGGTGACCGCTTGGATCAGTCTGTGTAGGGACCGAGGGTGTGCGGTATTAATCCTCGTTAAACTGTTCTACCGTAAATTGCTTGACTTCGCGTGCAGGTCGTGGGGCTACCGAAGCGGGGGTGCCATCCCCTCTGCAGAGGATCAAAATTGAGATGGCATGTCTTCGGATCATCCTCAGGGATGTTTCCCAGACCGTCACCAATAGCCCATTCTGCAGCTCTAGTGTGACGTAAATGAACTACAAGATTCATATGAATAAAATTAGTCGTAAAAAATAATACAACTTTAATAATGTATACATCTGTGTAATGTAAACCAATTATCCTAGTTTCTACTTATTCATTATAAGCAATTTGATTCGACTGTATCAGGATTAAAGGACCATTCTCGTGGAAAAATTAACCATCGGAAAATTTTATTCTAATTTATAAATTGAATTATACATTAATAAATTGAAATTCGAAATTCTGTATCATTATTTTCAAAATTTTTTTATGCTTTGTTTTTCAGGCTGATGAAGTTCAAGCTCTCTCAGCTATATATGAATTAGATTGGGTGACAGAAAATCTTGTTCAAAATGCTTACAGCATAAAAATATCAGATGGTGCAAATAACATAGTTTACTTTAAAGTAAGATTTTTTAGTTAGTTGGTTTTTAAGTTTTTTATGCTAAAATATCTTAAAATGGTCCATTTTATTGAAAAAAAATTAAAAAAAAAATATATATATATTTTTTTGCTTCAAATCATTTTAATAAATTTGCATTCGTTAGCATAAGGATTATTCATGCATCCATATATAAGTTTTGTGGTGATTTTAGATCATTTTCATATAATGATAATAATATCAACTTCGAATAAAGAAACATTTACCCTTTGATCTTTCTTGTACTGAGTTTCATCACATCAACTTTCTATTAAAAAACCAAATGCTTTGTTATGTAGGAAAGCTGCAGGTTGGTTGGAAAATATCAAAAGAAAATCTTCTTTTTAAAATGTTTTTGAATAAGTCAGTATGCTATCGAAAAAATATTTTTTGGTTAAAAAAAAAAAAGCAGCAATATTTAATTACCTTCTTAGCAAAATAAATTATATTGTATATTTTCATTTAAAACTTATAGCAAGTTGTTTTGAAGTCCAGTAAAAAGAGTCTTTCAAAATTTTGTGAAACATTATGCATTAAATTAGAAGTTAATTTATGATTTAAAAGTCTTGCCATTTTTTAATTTTTGACATAAGAAAAAATATAGCTTTAATTTGCTCTCAAAATTTACTCTTATGAATCTAAAAAAAAAAAAATTTAAAGAGAAATATTATTTTCTTTTTTAAATTATTTTTATTTAAGGGGATTGGGAAGATTTCAATATCTGTATATATGCCAAAATAATCACCTAGTTTTGGTATATTCCAGACACTGACCTGTGAGAAACCAAATAAAAAAAATAAAAAAAAAATATATATATATATATATATATCACAGAAGATAACCAACTCATTGCTATCTGTAAGCAAATCTCTACATATATATTTTTTTTTCTTCAAAATCTCTTTGGTGCTTTGTTGGCTGTAATTGAAGTGAACAGATTTTGATATGTAAATAATATATCAATGTTTTGATGTTTCTATAAAGTTACTAATTTTTTCTTCTGTTTTTCATATTAGGTCACTCTTCCTGAATCATATCCACTAGACTCTCCACCAATTTATGAATTAAGGTTTGTGTCCTACTTTTTTTTTTTAAATTTCGATTGTTATTGTTACATTAGTAAATATTCAATCTCTTAATATATTTTTGTTTTATAGTGCACCGTGGATGAATAGAATTGTTAAACAAAATTTGTGTTCTGCTTTAGAAGATGTTTACTGGTATAATGTTTTTTCTTTTTGTATTTTGAAAAGTAAAGACTATGTCAGAATGATAATTAGAATTCTATTATCTCCTAAACAAGCTTGCTACCCCCTCTTTTAGTGTTTGAGTGCTCCTTTAAATTAAATACAGCAAAAGCATAAATGAAATCCCCAATAAGTGAAAAAATACAATGCAAAATGACATTTAAACTATACCTATACAAATTATGAAAGAAAATAACAATATATTGAAGTGGGGCAAGAGGACATAATTTATTTTGGTTCAATGTGTTTTAGTTACGTTTCAAATAACAAAGATAGTCAAATAAAAGACCAGGAATTTATAAAAATTGTATAATAAAACTTTTAGATTTTTCATGATGGATTTTTTACATGTTATTTAACCCGTTACCTAATACCTGTTATTTCTCACTCTAATCACTCAATTTAATAAAAAATTTAAATTATGTGCTGTTTTGTCACTGATTTTTGCCTTTAAATGCATTAATTATATTTATATATTTTTTTTATCTTTTTTAAAGTAAATTTAATATAGAAATTTTATATTGGAAAATTTTAAACAAATGTTATAAAATCCACATAACCTCACTATCCTAAACTGCAGATCTCACAGTATCTCAAAAATGCAGGTAAGCCTGCCAGGTAAAAAATTAGCTATCTTAAAAAACATATAAAAGCTAGAGGAATCTTAAAACACATTAATGCCATATAACTATGACTACAGATCTAATAACCACCTGGATTCAATTAAGAAATGAGTTCACAAAGCTTTGAAGGCACAACATGCAAATCTGCCAAATTGTGATTAATGCAAATTGATTATTTTGGTGTTTTTACCCACTCTTTCAGCACCTAGGATGTTGCATTCTTCCAATTCGTTTGTCCTCTCGAAAAATACGGGTAATTGATGACATATTCATCATGTAGATGTTGATTAAAAATTAATACCAGATCATCCAGAAAAAAAAAATTTTTTTTGCTTCATGTCAGTGGTCACTTCAGTGAGCTGATGTAATTTGTGACCACCGAACTATACCTAACTTGAACCGGATCTTGTAAGCAATCAGGAGAAGCAATAACTAATTTAATAATTTTTTTTTTCTGGTGAGCTTAGATAATAATAAATCTAAATGAATTCTATAAATCTAAATTATATCAATTTAATGATTCTAAGTAATAAAAAAATATGTTTTTCTAAAGNGTGACCACCGAACTATTCCTAACTTGAACCGGATCTTGTAAGCAATCAGGAGAAGCAATAACTAATTTAATAATTTTTTTTCTTCTGGTGAGCTTAGATAATAATAAATCTAAATGGTATCAATTTAATGATTCTAAGTAATAAAAAAATATGTTTTTCTAAAGTATTATCTTTCAATTGAAATTTGTGTATTTAATCAATCAAGTAATGGCAAGTTTTGTATTTTTAATCTAGCCAAAATATTGGTAGAAGCATAATCTACTTGTGGATTGAAGCTATTCGAAATTTTATAAATACTGACACAGTTGTTGATGAGGATTCTATCAAACTAGACGATTTGAATCAGTCTCTAGTGTATGATGTAGAGTCTTTTTCAAGTGATGTCAAAGAAAGTGGTAAGATGAGCAAAAATTTTAATTTTCAATATACTAGGCTGCTTAATAAGTTTTTTTTTCTTTCTTCAATCCAATTCACGATTTTTTTAATGGTATTTTGAGTACTTGTGAATTTTCTCATAAATTATTTATAAAAGCTTTCAAATTACAGGGTATTCGTGCACCTGGAAAGTCATGAATTTTGGTATTGAACAAATTTTGTCATGATTTTAACTATTTTTTTAAAAAAAAAATCATGGAAAGTAATGGATTTAGGTCACCGAAAAATCATGGAAATAGGTCACCGAATTTTCAGAATGGATTTTACCGCTCCCCCTAATTTCATGGTGTTCCGAATATCTGAATTTCTAACAAAATCCCCACTCACAGTCATGTTTTATTAAAATATAAAATGTTTTTATCGTGTACTTTAAAAATTATGGTGTTCTTTTAAGAAATGAAAGAAAAAACATCATTTCTAGAGTGAATTATCTTTTAAACTTTTTATTATTATTTATTTTTTTTATTTTATGAATTTAAAATTCTAGCTGAAGCAAGCCAGTCATTGGCGAATTTTTTTAAATTCCAAAATGAGAATGTAAAAATCTGGAGTATTTCTTTCCTTTCCGATGAACAAGAAAAATATCTTTAGATTATAATTCTGCAGAAAAAAATTTTTGCTTCTGTATTTTTTTCAGCTATTTTATTGTTTCAACACAGATGCAGAGTATAATTGTTTTGGCTATACCTATCATTTCAATTAATGTTATTATAATGCTTTTTAAATTTATTGTTCTGTTTTTGTCAGGAGAAAATAGTAACTTCGTTAAGTCATGAAAAGTTCTTAGAATTAGTCATGGAAAGTTATGAAAAGTCATGAATTTGAAAATCTAAAATGTAGCAGATACCTTGAACTTATATACTAATTGTTTAAATTTGTAAAAAAAATTTCGATGCCAAACACAGTTAACTAATATGCATTACGAACCTAGCTCGTGAACAACAGTCAATATGCAATCGGTTACAAAATTACACATAAGCTAGATAATAGTGTTAAGTTACTGCACAGTATGCTTCATTACATGTAAAGCTTGTGTATATTTATCATATTTTACTTTTTATTGCATTTAAGCTTAATAATAGTTTATAGTCATTACACTGTTACTTATCGTGACAATTTTTTTATATTTTGTGCTCTTTGATTTTTGCACTTCTATGACATTTTTCAATTTGTTATTTCTTTAAAACTTGAACTATAACTACAGTAATTTTATGTCTTTTAATGAATAGCTTATTATTATAAAAATGTTTCGATATATCCGGTGAATAAAGTAAGAAAATTAGGATAGAAAAGAGGAAGTCAATCAATGAATCAATTTTTGTTTGTAAATAAATAAAAAGTTTTTTTGCCTTTTAATTTATGGTACGGCAGGTAATAGCCATATTTTTTATTAATTAATTTTTATTTTAGCAATCACATTCTTTGAAGCACCATCTATTGAACATGGCCAGCCCATAATTGACCGAAAAAGTGTCTTCCAAGCTCACATTTCACGTGTTGTTTCTGTGGAACAAGTAAAGATTTAAATAGTATTGTTTGAATTACTTTTTATTTTTATTGTGTTAAACATTTTATGTATGTGTGATATTTCGTGTTATGATATTCATATATACCTTTATTAATTTTGAAATTGAATTACTTTCAACAAGGAATATGCTTGCAGAAGTGTGCAGAGAGCCCCTCTGTACACCTCTCCATTATTTTCGTGGACATGTTTGTTATTTTCTTTGTAAAATAACATTTTTCAACAGTTAAATGTTTAGAAAAAGCAAAATATTTTATGAAGAATAAAATATCTTTCTAGAAGAATTTTTATAATTATGTTTTAGATCATTAGAAATGAAATATTTTTTACATTTATGTAAAATATTAAGAATATTTTGTTTGGAATAATAATTTTTTTACCTTGAATTATTTTCTACTTTCATTGATATAATAAAATAGGAAATTAAAGTTTTATAACATATCATTTTATTTTTTTTAATTGGGTACTTGCACTTCAAGAAAAGAAGGTCATGGATACCCACACATGTAAACTATGACTAGGACTGGGCTATGTAAGAAATTTTATATTAAAGATACATTGACTGCTAGTCATCGCAATATAGCGATGTATCATGATTTAGCATATGTTCAAAAATTATCTATCAGAAATCTTTACATTAATCGAAATTAAATAAGAGGAATAAATCTACTGCAAAACAAAATGTCTTAAGTAAAAAATAACCCTACCTTTATTTTAATTTTTTTTTAAAATTAAAAATGACTTAAGATTTATTGGTTTAAAAACAATAATAAAACTAACAATAACTAAAATATTTTACATACATGCATTAAAAATTTTAGAAAAAAATGAAAGTAAAAAAACAAACAAACTAAAGAAATGTTCACTTTAGTAAAACATTTTTAAAATTATTTGTTGAAAAACATCGTGCTTTTGAATCATTGTTAGACCTTCTTTAATTTATTTATTTAAAAAAACAAAGTTGTACTAACTAATGGTCTAATTCTATACTTAATGAATGTAAAAATAAATGTAAGTTTTTTATTTATTTATTATTATTTTCTTTATTCAATTAAAGAAAATATTTGTTTTAACTAATAGCCAAATTTTTTTATAATTAAAAACGACTAATGATTTATTTGTTTAAAAATAATCCAATTCTATCTTATTATTATACTTACGTGCATTAAATAAATTTTTTTGAAAACTAACTTTTTATAACAAAGTTAAATACAAAATACCCCTATTAAATTGTATCGCTTAAGATGAAAAACAATAAAAAAAAATATTTAAAAATTTTTTTAAAAAACGAATTGAATCTCTTTTATTCATATTTACTTTTCATTAATAGATTGAGTTCAGAACGAAAATTTAAGATATAAGTAATTACGCAACGATTGCCAAGTAACAGTAGGTCTACTAAAAATAATTGACAAGAATCGTTAAATACCGACAGACAAAAAGAAAAAGAAATGACGAAATAATACACAATGAAATGATCGCTAAGTAGCAAAAGTCTCACTGAAAGTAATTTACAAGAAACTGTCAGACTATGAATTTTAAAGAACAAGGTTCGAGCAAGAAGAAAGGTGAGTCAGAGATCACGAGTTCGAAAAACCACTGAAAGAGGGAGTTTGAACAATTAAAAATAATTTAAGGACTGAATTTGCATAGTATTAATTTTGAGTGTAAGTTTTCTACCCTCATTATGCAAATGTTACTTTTTGATTGGATGAAAAATATGCTTGTATATGTATGACAAATCGAGATTAGATTTGGAGATTTTCATGACTGTATGGATTGAGTTTGTTACCTCTTATGGGGAGTAGATTACTCTCGAGGATTGTTTTCTTTTATAATCTTTTATGATGCTTAAGTTCAGTTATAATTTTTCTTGCTTAATGAAGATTCTTGTTAGTTCAAAGATGATTTTTTCATTATGCTTGCTTAGCATTTTCCACATTGCACTAAACTCTGCTGTTAAATCCCGACAAAATAAAGTACACAGCGATCATGAGATAACATAAGTCCAGCTGAAAATAATCTTCAAGAAAAGTAAACTTCCAAAGACAAAAATGGCGCATAAAGAAACTATGCATAGCTTTCTATTTCAACGCTGATCCTCGCACGAAACTGGGAGTTCTGATTCAATACGCTTTTCGTTATTCAACATCACGAAACTAACATCGTCTTCGTAGCTAGACGCTAGCAACAGCTCCGCAGTTAGACAAAATCAAAATAGTATTCGTCAACTCATCTGATGCATCGCCTAAAACGAAAGTCACTACCGTCGGCTAAAATCCGATTTCTGATGCATCATCTAAAACGAGAGTCACTCTCGGCAGCTTAAATCAAACTTCTGATGCATCGCCTAAAACGAAAGTCACTACCGGCGGCTAAAATCAGATTTCTGATGCATTGCCTGAAACGTAAGTAATTATATCCGCCTGCCGATATATGCATTAAATAGATATTTCGCGTTGCATTGATTTATAGCCCAGTCCTACCTATGGCGTCAGTCTCAGCTAATCATTCATAAGCGAAACGGCGTGTTAAAGTTGAGCTAAGTTTCTCCATATGCTAAGTTTCTCCATAAGTTGGAATGTTAATTAACGTAAAGTAAATTATATACAGCTCGGTATTGCACTCGCTAAAATATAATTCTTTCGCGTCTATGTCTTTTACTTAGCTTGGTTTTATTATTTGTTTATATATTTTATTTCTCAGTGATATATTATTTTTTCTGTGTGTACCTGGCAAGTTTGATGCATAGTTAGTTTGTTTATGTTCTACATGGCTTTGTGTTAAATGAGAAATATATAGTGAAAGAATTGAAATATTTGTGAATGAATATAGAATGTGTCACTTAAGAGAATTGATACTTGATGAACTGGCTTACTCGAAATAGAATGGAAAGAATAGTTGCTAATGTAAACAAATGCCAGCTTTCAGCAACCAATCAGGATCATGATACCCACACTACATTGGGCATATGAGTGAAAAGTTCGAAAATTTTTTATATGTGCTATCCTGCATCTTAGTCTATAAAATAGATTTACTTTTACATTATACAGTGATTGGGATAAACTTATTTTGTAATAAAAATAAACATGACTAGCGCAATTAAAAAAATAAGCTAACTATTTTTTATTCATTCTTTGTATAATTGAATTCAGTAACCTTTAATTCTTACAAAACATAATCAAATTTCGTTTCTTTCCTCTCATCTTCGGTACTGTTTATTTATCCCATCCAAAATTTCTGATTTTCATTGAAATTTAAGGGGGGACTTAATTGATAGTTTGTAATATTTCTATTTGAATATTAAATATATATGTGCCTTATCAAAACTTTTACATGCCCTTGATATGTCAGGCAATGCAATTTTCTCTGTCATTAATAATTCATTATATGCATTTATAATTGTAAATACTGCCATGAAGCAATGGTTGGTGTATAAAATATGATGTCCCAAACTTATTTAATATAAGAAAACACTCACAGAATATCAAATATAGTAGCTTAAAGTTAATTTTCTTCTCTGACATACATTTTTAGAATCACTAAAAGATATATTAAAAGTATCCAGATAATAAAAAACAAAATTAAAAATATCTTCCAATGAAAAGTGTTCTATACAGTTAAATACTGATGCAAGTAGTTATGTACCCAATTATCAGCATTTTGAACATAAAATATTTTTTTGTAAACCTATTTTTTAACCAGGGTTGGTGTTTTTCCTAGAACATTTTCCAAGTCTAATAATTCTCAAAATATTAAGTGTGGTACACTGTACAATAAATGTTTTATTTTTTGTACTGAAATTTAATTTTAAATAAGTGCTTAATGTTGTGTATTGCATAAACTCAAGTATTATCAATTAAACTTAGTACTTAAATTTCTTAATAGTTGTGAATTAAAACAGTACATTTTTCTGATTTTCTAAAAATTAATTCTACTGATTCAATCCCAATTAATAATTGTAGGTTAATTACCTGTTATAGTTTTTGCAATTTTTTAAACTGTATTTAAAATATACTCTGCTTTATTGACAATTTAAGACAGAATTGATAAAACCAATTAATTTCAATTTCTTTTATTAAATATTTTTAAAGATATAGATTCATTTAACAATTGTTAATTAAGTTAGATTGTTGTTGTTCCTCAATATTTTTGAATTTATTCAAATTAAACTTCTTAAAAACTGTTTCCGAAAGCATATGAAAAACTGTAGTAAAACCATGGTTTTTACAGTACTGTCTTCAGTTGCTTACTCATGTCATGATTTTTACAATACATTTTACTATTGTGCTCAAAGCGTTGCTCAACCTGTTTGCTGTAACTATGTATGAGTTTAAACAGATAAGAGAATTATCTCCCATTATAATTATTTCTATACAGCTTCCATTTAAACAATTACTTTTTTTCTCTCTGTTAATCAGGTAAATCATGCTTTACAGAAATTGAAAGAAAATAGAAAAATAGCAACAGCCACTCATAATATATATGCTTATCGGTAAGAAAACATTTCTGTCAACCAATTTGCTATTTGTGTAACCTATATTCTTTTAATATGATTTTAGTCAGTATTTATTTTTGTGTTTTGAAAAATTTTCAGATCGAAATTATTTCTGATTTTGACAAAACACTTTCATATATAATTTCTATGAATTTTTGTTAAATATTTTTGATGGTAGTATAATATATATTTTATTGACTTAATGGATTTAGAAAATTTCACTTTTGTTTAAAAATCCAGCAATTTAATTTTCTAAACTTTGTCAGTTTTCAAATTAAATCTTTTTTTTTTCAATTGCTTGTTGAAGTTAAATAAGTTTTAAAAAAACACCAAATTTACAATGGGGGTTATTCTTTAGAAAGCTTACATGCTCTTACAGTTCATTTAACTTAAAATGAAATTTTTAAAATCATGAAAAAATGTATATTACTGTAACTTCTATTTTTCATTTTAAATAAATTTTTATAATGTTAAATTAGTTCTAAATAGTTGCGAAATTCGACTGCGTGTATATTTATCTAGGTACATTGTCTAATTGACAATATGTCATTATCTAATCCACAACATATCTAGTAAACCTTTTTTAATTCTTGTGTATAATTTCTTAATTGACACATTACTTAATACAATTTTTAGGAACTAAAGATATCCTATTTGAATGTGGTTACTTTATGTACTTATACAATATACATAAATTTTCTTAAAAATGTTGAGTACAGATTGGGCTTATCTGATTGCTATGCAGTTGTAATGCTACGGTGTGATTCATTGTATTGCAGTTAAGTGGTGCTCTGTAATGTTACTGTACGCCTAGCCGTGCTGTGTAGGTGTTGTCAAAACATTTATTAGATTGATTTTACTTAATTTTTTCATCATTTTTGTTTTAACATATTATTTTAATTCCTTTCCTACTAATTTATCCGTAAAAATTAAATTTGTTGTTTTTATTAATGTAATATTTTAGGATATCTTGTGGTGATGGGAAAACCTTTATACAAGATTGTGAGGATGATGGAGAGACAAAAGCTGGTTCTGGTCTACTCCATTTGCTTCAGGTACTTTTAATTTTCTTAGAATCGTAAAGCAGGGGTTCTCAAGGTGAGATCTTCAAAGTGTGTCATTTAAGGAAGGCCATGAACCTGTACACCTTTCCAATGTATGGTCGTGATTAATTCCTGATCACAATAATTATCTTTTTATGTTCTCCACATAAACCTCATGAATCACCCAAGGTAAAGTTTACCTCAAGACTGTAACATAGCTGCCAACTCTACTGGATTTTGGCTGTTTCTCCTGGTTTATTTGAAATTCTCCTGGTTTTTGTACATTTTAGAAAATTCCCCTAAAATTGAGGAAGTTTCCTATAAAACCTATTGAAATAGAATTTTTGTACATATTATTGCTTGCTTACTTGAATATTAAAATAATATGAATTTCATGATAATACGTAATACATAACGAAGCGAACCTCATTTATAGAAATCAGTTCAAAACTTTTTTTGTTTTAAAATGTTCACTTTATTTTTATTCAGAACTCTCTTTTGATGACTATAAAAATCCCTATGTGTAAAATATTTAGTACATTATGCTACAATTATCATGAAATTTATATTTCGTAAAATCTACTGAATTTTTTGCTATCCATGTTGGAAGCTATGCTGTAAAAAAAACTGCAATTCGCCTAGGAAAATCCCACGTTTTCTGAATAAGAATAATTTATTATATTCTTTGACAGTGTAAATTATAGTCTGTCCATTTATTAAAGAACTCCCTTCGCTAATAGTTTAGAGCGTTCTCGATGACTATGGTTACAAGGTTGAACTATTTTACGTAGGGATGTGGGGTAAACATTTACAAGTTTTGACATGGGGTGATAAGAGATGTTTCAAGTGCCTCCTTTTGTAAAAGAGGTCTTTCTTGTTCCAATAGCATCTTTAGTTTATTGTCGGGTATTTAATTCGAATAAGTGTTGCAATTTGAATGTTTTGAGATTTTAAAATTTTTTTCAACTTACAAATGCAACTATCGTACACAAGTGATTTGCATAGATTTTGGAATGTGTGATAATTGGTCTTGACAGTTTCAAAATGGAAAGATGTGTCTGTTTATGACCTAAAGGTAACTAGTAATAATTAAGGTTACTTATATAACAGTAAAGGTTTCTAATAAAATATCCATTCTGTTGTTAGAAACTATAAAGAAAAAAGTAATAATGGAAAGGTATTAAGTTTGAATTACTATTTTTTAATATTTTTTTTTCAATTGGAATTAACAAAAAACTCTAATAACATCTTGCCAATACATTTATTCACAAAATTAAAAATGGCTATTGCTCTTTGATTTGATTGTTTTTATGTATGATTTTTTTTTTTAATAAATATATCTTTACACTTTTTGTTAATCACAAAAGATTGATTATTCGAAAATATGAGATGGATTGAAGTTGGCTTATTAAGAAATTTACAAGCAGTCTCTATTATAATTTTTTTTGGTACTCTTTCATTGCTTAAATTTTCCGATATTTCTTTCTGATTATTTTTGATATTCTGTTGTGCCCAAAATGCTCATTAGCAATCTCACGTCTAAATGTGATTGCAGTTTTACTGACATTTTGTGTCAAAGGAATTTTTCACATATTTTAAATTAAATTTTTATTAAAGTAATAAAAATAAATTACTGTTGTTTTCCACCTCATATTTGTTTATTATTCAAGAACGAGCATTTAATAGAAAGCAGATAATTTAATTCTGAAGGGTAGTAATTCCACAGTTAGATTAATGTTAACTTTGAAAATTGGAGTAACAGTTATGCTAAATGAGTTCTACTAGGTGAATGATGCTCAGTTATTTTATAATTCACTTATTTTAATTGTGTACTACCATTATTTCACCAGTATATTAGCATAAGTGCAAGTGAAATTTTAATTTCAAATTTATATTATTTTTCTATTCTAATTAATCTCTATATCATGAAGAAAATATTTTTAATTCATTTTTTTTTATTTAAGAAAAAATTTGAGTTGAGGGAAAAATTGTAAAAATGAAATCATAGTATATTTTTTGGATTTATTTTGATAAATACTTTGTAGATATTGGACGTGAGTAATATTCTTGTTGTTGTTTCAAGATGGTATGGAGGTGTTCATCTTGGACCAGATCGTTTCAAGCACATCAATAATGCTGCAAGAACCCTCTTGTCCGAAACAGGGTTAATATCAGAGGTATAAGTATATTTATAACACAACTTCTTTTCTTGTTTAATATTGTTTTTTTAGAGTTTTAGAAACATTGCTCTAATTTGTTACAATAATAATTATTAATACGTTTATGCATATTATTTATACCTCTGACTGTTACATTATTTTATTCTACAAACATTTTTCAAGCTATCTGTATAATAAAGAGTTTCCTTAAAGGAGACACTGTTTTTAAAAAAAACACTTTACCTTATTAACATTCCTAGAAAAAACACAAATCATTTTCTGGAAAATTATTTATATTAATTAGTACAATTTGAAGTCTTTAAGAAACTTTATGCAACTCATTCATATTAAATGTAATCAATTATCGAACAAATTGTAAAGAAATATTTTAAAACATGCATTATTGTGGCATAGCTGTGCATGCATCAACCATTTTTAATTTATAGATTTAACTTAATACTTTTTGTTTATAAAAGATATTCAAAAGTTTCATCGACAAAGGTACATCTTTCCTCTTAATTCTTTTAAAATATTTAATTTTGAAAGCAAACAGCAGATACCTACTTTTATATTCATGTTGTTCTTATTTCATAAAACAATCTAAGTGTGAATGTTTCATGAAGCACTCACATTGTATTTTCAATTACATGGCAGAATGCACAGAAACATCTTATTGCTTATATGAATTATGCTCTAAAAAATTGTTCTGAAATTGGGATTTATCATTATATTGCTCCAAGCCCCTAATGATTTCATGTCTCATAATTTTCTAGAAATCACAGAATACGCCCAAGAAGACTCAGAAAAGATGACAGTGTCTGGAAGCATTTATTGCCTTACTTTTAAGTTTTAAAATGTATATTGTACTGTACTTTTGTATAGTAAATTATTAATTTGTTTCTTGAGGTTCTTTTTTTTTAAAAAGTCAACATAAACAAGTGTGAAAAGTAGTTTTTAATGTTATATTTATTTTTGTATTATCTCTTTAATCTTGCATGGCTGCTATAGTTTTAAAATTAAAAAGATTTTTACATTAAGGAATTATTTGGCGAAATATAAAAAATATGTTGTTTTTTCTATTAACACGGGCAATACTTATATTAACCCATTACTGTTCTCAGATCTTTTTAAAGGACAATTTTAAAAATGCCTTATAAAGCCCAAATAATTTTTTTATATTTATGCATAAAAAAAACTAATCTATAATAAATTAATTACAGAAAAATATAAAACTTCCATTTAATAAAAGACCTATATTAGTATAATTGATACCACAATTAATTAAAGCTACACTGGCCTTATCAACAGTCGGACGAATTTTTTTTTTTTTTACAGACCTCCAAAACAAAATAGTACCAATGAAACTTAATTAATAATGTATTTAATAATTTTGTGGAAGATATAGAATACACGAGTTGTATTGAAATGAAAATAATTTCTATATTAAACCATGCTAAATTAAATACCAGACCAAGGTTGGAATTCTCAGGGACATATACAATTTACTCTGGAAATTTTTAAAATTGGGTAGCGTTGTAATGATAATAAAAACATATTCTTTCACTTAGCAATTGTTAATTCCCAGTATATCATTGCTTTTTGATTTTCTAACATATTAAAATTGAGACTTAATAAACCATTGATATGTTTAAACCTTTTTTAAATCAAGCATGATCAAAAAGAAAGAAAAATAGTACAACCATTTTTGCATAAAACTGCTAAAATTATGCAAAGGAGCACAGCAATGACCACTGTTAGTATACATTATTCAAAACCAATTTGATTGCCTTAAACTTGCAGATGTTTATAACTAACTTTTGATTTTTTGTTTCCACTAGAAATCTAGCAAGTGTTTAGTTAGATAGCACTTTTTCTTTGACTATTAATTCATAAATATATTAACAGCAATCATTTTAAAACGCTGTATGGATAAGTATCACATAAAAATAAATGACAAGACAATAATAGAAGGATGCAATTTATTTCTGAAGTCACGTATAATATATTCGATTACTAAACAAAAGTTATCTACATTGCATATGCACCACCTAATTATTGGTGACTAGTGGACATATATATATATAATTTTATTTTTTGATAAATCTCTTTAGATTTTTTTATAATTCTCTGGACTTGAAATAAAAAGAGTAATATTTTTTTTCAGGCACAAGTCACAGGCATACAAAAAACGCACTTAAATTTGAGGATCTGGAAAATGCATCATCCCCTCCAGAAAGAATCTAACGAAAGATGTAAAAATTTTATTAACAAATCTGTCGTTAATTATTTTGTTGAGTGCTAGCAAGCTCGATCCACTTAGGCACCATTAGATAGTCTTGTCACTGAAGTGATTATACTAATTTGGCAGGAATTCCTAGTGTAGCCCCGCCTCGGATGCCAGACAAAGTTAGAGATTGCTACACAGTTTCTAGATGCACAGTTGATTACACAGTACTTATACAGTATCTAAACTCCCAGAGCTTTTGGCAGTGTGCTTCCACAAAATCCTTCAAAATGAAACCTGAAGGGGCAAAAATCAAAGTTTGCAAATAAATTCAACATGAACTTACAAATTAGCAGGGCAATGCAGTAATAATAGACAGGCTCAAAGTATTAAAAAAATCTTCTTTTCAAACTTATATTAAGTATGCATTTCAGGGTTGGTAAAAAAAAAAAGTCCGATTTCACTTAAAGTGGATTATTTTTGTAATCATTTTTCTTGACTATTGCTAAACAAATCATCTGATAAAATGTAAATAAAAGGGAGAAGTATATTCTAAAATAGTTGAAATTAACCATTGTATAATAAATAAAATCAGTTATTTTTGTTTAATCTCAATATTCAGTTTTAAAGACATTAGGTGATATTTGTCTGTCACATTTCAAGCAAAGATTTTACTGCCCGAACAATTTGGTAGAAACTGGAACAAATATTGTAAATAACTCCTTTTTTGACCTCAGAGACGATTCGCTTCAAAGATAGGTTATTTTCTTGATGTTTAAGAAGTACATCACACAAAGTTTTCCCCCGTAAGAAAATGATAAACACATATGTCAAGCTTCGAGATTTAATTTAGGTGTTGCAAATTATCACAAATATTCTTATTCGATAAATACAATTTTTCAGTGATCTTACAAGTTGTCATTTGCCAGTTAGCATCAATCTATGTCTTTATTGGGTCTTCCTTAGCTTTAACTGGCCTTTCAGGACAAAGTGCATTTTCAACATCAAATTTGCCATTTTGAAATTTCGCAAAAAATTTTATGGCACTGGTATACTAACTCCGTGGCGACATTGCAGAAAGATTTTTCCACTGAGAAGTAAAAAAATAGGTTTTCTTCCCTACAGAAATTTTCGTTTCATTTTGTTATACAGTTATTACTATTGATTTCCACAGAGCTTTAAAAATCCAATATTATTTAATACAACAACTGAATCTCGAAATGAAAACACATATTTAGTAACGCCTTTCTAAAGAGTCCGATTCACACAATTTCAACATAGATTTTTTTCGGTAGTTACTGCTACGGATTTCACGTTTTATTTAAAATTATTTTTTTTAATACGGTGATTCACAAAATTTGAAAAAAGGAAATAATAAGTGTGTTTTCCCCCGATAAAATGTGAGAATATTGCACATAATATTAGGATAAAAAAATATTACATATTCAATTAATAAAATATTATTTTATAAGAATTTTTTTTAGAAGTTGACGTTTCTGTTACTTAGTAACATGTATATTTTTAAAAGTATCTTGTAGAAAGATATTAGTATTAAAGAAGTATGTCACAGAAAGCTTGAAAAAATTATCCCACAGGGTGTGCCAATATCTTCTTCATACACATCAGACAATTTTTTTTTTCCTGCATAAACAGCATTTTTGCCCTTTTAGCACACCTACCAAAAAAATATTATACATAATTAAACTTTTTCTTAAGTGAGCCTAGCTATATCAGCTGTCAAAATATATAATGATTATGTGTGAAGTTGGCTGCGAAAAAATACGATTAAATCTTATGTTGGGAAAAGACATAATTACTTTCGGAACAACCCAATAAGTTTTAAAAACACTTCTATTTCAATAAACCTAAAAATAAATTCATGTAATTGAAGTTTGCTTATTACTAGCAAATGGAAAATCATAATTTAAAAGTTTCATACAACTCTCATTCACTTTTAGCCTTTTTTTTTTGTAAAAAAACTTTATTTGTAAAAAAACTTTATTTGTAAAAACAAACTTTTAAAGAAAAAGAATATACAGTCGGACTTCTATATAACGAACTTCCATTTTACGAATTTCTCTATTTTGCGAATTTTTTCGTGGAACCAAGAACATTTTGGAAATTTCTTCGTTAAATAACTTCTAAATAGCGAAGTGAATTTTCTATTTAACGAATTTTTTTTTAGATCTACTTTCCCCATTTCCCAAAATATTTGAGAAAATTATTAACTCGTTAACGTATTTTATGGGGGAAATGACCTTGAACTGATTTTCGCATCCCCTTAACTTTTAGAGAAAGCTGTAAAATTCCTTTCCCTTTTTGTTTGCATTTCATACAGGAAATGCAATCCCACTAGAAAAGGGGGGAGAAAGGGTCAAATTCCTTGAATAGGAAATGAGCAGAGAAGATAAAAGGAATGGGTTTTCAAAGTGTGTGGTCCCTGGTCCCTTATTGACATGTCCTATTATCTCCACCCCCATTGTTCACTTCCTTTCTAGAAAAACTTTCAACTTTCTCGTTGCTCACTCGGTAGAGCTCCTGTTTTAAGATTGCTGATCAGAGTGCTGCTTGTTGCTTTTCTTACGGCTGCAAAATGTCGAAGCGAAAGTGCCTGACTATTAAAGAAAAAAATTACAAGATAAAGGTGCATCAATTGCCATTTTAATTATTTCTAGTATCCATGAATTTAAAACCTATTCTACGTTGTGTAAGTATTTCAAAAGATGATTTTCTATTTAACGAATTTTCCATATAACGAACTTTTTTTCGGGATTTAGCGACTTCGTTAAATAGAGGTCCGACTGTATTTATGAATTACATTGTGTAAAAAATATTTTTGACTTAAAATTATTTTTTTAAAAAAAGAAATCAAATGATTTAAATCATATCAACCCTGATGCATTTCATAACAATTATGTTACATATATAAAAATCAAATGATTTTATTTTTTTATCACTTTATTTAATAAAAGTTAGGTTAAAGCATTTTTTAATTAGTCAGTATATAAGTAATACTTTCTAGATTCCAATTTTTTTATAGTTTTTGCTTTAAAATTTCTTAATACAAATTATCTTAATCATTCATTTTCTCTAATCATTTAAAATTCAGACATGCAGCAAAACAGGCTAAATTTGACAAAAATTTCACTTATTTGTATCATTTTTTTAGGAATATATTTTTCAGTCCTGTTTCAATTCGCCTTCAACTCCAGACTGAATATATAAATTCCAAACTTACAATACTATATATTTCATATGGGGGGGGGAGGGAGAAATAGAAAGGAAAATAAGAGGGCCATTCAGACATACAAAGTTGTGGAACCTGTATTTATCTGATTATTTCCTTACTATTTAATGCTTTGCTATTGACTTTCTTTTAAGCAGCATTTAGATTCACACTTGGGATGCATGATAATTTTGTAAAATTATTATCAATCTCAGATATTGCATTTTTTTTCAAATTATACTAATAACAGCTAATTATTATGATACACAAAATACCTGAATACAAATACTTTCATACTAATATGCTTTAAATTAATAAAAGAACATATTATATTACCCAAAATTTTCAGTTCCTGGTGTAGATTCAATGTTAAATTCTGCAACTGGCACACCTCTGTCTGCAACAGCAGGAGCGAACATAGCAGCGGGATAAACAACTGATGAAGTACCAATCTATTCATAAATTCAGAGAAAATTATTTTATTTAAAAGGTAATGTTTTAAACAACAATATAAATATATTGGGAGTAAAAAAGAAATTTTTTAAAATCTATTTTATTTTAAAACTTTTATTACCAATCTTAGAATTGCTTTTAAATAAGTTAGTATTTTTCATATTTCAGTAAACAAATAATGCTTTCATAAAAACGAGACAAATTTTTTTCTAGAAAAATTTAGTGATTTAAAACATTTTCTAAATCTTCTGATGTAAAACGATGACTAATTGTTAAATATATCCTTTCAACTTTTAAATTTAAAGGCATATTTCTCGGTCTGTTTTACTTTAGTGTCTAAGCATTCTAAATCAATTGATAATCATATGTAATCAATTATTTCAATGATGATATGGAACAAAAGACAAATGATTTTTAACTTAATAATATTATAACTGAATAACCTTCATAGCACAAACTGATTTGGCACTTACAACTAAACAGAGGTCACATTGATCCAATTCCTGTTGAGCTGAATTTAAGACATCCGGATCTAAAGATTCACCAAACCATACAACATGAGGCCTCAGTAGACCAGAGCATTTTGAACACCTGCAAAATTATTAACAGATTAGAACAATTATGTGCAGGAGATTATTAAAGTTCTGGGAACAAGAATCGGTTGTTTTAGGAGTATTGGAAAATAGCTTAGCCTCGTTTTATAGCTTGGAAATTAGCTTAGCCTCGTTTTATAGCTTGGAAAATAGCTTAGCCTCGTGCAAATTTGGAATTATATAAAAACAATTTTTAATTTAATATCATTGAAAAATTAAGTATTTAGAAGTAAGTGGGTTAAGTAAGAAGTAAGTGGTTGTTAATAACACTTTTAAGTAGAAGGAATCAGAAAAACCAATTGTAATTTTTACTTTAATAAGCTAAAATCTAGAAATCTGTGCACTTAGTTGTAAAATGAGATCAACTTATGATTGCAAGAACCAAGATTAAATTGTTTGCTTGTTCAATATCGCTATTTTGTATTGAAGCAATTTTTGTAGGTGCTTCATTTTAAGTAAGATTACCCATAAAATAATCTATTTTACACTAGATTTTTAAATTCATAGAAATAACTTTATTTATAGAATGCCTTTCATTTCATTTTTAAATAGAACTAATAATTAAAGATCAAATAACAGAAACCAGTACAAATGATTTAATATGAGATTTTAAGAATGTTCTGGTTAGATGTTAGGTTAAGAAAGAAAAAAAAATTGCCATTTATTTGAAACAAAAATATTTGGATTTTTGAGTAAAAAATATAGCTTAAAAATACTTGGTGCAAATCCTCAAGTCCCATAGCCACTGGATAAGTAATTTTTTTGCTTGAATACACATTAAATACTATAAATAATATACTAAATAAATAATATATATATTAATTCTCTTGGAAGCACACCACAGAAAAAGGAAAAAATAAATATTTTAAAAAGCAGCAATCAGGGTAGAAAACAAATAATGTGACATAATTATCCTTATAGAGTAGTTTCTTGCTATCTTGAATTTAACAGATTCAGACGATAACAAAAAATTGTAGACAAACAAACATGACAATTATAATTATCAAATATTGATTTTCAATACTAATATTGTAATAAGATTAAGGTGAGATTTATTTTTCAACTTTTCATCACAATTCATACTCAGACATATTTTTTTTACAATATGTCTTGATGCAAATTTTCCGTCTGTCATTGTAAAACTATTGAGCAATAGCACTCTATAAGTTCAATTTATTTTGCCAAAAAAGACTGAATGACATCAAAAAACTAATAGCACTTCTGCAACAGCCACTATGCCTGTTATAAGGTTATGTAAATTCAGGTCCCACACAATTTTGAGACCAACTGCATGAGGCTCAGGCCATCTTTGCTCCCAGATAAGCTGGTACCAGACAAGCAGCATTGTACCACCATAGTCTCTAAAATCATTCAAATAATAAAAAATAGCTGAAACAACCTGCGTTAAAGAAGGCTACTAAAAAATATTTTTATTTTTACAAATCAAACTTCAGCAACTGTGCAAAAGTACTATACCCAAAAAGAAGATAGGATGTATTTTGTGCTTTGTAGACTAAAGCAAAAATCGCTAATCAAAACAAATAAAGAACTATAGAAATGGACATACTACAATGGACATCTTGTTTATAGTTTCAGTTCTATAAACAAGAACTTCCCTCAGTGTCAAAACACCAAAATTAAAAGGGAAAAAAAACATTAAAGTGGTTTTTATAATAATTATTTGTTCTTTTATGTGTTTTTAATAAACATTAATAAAAAAATTGTAAAAAATCTACTTAAAATGCAAAGCAGTATTTAAAGATTTTTAGTTTCCTATGAAACTGCTAAAACTAAGGATTTTTTCATCTCTTTTGTGACTTTTTTTTTCAAATTTATTTTTATGGAAAAGGTGACTGATTGGGGACCACTGCTTAGCACAAATATAAAAATTTTTAAAATATGAATTCTAAATTTAAAATGACAAGACAAGCATGCAAAATATATACCGTGGTAATTCTTGTTCAGGAATTCTAGCATCAATAGCATCTTCATCAGGAGCGCTTGAAAAATAGAGCAAGAATTATAAAGTAGCAAACATAATGTCAACATTTCATAGAAGATAATTTTAGCAAATGCAGTTTGAAACAATTAGCAGCAGCAAATCACTAAATACATTTAGATGTAGTCTTTTATTTATTTATTTTATTTTCCTCTCAGAGTAGAGAAAAAGCATAGAAGTTAAAAGTGAATTATGCATTGTTAAACTAATTTATTATCCTTTTAAAATGAATTAAAATAATTTAAACCAAAATAGCAGATATAAAATAATGTCTTTAAAAAAAAAAAAGAAACTGATGCTGTAGAATATTATTCACCTACGATTGGTAAAACTTGCTTAAGCGATTTTATTTCTATGCTCCCTTTTTTTTCCCCTTTCCCTCCAATTTTTGCTATTTCTTTGTTTCACAGCCCTCCTACTATGCATATTTGTCTCTCATAGTTATTTTCAACTATCAAACAAAGTAAAGTTTTTTCTTTTAGAAATGTGTTAAAATTATATTGTTCTGTATTGCATAAGGTGTCTTAAAGATTATCAAAGAAATTGGTTGTAATAATAGTATTAATTATAATAATTAAGATAACATCAAATTACACATTAAAAATTCTTAATAAATATGTGTTTCACAATAGTTTTGTATTCTTCAACATCAATGTAATGTTGCCTAACACCTTCATTACCAGACTATCCTTATTATTGCACAATAATATTAAGATGATAATATTAAACATAGAATATTTTATAGGTTATTCGATAAAACTAATTTTAATCCAGACAAATTTCAATCTAAACTATTTTACTGATTTCAGTAAAAAGAGAGTATATATTTTTTATTTTTACAGAATACATTTAATTCATACCCTTTTCCAAGTAATGAAGGGCAGATAGGGTTCTTTCTATTTTCCGAAATATGTCCGCATTTCGTACACCTGGTGCGAAACAAAGTACCTACATGTTGAAAATAAGAAATAAGACTAAGAAGCAAATTGAATCTCAAAATGAGAAAAACTAACAATAAGAACTAATAATAAAATACTAAAACCTATTCATGTTTCTTTTTAACAATTGAGCCTAATCAGTAATTTAAAATCATTTTGCTTTTAAATTACTCAATGCTTAAGAAGTTGTGAACTAAATTAAAAAAATAAACAAAGAAAATAAATATTTTCCTCCAGTTTTAAAACTAGGAAAAAAAGGTGATGTCTAGAAATATGTGCAATAAAAAAATTATTTTTATGAAAATATATTAATAAATATAGATTTTATATCAAATTTTAAAATAGCAACAGATAATAATGATAAAATTAATTATAATTATTAAAAGAATAATAAAATACAATTCATGGCAATTTTGATATCAAACCAATGTTTGTTAATTTTCAACTTATACACTATATCAGGGGTGGCGAACCTTTATACACCAAAGTGCCATTTTCTCTAAAAAATTGCTTAATGAGGTCATAGACGTGCCGTCAAATAATTTTAACTTCGTGATTATTGGGAAAATAATAATACTAAATACTATCAACTCAAAACTCTTTATTTACATTGAAAAAAAAATACATTTTGCAATATCTCAGATATACGCGTAATTCAACTTTTAATTAACAGCAGTGTGACTTCTGTTGTTGCAGATTAGACGACAAATAACTTATATTAGGTTGTAAGATGTTAGTTTAAGCAGGACTGTTAATTTTTTTTTTTGCTAGTTATTTATTGTTAGCTTGTTTATATGGGTGTTAATTGTTTTTTTAGCATTAATTTTTAAATTGTTTATTATTTTGCTTATTTTTTGTGATTTTTAATTTAATTGTTGCATATGCTTCCCAGTGTAACAACAATTGTAATCGGTGGAGTGCCCAAAATATTGTGTCGCGTGCCATTGGTTCGCCATCCCTGCACTATATAATTGACATATTTTTTTATTATCTATTTTTAAAACTAATAGAGCTGAAATTATTTTAATTTCTATTTAGAGGATATGAACAGAAATTCCTCTAATATAATAAAATACAAGCCACATTATACAAAAATTGTTAAAAATTCGTAGATTTAATTTACGTGGATTATGTTTGTAAAAGACTTAAAGAATATTTTGAATAGTCAAACTTTAAAAAATATTAAGTTACAATTATTATATGTATTATTTCATTTGGTCACAATTACACTAATTAAAAACAAAAATATTACCATTTTACACATACTTAGTAAAAAAAAAGAAAGATTTTTCTTCTGTTTATATTATCAATTTATAAGACTTTAAATTATAGAATGAAATTTAAAATGCACTTACGTATTACATAGTACTTTCTATGAAAATTTGCTAGCCTTTTTTTTCAGCAATTTATCAGGACTATTTATCAAGGTCTCAACTGAATTGCAATACTGCTATCAATACAGCACAATATAACAAAAAATAGCAGCATATATTGTTAAAAATTTTGTTATTTAAATCATTGTGTATAACTGATTATGTAAAAATTCACTACCCAATCAGTTATAAATAAGGTCCGGATTTTGATGACATTTGCATTTTTGGAAATTTTCTGTCCTTTAGAGCATTTTTTCAGATTTATAGGGCATTTTTTTTTAAATTTGGGGTGTATTTTGTATTTTAAAGCATTTTTTAAGGTTTTGGTTAATTTTTTCCAATTTTTATTATTTTTTAGGGTATTTTTATTACATTAAATGCAAGATTTGTCTTATAATTTTACATTTCATATTGTAACTCTCAAAGAATGTTTCAAAACATTTGCTAGAGCATACATTTATGCTCTAGAATGTTTCAAAGTATTTGCTCCTAGTCAGCTTTGCCCCCTAAACCAATAATCACACAATGGGGTACCTGGTTGGATGCATGCGTATACTACAGTGAAAATTTTAAGATAGTGAAGTCAGTACTTTTGATTCAGAAGATGCTGCCTCAATTTAGATAGCGCTAAACGTGTTCGCATCTGATAAAATCGAAGGAAACTAAACATTTATCAAGTTTAACTTTGCTATTGAGTCCTCGACAATTACAAGCCTGGAGAAACAAGAATTGGAACTTTGTGATGCAATAAATTATATTGATGCAGTGAGTCGAGTGTTGCAACACGCAAGGGGTAAAATAGGACAAAGTGTAGCAGCTAAATTGAATAAAGCTTTGGAGAAGAACACTGGCTTCCAAACAATGAAGAAAATCTCTAGGATACTAACAGGTGAAGCAACAACTTTTCAAATTGGAGAAGAATTGTCAGCAAGTGAGACCGTCTTTTTCAAGTACGCACCATTAACATCAGAAGAAGCTTCTCCAGGTATAAAAATTTACTTTCAGACAAGAGACGCTCGTTTACATTTCAAAATATCGAAAAACATTTAATAATCCAATGTAATTCTGATATTTAGTAATATTATTAGATGTAAGTTGGTATATTCATTAAAGTTTCTGTACAAAATGAAAATGTTTTGGTGTCAATATATTTTCCTCTTTTTTTTTTGTTATTTTAGGCTATAACACGTATTTTTCAAACTTTAATGAACGTAGAATAAGTATTACATTGCTTTATAGTTTTTTAAATGACTCATAATTTTAAAGAGTAAAACATTGTTTTAGTTCGATATTTTTACTTTAAGTCACGTCATAAGGCATTTTTAGCGCAATTTTTGCATTTTAAACGGCATTTTTTGCACTTTTTAAGGCCATTTTTTGCCTTTTTTAAGGGTATTAGTTGAGATTTTTTAGGTCATCAAAATCCGGGCTCTAGTTATAAATAATCAATTTTCATAAAAAGTGAAATAAAGGAATGTGTTTGAAAAAAACAATAAGTTTTCTTATATAGCAAATTTATTAAGAAATGAAACTTTGTTTAAAAGGATTAAAAGAGTCAAGCTTTATACTTATACAACAATAATGTAGATTAAAAAAAATTAAGTTTTTAACAAAAGGAATGATATATCTCTATAGTAGATCTACAGATCAGAAAATGCAGCATTTGAAAATTGCTCAAATTATCTTGAAATCACAGAATGTGTTAGTAACAAACATAAATCTGTTTACATAATTTAAGAATTTAAACAATACATGAGAGAGTAACAAGTCTTGCTTGAAATCTTATGGTAAAATAAGATTAATTAAATAAATAAGATTAATTATTAATATAAAACTAGTGATATATTTATGAAATACTAGTTAATACTGCCCTGGGAAACCTGTTTAATTTACAAAACGTATTAACCTTATATAAATTAATGAATGAATCATGAAAAATAATTTACAAAACGTATTAACTTTATACAAATTAATGAATGAATCATTTAACAAATGGTACCTAAAAATCAAAACTGATCTTGATTATCATAAATTTAAAGTTTTGACTATTCTTTTTAAATTTTGAAAAAGAGTATAAAATCGAACATTTTATGTGGTTATTTTTTATTGATATAACATAAAAATAAGAAAAATTTTTTTTAAAAAATAAAAAAAGGAAACCAAGTTGGAAATTGTGAATCCAACGAACATTCTTATGCCCGATTACACTAATTTATTGATTATCTAGGAAATTCAGTAAGGGTTGATAAAGCATACCATGAAGTTCAAGAAGATTTTTTGTTCCAGCATCCCTGTGCAGCTCATCTATATTTTGAGTTATTACCACAAGTCTTCGCCCTTGTGACTCTAAGTGAGCTTCAGCTTTTGCAAGTGCGAAATGGGCCTGAGGGAAATAAGAAAAATTATGTTAGATAATTATTGAATGATAAATTATAGAAAGGTAGACTATTACAAAATACCTAAGAGAATGCAGATAAGAACACAATTAAAATGTTAACTATGCTTACAGGATTGGGTTTCTTGCTAAGAACCAAGTCCCTTCGATAGTTATAAAATTCCCATACTAAAGATGGGTTGGCTAAAAATGCTCCTGGAGTTGCAAGATCCTGCAAACAATTAATAAAAACATTTAGAAAAAAAAAATTTACAGCATAAAATACCATTTCTTTGATCAAAGTTTCAATCCTGTTTTTGTTAAGCATTTATCGGTTGTCCTAAAATTAATGAACAATTTGGAAAAAAAATTTTAAAAAATTAGAATGAGATAAGAAATGGATGATTTAGATTTTTAGGAAACCAGATTTTTACCAAATTTTATAATTAGTAACAAAGTTTGTCAAGAGATGGTGCTGCTGGGTTCAAAAAATAATATACAATTTCTGTAGGATTTCAGACTATTTTAACAAAAATATTTGTCTGTTAATTTTGTCCTTTTCACTGTAACACTGTTGCAAATAATGGATTTTTGAAAAGAAAAAAAAAAAATTATAGTTATTTTCAATTAGCAGCACCATTTGTTAATGTACTTTAGAACTTGAGAATAAATCTGATTACCAAAGCAGAGTACAAAAAAAAAATAATAATAATAACTATACATTTCTATCTTCTTCCATTTTTCTTTAATTGATTGTTCAAATTGTCAATCATTTTTGGGACATCACATCAAAGCAAGAATTATTTCATAACTAAAATTAACTTATACCATAACACTTGAAACATAAATGAATGAAAAATGCAATTTCATTAAAAATACATAATAATTTTGCATTTTTAAATCTTTTATTTTTTCCTATTCCTTATTAAATACTTATATTATTGTGATGTAACACTTTTATTTCTTTAAAATTTAAAGCAAAGACTAATTTAATTCTGTAAAACTATAATAATAATAAATAATTTCAAAAAGAAAAAAAAAATACTTTTATTAAGATTACATAAAATTTTAAGATTTAATTTAATTTTATGAAAATAGGTTGAATATTGCATTTTTCTTTCTGAAAAAAAAAAATATTTTAGCACCTAACCACTTGATGTTTTTTTAAATAAAAGAATAAAACTAAAACAACTGAATCTAAACTAAATAACAGTCTAAAAACACTTAAATCGTTTCAAGACAATTATTTAAAAAAAAAAATTTTAACCTTAAAAATAAAAGATAAAAATTATCAAAACTTAAACCTGTGAATTGTATTTCCTCCACAGACCTCCAGCCCCTCGAAATGTTGGAATTCCACTTTCCGCACTAATACCCGCTCCAGTAAGAGCTACAACATGTTTGGCTTTTTGAAATACCATTCTAAAGGCTGCCATATCTGAACTAGGCTGTTTCCTTACTTTGCCTGCTAAAGAGGATGAAGCCATTCTACGCAAAAATGTTGAGTGACGTCTTAACACACAAAAAGCCATTGATAACACCAGTTAGAAACTATCTTCTTATGAGCATCCTCCTAAGAATTAAAAAATTTCACTTATAAATTCAACTGCAAACACAAAATAAATAAGCCAATAATTAATAAAGCGTGAATTAAGACTGACATTTAAAGATTTGCTACATCTATCCAAATGAAGATAGAGAATACTTTGTACTATGTATGAATAAAGCAAAAACATGAACACAAATAAAGGTACAAAATCTACACTCTATAGATTTGATTCTATAAACATGAACCTTCTAAAATATTTAAACACAATATTTTTGTGTATAGATACTTTAAAAAGACACATTTACACCAAAACGTTAACACTTAGGCGTAAAATGTTTTTGTTCTATTCTTTATTACATCGATTCTGCAATTTGCTTATTCTGCTTGGCACAATACTTAACCAGGGGTGTACAACCTATGGTCCCATAAGCCTTTTAACTTGCCATTTAAACTGTCTAAAATATTAATAAAAGTAAATTATTTTTTAAGCCATGTTCTCTAACAGAAAGTTACTGATCTAGTTTCTTAGACCCTTTCTCAATATCTGAAAATTCTATTAATGTAATCAGTATAGAGTTTACAGTGAAATGTAATTACTTATGAAATTGTACAAATGAACTAAAAGAGAAAGAAAAATTTCACAAGTTGATAAAGTAAATAAAAAAAAATTAAAATTTCAAAATTCTAACAATAGTCATCACATTGATCTGATACTGTAACATATTCTGTTTTCTGAATAATAGTGAACTTTTAGGCTCAATGTAAATTCAAGTTACCTCTTTTGCTATGTGCCCATAAATTTACCATAATTTGCATTTGTAATCTAATAAACATATTTGTTTAAATTCATCTACATTTAACTATTACCTGTACAGGAGCAAAAGATTAAACATTTATAACTAATTCTTATTACTTCATACAGAATCTAAATAATTCCTGCATTTATACAATACTGCATTTCGCCGAAACACTGCATTTTGTAGTTTTTGTGGCCCACTACACAAACATGGTTGTGCATCCCTGAACCTAAGAAATGATATACCTTTCGAAATAATTTTCAAGGAGAAAAAAATCTGTTTCTTTAATAATAGGAGATTTGAAAAGTTCATCTTTGCACTAACATATATTTGACATTGCATGAACTATTCATTCTCTTTAAAAATAATTATATTTAATGATTAATCTTTCATAAAAAAAAAATATTTAAAAAACTTATTTATAAAGGTACAAAACATTTATATCCTAGTGCAAATTGTAAACCAAAGCTTAGGCATTAAAATAAGTACAATCTACAATATATCACAACCATTCAAAATATCTCAGCAATTTTAAAATATAAAATATTCTGGTGAAATTGTAGGTAGCAAAAGTGAAAGTCAATGAATGGATATATAGGAATAGAATGGAATCAAACAGTAACTTTTATTAGTTCGAAAAATCCTTAAGTTCATATTTTAATGTTAATTATTGATAATAAAATGTGTCATAAAAATACAGACTTCCTGACCTTTACAGAGCTTTTAAAATTTCATAAATCAGGGGTCTGTCTAGGTTTTTCTGAGAGGTACGTATTTTGCTTAAAATTTTTTTTAAAGTTAATTTTGTTTAAATTTTAAACATAATTTGTGAAAATTAAAAATTATATTAAAAAATCAACTAAAAAATATGGATTTATCGTTTCTTATGGGATACAAAAATAAAATTTTAAGAAAAAGTATGTTGCGAAACTACCGTTTTTCCTGAATTTGTGAAGGTACCGCTAAACGGTAATAAATTTGGCTTGTTCAGACCCCTGTAAATAGAGAATATTATAGCGAAATTACTGATAACAAAAAGATAAGATTCAATGGATTGGGGATATATATCAGAAACTGTGTGCACCAGCTACCATTGTTGAAGAGCAAAAATCTGCACTTGTAAATTCATTTCTAGGTTGAAAACAAGACTTAGCAATTGTATTTGCTCAAGTATCAGTCTGAAAATCTTCCACACAGAAGAACAATAAAAAGCAAAAGAATATAAAGGTGTAACTAATCCATTATTACTGAAGGCATATGTTGATCAGATCAAAAAAATCAGATCTTCAAAAGTTACCCATAATCCTTTTTTTTTCCTTAACAGTAGTAATAATAGAAATTAATAATGCATGAATAATCAACAATTATTTAAAATCATCAAGGCGTAATGCAATGGTGACAAACATATCAAAATTTATACTCAAGTACATTTGCTGGTTATAAACATATATATGAATGAGAATTATAATATAGTCGGACTCGTATTTATGGAGGAAAGATGTGAATATTAATATTTACACTTTAGTATAACTTGATTAAAAAAACTAATGGTATAATAAATATTACAGACACATTCCGATTAGCAAATTTAGAGAAATAAAGTATGTACACCCAATTTTACTCAACAAAGTAATGTATTATTCAATTAATCATCCCAGATAGTGATTTATTTATTTTTAATATCTGATTTGAAAATATTAAAGCTTGTATGATACTTAAAAACAAAGTAGCTGATTTCTATTGTCACAGATTATTTTTTAAAGAAGCATTTTCTGAAATTATTTAATGAATATAAATCTTACTGTAAGTTACAGAATACTAAGTTTGCAGTTCTTAATGAAAAAGTAACTGTTTTAGTTAGTAAAGTAAAACTACGAAAAAACTCAACAAAAGTTCAACTTTAATACTGATGTTACCACTGAATATTAAAAAAAAACCTTACATACAGAAAGAAGTAAAAGCATCAATAAAAAGAAGATGATTAATTATTTCTTTTAAGTCTTAATCAAATTGATATAAATTAAATGATATTTAATCAGTAGCAGAAAACACGATATTCTCACCTCAGAAGATAAATAAATAACAAACGGGTAACAGTTACATTTGTAAAGGTTAAATGCTCGTTGAGAGATTTTTAGTTGGCAACAAATTGACTGCTCAAACAGGTCACGTGACAAAATAAATTTACGTATCAAGAAACACACTAAAAAAGGATTAAATAAAAAATACGAACGCTAATTCCTTTGAAATAAGATAACCAAGAAGTTCAATTGCAATCGAAAATAAAAAACGCTTCGAGAAAAATAAAATCATGCTCTAAATTCTGGTTGGATTAAATTTGTTAGTTGTTGCACTCGAGCTATTGGTACTTGAGAATATTTTACCCTTATGCAAAGAGAACCTTTCTCAATTAACAAATGTAGTATATCTTGTACAAACTGCGTTAATTCGATAATTTTTTGCAGCTATATACGAAGGCCAGCAGTTCTTTCATTTGTGTCAGAACAAATCAGCGTCAATGACAAGCATCCTTACAAAGTGATTCCATCTGGATAAAAATACACAACGCGAAAGTAACGGAGCCTGANTTTTTTTTTTTTTTTTTTTTTTTTTTTTTTTTTTTTTTTTTTGTATTCAATTTTTGCAAATTTATAATAAAGAAAATTCATATTAATTTAATTAGTTTTAATTTGATCACTTGTTCTCAGATAAAATAAAAATTTAAAAAAATGAGTGAAGAAGTTTGCTATCTAAGAATTAAAAAAGAAATGTTTTCATTAATTAAAAAAAAAAAAAAAAAAAAAAAAAAAAAGGCGTTTAGAAAAATTACTTCTTAGGCTCCAAATACCTGCTCATACTTCTTCTATCATATTTTGTATGAAATAATCATCGTTAAAGATACTGGAAAAGCTGTAATAAATTTAAAACAGTCACTTTCAGCGCTAAGGAAAAATGATTTGCCTAAATGAAAATAATTTATTAAATAAGCTGCACCAAAACCCCAGCTTGTTAAAATACACTACAAAACTTTTATCTTTATGAAAAATAAAAAAACGAAATCTATTTTATTTGAATCCATATTTATTATGCAAACAACAAATTTTTGGTTCCATAATAAGTCCACTTCTAAAACACTGCATTTACTGAGGATCATTTTAACGCCTTGGAGAAAAGCACTATATTTGTATACTTTTGAATAACTGTATAAACGCAAGAAAATAAACTCTGGAGAGAGAAAAAAAAGTGGGCATTATGCATTTATAACACTGCAGTTACGTATACTAAACATATTCTACTCACAAACTGTCACAAAAAACCTTTTACTTAAGAATGAAAAAGTACTGTATTAAGTACTGTATTATTAAGTAGTATATTATAGGTGCTAGTGATCTTGTGGTAATAAATACTTCTTATACAAAAGTCGGTACTGCGGTAAAAGGATTTTCTAAGTCCCCGAAACGGAATAAAACTAATGAAAATGCATATTCTTTATTTACTTCCTTCTGAAATTTGTTTCTCCATCATTGATTCGATAATATATGGTTATTTATATGCTTTCAGTAACGTATATAGTTTCCTTTCTTCTATTCTTTTTTTTTTATTTTTAATCTTATTTAGAAATTTAATAAAAAAGGATACATTCATGAAAAAAATAATAACAGGTAAATATTAATTACAAATTTATGAATATAACACATTTATGAAAAAATAATAAAAGATAGAAAACAGGGCTTTTAAGGTGCATTTTTATTCGAGACATCAAGTATCTGTAACAAAATAACATGAGTTTAAAAAATATTACTTATTTCGTTTAATTTCATTTAATAAAATTAATAATGACATTAAGTCATTATTAGTCTTACATATCTTCCTTTTTGAATCTGTTTAATAAATTTTGTTTTATGTAATGTCAATTCACATTTCCCTTATTAGTCCTGTAAAAAAAAAAGTGGGGGAAGGATAGCATTTAATAATTTTCAAATATAGATCTGAAAATAAAATAATTATTGTGCTTATCATCGTTTTAATAATTTCTAGGGCATAATATAAAATTATAAGAAAAGAGATTATATTGTGACTGAATTCTTAATTTAGTTTTGCATTTTTTTTATTTAAATGTAGATTTTTAAAAAGGCATATTATGAGTGAACTCTATTTTTTTACTTAAATAAAGTTTTTTAAAGCGCCATTTTGTTATGATGTAAGAATGACTGCAAACCGGCGAAATGATATGCAGTTCTAAATTCCTCTGTTATTTTTTTCTTTAAAAATGTCCAACTTTCAATGCAGCAACTTCGCAATTTTTTTTTAAATATATTGTAATCGAGCCGTGGTGGCTCAGGAGATAGAACGTTCACTTTCCAATGAGGTGAACCGGGTTCGAATCCTTGCCGTGGTTGGTCGATACGAATTCCGCACCCGGCTCGTATCGACCACAGCGCTGTCTGAAAATATCCTCAGTGGCAGGCGGATCATGGGCTGGAGTCCCCTTGCTGTCAGGATATCTGTGAGAGATTTCCGCGGTTTTTCTGACGGTTTCCTCGCGGTTTTCCTATGCCCGACAGAATATTTTTTTCCAGTTCAAAAGCTAGCACTGACCTAACAGCTGGTAAAGAATGGCTCTGTAAAAACTGAAACTTGATGGTAATCTTTCAATGAATAAATAATAGTCTGTAGAGGTTATAACATTTTAATATAGGAATCCTTTTAAAATATATTAGAAATTTGACTGTATTGAATTAAATAAACAACGTTTTTTTTTAATTGTTTTTTTTTATCGTTCCTTCTATGTTTCCTTATCGTTCCTTTAGCAACTTCCGGTGTGCTTTCTTTTCCAATGACCAGCCAAGAGTGGCGCTAGACTTAGCCCGACAGGGGGTCAGCAATCACCCGACAGGGGGGCTAAGATAATTTTGAAAATAAGCAATACTTTTTAATATACGAATAATAATTAATTTGATGTGCACATTTTTGTTCTGATAAAGAATTTATTACGATTCAAATATTAACAAAGAAAAAAAATAAAGGTGATATATGAATAAATCAAAAATATATGCACATCCAGCATAAGATTCTACAGTGTTCTCAATTAAATAATATTCTACTCAAACAATAAAAGATTTATGCACAACAAGAAAAAATTCCAAAGATATCCGAAGAGCAAATTAAAACCAGTTTAGATGTTTTTGTAACAGAGATATTTTTTTTAAAATTAGTATAATTAACTAATAACTAGGTAGTTCAATTCTATTTTAATTTAAACATTAAATTTTTTAAAACTCGAGTATTTTAGAAACTAAATAATATGTCATCTATATTAAAACAAAACTATAATTTGATTTGCTTAAATATAATAGTTTTCGCATTTACGCTTCAGTTCCACTTGTTAAGAAACTCAAGAATATTGTTAAATAATACTAACTCGATAAATAACTTGATAAATTGAATTTTTTAAAAAAAAATGTTCGTTGGTAAATTATTTAAGATTGAGTAAAAAAATTTAATCAGGTGAATCATTTAAGACAACCAGAGCTAAAAAAGATGTTAAAATAATCAAAAACCAGTTTATTATGGAGACATGAATGAAATTCGCATCCCATCGCAGTATTCTTTTGACCAGCCTTTTTAATCCAGCCTTTCTCTGTAGTTATTCAATATTTTTTGATGATGTGATTATTCTTTCTTTCTTTACTCATGAATTTATAACCCTTTATACGTGTTTATTGATGGTTGGCTGAATGTAAACATTAACAAATTCTTGAAACCGGAAGAAATTTCGAAAACTTCCGATGTATCCATCCGCTTATGTTATGCTTACGAGGCGATGTGTGAACAGGCTTGATACTTTAGGAAGTTTCATTATTGTGATTTTTTTTTAGTCAAATTTACGCGAAATTTCACAATTTATTACAGTTTTCTGCAATTTGTAAATTATTTACAGGTCGTGAGCCGAAAACAAATTTAGTAAAATAATATCACAAGATAAATAAAGTGTAAGGTTGCCACGTTTTTAGTGTTATCCCTTATTTGGCTATAATTGGGGAAAAAATTCGCAGGTTATTGTTATTTTTTGGGTAGAATCATAGCATGCTTGCGAAGTTTTCCAAATACATTTGTTATTCGTTTCATTGAATGTTAAATTGAAAGAATGCGTATCATTGTAAATAATGCTTAGGTTGTAGATTTAAATAACCTTATTTTCAAATTTTTTAATACAAACAATCACTACAAAAAATTTCAAATTTAACATAAAAGTGTAAGTTTAAGGAAAGAGAAANAAAAAAAAAAAAAAAAAAAAAAAAAAAAAAAAAAAAAAAAAAAAAAAAAAAAAAAAAAAAAAAAAAAAAAAAAAAAAAAAAAACGCAAAAATTTATTAAATAAAAATTCTTAAAATTTTATAAATTGAATAAAAGTGTAAATTTTTTTCATGCAATAAGTTACAGCTCTTACCTGAATTTAATCCTAAAATAAAATGCTTTTATAAAAACTAAAGTAAAAAAAAAGTAATAATAATAAGAAGAATAAGAAATAAGAGTCGCGAATCTTTTATCTAAGCATGAGAAGGGGTTACGAGTTGCCTAATTGTGTTAATAAGGGGGATAAGGAAATTCAATATTGCAACAAAAAAACCAAAAAAAAAAAAAAAAAACCATGTTTACGTAATATTTGAAGGGCTCTGAAGTTGGTCGTTGACCTGAATATATTTTGTACCTCAAAAAGTACGCATTTAGAAGAAAAAAAAAAAAGCATCATACAATATTTTTTACGAGTTATCCATTCTGTTTATAATGTTTGTGTGTCTAAACATATATATAAAATGCAAACACTATTGATAAAATCAATTGTCAATTGTATTGATAAAACGTAAAGAGTATTCTTTTTTATCGATATTTTAAAAATTTTTTTTTTAATTCAAGCACTTATCATTAAATATTTTAACTGTATTGGCCTAATATTTTAATCTCACGTTCATATTATAGGATATTTTTTTATACAAAGAATACTTTCTTAAAACTCAAAATCTGTTTCTTTTCGTCATAAATAAGCGATTTAACTTGGTTGATAAACGT